TTACCGCATGGAGTGTTAGTGTTTACATCATGCGATTTAAAAACAAATGGAAACCTGATTAATGTAACATTATTAAACATGTTGGTTGAATTGGAAGGATTCGAACCCATGGAATGCAATTGGAAATATCTGCTCTCAGAGTCATGCAGGTCTCACGATCTTGATGGTCACTATTGTATTGGGCATATGTTTTCGGCGCGTTGGTTGGTGGCTGCCCCCGGGGGACCCTCGCCCACTTTGCGGCCCTCCAACCCTTCAGAACCATAATATTGAAAATTGGTGAAAAAACGTTGGGGTTATGGAGTTCAATTATTATTAAGATGAGTGCTGAAAAATGTGCAGCGAGTTGCATACCTTTACTAAATATGTATATATATAAATCAATTTTTTATTTTTTGTGGGAAATGAAGGTAATTGAATTAAAAGCATATACCAAATATATAAACATGTTTCAAATGAAAAATACTGCAGTTTAAATGGTTTTGGGGGTGGGAGGGTTGTGGGGTGGGTGGCTGATCAGCGCGCCGAACACCTATGGCATAGAGTGGTTCAGGAAAGGTATATTTGAAAAGTTGATGTGTTGATGCATAATTTATAGTTCAGTTGATTGAATGCACTTATTGTAAACATGTATCTAGCACATATTTGAAGCAGTTTGAACGTTATTGCTAAATTGATATCTCGAAAACATGCACTGTCAAATGTATATACATTTAGCTAGCACATATTTGGAGCGGTTTGAATGCTTTTGCTTAATTCATGTCAAGAGAAATGGCACTGAACTCGAGATCTTGATGGTTAACTTACTACCCAAATTATTGTGTTTCAGATAGTGCCATATTTGATTTATGAGCGCTAGTATATGCATATTTGTTGGAATGCTGCTTTATTTGCTAAGTTGAATTACCTACATGGCAGTGTTGTATTATAAATCATAAATTGGCTGGGCACGACTAATTTTTTTTTAAGTATTCAATTCGCCGGAGCCAATAATAGTATGATATTGGCGAAGCCAATATTGTATGTTATTGGCGGAGCCTTCGACTGGAAAACGGGAAATCTCCCGTTCACCATCCGAAGTCTAGTGGCGGCCGGCGAATAGACATTTTGTGATACTGGCGATACTGGTTTCTGCTTCCCAGAACCAATTTCGCGCAACAGTGTCAATGCTGTGTTGTTGCTCATATACATTTGTGAAAATTGACTATTTTGTGAATGAAGAATTGAAAGACTAGTATTGCTTTGATCAATTATTTTCTAGAACATACTGTTCCAAAAAGCTATACAGTTTGTTCCATTTGCTTGTTTTGATTTTGTGTCATTTGTTTGCTTTGCTATGGATGCCCTAACAGGGTTTTGTATGCCCGGTATCCAAACCTTTTGGCTTTTATTAATGGAGTCGTGCCCATAAAATGCCAAAGATAAACTAAGACATTACTCAGTGAGATAAATTACATATGCCACTTTGTATGACTATAAAATAAAATTAGTTAAAGTATGATATTGGTTTGTTGTTGTCCCTAATAATGATGACTATTTCTATAGAATAGTCTCTGTTATTTGGGGAACAACTTATACCCTGCCCTGGTTATGACGTAGGTACTGTATCTACGTCATATCCTTTTAACGCTGGCGTCGAATATTGTAACAAGGAAGAAGAAATGAGTTGTTGAAAAAACCCACCCGCCCTCCTCGTCAATTATGAGTGTGAAGTGTCAAAGATTTGAGCTTAAATTTAATACTAGTGTCATGCTTGTTTTGTTGTTTCTGTCCTCTTTTGATATGTTTTCAGATTAGCCAACATAAGCGACGTGTTTCAAGACAGCTAGCCCTACTAAATACCACGGAAGAGGTATCTTTTAGGAAAACTGCTTGGGCCAAAACCACCAGCAGAGAGAATTCGACAACGGTGCGACTCCAGAGATGTGTTCTATGAACTTTCAAATACTATATTTCACATGTTGTGTCTGCTAAATTTGCATTTTGCGGCCGGCGAATAGACATTTTGTGATACTGGCGATACTGGTTTCTGCTTCCCAGAACCAATTTCGCGCAACAGTGTCAATGCTGTGTTGTTGCTCATATACATTTGTGAAAATTGACTATTTTGTGAATGAAGAATTGAAAGACTAGTATTGCTTTGATCAATTATTTTCTAGAACATACTGTTCCAAAAAGCTATACAGTTTGTTCCATTTGCTTGTTTTGATTTTGTGTCATTTGTTTGCTTTGCTATGGATGCCCTAACAGGGTTTTGTATGCCCGGTATCCAAACCTTTTGGCTTTTATTAATGGAGTCGTGCCCATAAAATGCCAAAGATAAACTAAGACATTACTCAGTGAGATAAATTACATATGCCACTTTGTATGACTATAAAATAAAATTAGTTAAAGTATGATATTGGTTTGTTGTTGTCCCTAATAACAACCGCATGTACATTAATTATTAGAGCAACCTGATTAATAAAATCAGCTTTTAACTAACGATACGCTACAAGTAAACATAAGATTTGAACTTTTATCATGTTGAAATTAACTGTACATTGTAGTCTATTAAATTTAAATACATTGGCTGCGGTTGTATTAACAAACATATTAGCGAAACAAAGTAACCACAATTAAATGATATCATATTCGACATTCAAGTATAATCTTTCATAAGCATCAGTCACTGGTTTACTGTATGAAAATTGTTTGGTCTTTGGGCCCCGGATCAGTGGGTTTGAGTGCTATATTTTCCTTGAATACTTAAGTTGTTCAGATGTGTGTTGAGGAACATCAGTCATTGATAAAATAGAGAGAAAAAGAACCCCTAAACGGCAAAATTGAAAATGTTGTAGGTTCCGTTTGATAAAGCGCAAATTAACACTGGCCACGGTATCGCTACTGTGTCTTAAGCTGGTGAACCGAGGTGTTCCGTGGTGTTTTTCTGAGAAATCAAATTGCGTTTACACATCCCCGACAGAGCCCAGGTGTATTCCCGGTTCAGAACCCGATATAGCACTGGATATATACGATAAGCGCCGATGCTAAATCGGTGTATTTCCGCTTGATTCCGGTGGAAACCCGACTAACTGTCCATCCCGACCATCGCCGTTTTTGCCACGGTAATGCTATTGGTGATGCCGGTACTGTGCCGGTGACGCCCTGGTAATGCACCGATGCTTCCTGTTCAAGTTTATGAGAATAAAACTGACTGACCACGTTGACATCAGTCATTTGGTAAAAAGACAGCAGAGATGCCACCCGAAGGAAAGGGGATGGAAGTTAGAAAAAAACTGTCTACAACATCTTCAGAGGTTGAGGTACCTGAAGCTGAAAATGCACCAGCTGAAAAATTTTTCCTTCTCTCATTTAACAAATTGTCCATGCACGTGTTCCTTCTCTAAACAAAATGATCCAAAGTAGCACTTCAAGTTTATATATTCCTGTTCTTTAAATTTCCTGTATCGGCATGAGGTCGTTACACCACCGTATATCATCGTTGTATAACCGTACTTGTCTGCAATATCCGGGACATTACCGGCTCCAACAGGAGCGTTGTTGCCAGTGACCTCAATGTACCCAGGCTCTACCGTAGCTCTGCCTGTTTTACCGTAGCAACATCGTGTCATCACCGGGACTTTGCCGTTTGGACATTGATTGACACGCATCCCAGTTTACTACGATTTGTCACGGTATGGATGCAGTATAGATACGGTGGTTTCCCGGCAATTCCCTGTTCCAAGCCGATAGAACACGGATTTGGGCTTCCTCTCGGTTGAAGACAACCGTGGTGATCTCTCAGTTTGTTCCGGTTCACCATGGTTTGTCTCTTTACTTCACGGAATTTCAACGACCCAACGCCGGTTTACCACGGTTAATCATGGTTGACTAAACCGTGGCAAACCGGGACACCAAACCGGGACTGTGTAAATGGAGCTTAAACCGCCATAGTATGACTGTATTACTATTAGTACTAGCAAGAAAAAAAGGTCTTCAAATCAATGAAATTACTTAAACCGAATTCTGATCGCGACAATATCATAATACTTTTAAGATGTTGTCAATCAGGGTTATAAATGAAAAAGGGAGACAAAAGAAAAATACTTATCTATTGAGACTTGAATTTCAATTGTATCTTTCTAGAATACGCTTCTAGCGTCAATATTACATTATATAGCAGCTCAAATCCTCGATATTTAGGTTCATAAAAGAAAACAATTAAAACAAAGATACTTTTTGTTAAATGGCAATTACAGTAAAAATAAGTATGAGAGCGTTTTAAATTTAAATACTACTACTTTTAATCATGATTTTAACATGAATTTATATCTTGCGACATTTAACGTTAACATTGCGACATTTAACGGCAAATGATTTTGCGACATTTAGCGGCAGTTGCGACATTTAGCGTTAAGTGCGACATTTAGCGGCGTTGCGACATATAACAGCACCACAAGCATTACTCTTTACATATTTCCAGTAGAAATAACTTGCTTTTGTTAACAAAAGTGAAAAGGCGATGTCAAACGAGTTCATGTCGGTGGAACCTGTAGAAAGTGTCCTTCAAACTATTTTAAAGCCTGAAGCTTTTCTACGCGGCTTTTAGAAGTACATATACATGTATATAAAGTAATAATGCATTCGATTATCTGTGTGACATTAACTATCTTATTTTGCCACGCAGTCAGTATCTTACTTTAATTAGCAGTACTTTCCCGTTCATCATTGGCTCTGTCTGATCTGTCTATGTGAAAAGTATATATTATATGAGAGTTGGTCTGTTAATGTAGTGACGCAATGCAGTTGAAATCCGAGGGCGCGAGTTTTCAAAATATTTTCCAGGTTTTTTGACAACAGGTTATAAATTTCCAATTAACACGACTCTTTAATTTGCTACATTCATTTATAAGTTATTGAAAGCCAAGACACATTATTTTTAATCGGTACGGCGTGAAACATGCATGGGACTGACCAAACCGGCAACGGCCGATTGGTAAACATTTAGATGTTTGGGGTTAAAGTTAATAAAATTTCTTTATTGACAATATACTTGAAACAGATACACAAAATAAAACAATATACAAACAAGATAAATAAACAAAAGGACAAACTCTTTTTTCAATTTTCATTTAGTGTAAAAGTAAAATAGTAAAATCTGACAGCGTTTAGATTTATTTATATTATGATAAATATCAAATAAAAAAACTCTTTTTTTGAACGATTAAAATTTGCAAAAAAAAAATGCTAAAGATATCTCTTATCACCCCGTGTTTAAGAAAAGATCAAAAGATCCTGATTTTATATCACTGCTTTACGACATTAAAACTGATCGTATTTTGTTAAAATTAAATGGTAGATCTACATAAACAAAATATAGAAATTGCTGATTTGCAAATTAAATAACCAACCCTTATTTCGGATAAAACTGATAAATATAAACAAAACAAATAGAAAAATAATCGAATCAAAATTAGGATCAATTTTTGGATCAAAACCAATATTCGGATCAACTGAAAAATACCCATATCTTGTAAAATAATATTAAATTTATTCTAAAATTTCATAAGCATGCCATTTCAAGTCAAATTTTATCAAGTTGATATTTAATATTTAATCTACGAGGATAAACAATATTTGAGCTTTTTTAATTTGATTTTGATCCTGATCCTAGTGAACACGAGACTAGGCGTTATCATGTTGGTAGCTAAATTATTTAACATGTATTTTGATATCTCTTTAGCTTTGGAAGGCTAAACCTGGGTCCATCCATTATGTATATATATATCCAATAGGTTATGGACCGTATGAAATACTTGCATTTTCACTTCTTTAAGAGTTACTGATACAAGAATAAATTCACACTCTTTCATGTTAAAACATCATATAAAATAGCCACATCGCAACATTTGTATTTTGCATCTTTAAAGGAACTCCAATGAGGTTTTTTGACAAAAAGAAACAGGAATTTTTTCTTTGAACTGTGCACCATTTGATGTATTTCTGGGCTCAAAACATGTGTGCAAAATTTCAGATCATTCCCATATACCACCTGTAAATGTTTTCCCAGAATAATCATTTTTATTGTGCAAAATGGCCGATGCAACGCTTTTCACTCTAACCGGGCTAAAATTGTACTAAAAATTTAAACTATTGAGTATATTTCTTTATCATCAATTTATCTATGCAAAAACGTCTTATGGCTGTTTGACCTCAGTGGAGTACCTTTAAATGTTAACAAATTTTAAACATCAGTTGTTAGCAGAAAAGATTTATGAATATGATGACAGACAGAGATTTATACGATCTCGAATGGGTAATGTATCTTCTTAGATGAATGTAGCCAGTACAGCTTTAAACAGTCATGTTTTTATATTTCTTACTCATACATAATACTAAGAAGCTAGAAGCCCCGCTTGAAATTTCAAAATAGAAGTCTACATGTAGCATACAAAGGAAAAGCAATCCATTTTCCCTGAAAGAAAATATTCTCAAAATCTATTTTCCGTTAAACGACCAAACCATACCGCTGGACCCCTGTGCTTTCTTCGGTGTGGACGGGCCTGGAAACAAAAGCGAGAAATACAATTGCAACGTTAACAATGCTTAAAAATTCAAGACTGGGTGAAAATAATTCTGATGTTTTAATATTGAAAAAGTTGAAACTCCAAGTCATTGGTTATCGTCAAAAACAGATCAGCTAGCTCGGTTTTTAGGACAATCGTTATAAATCAAAACAGTTTCATTAATCACAGACATTAATCATGTCTCAAAAACGAATACGTTTTCCTTCTTTAGAAAAGGAAAATATGTCAACAATAACAAGACACCAAAAAAAATAATTTGTGAGAAATAAAAGCATTTTTGGGATGGCCTTTAAACATGATTATTAAACAAGAGGGCCATGATGGCCCTGAAGTCGCTCACCTGTATATAGCACCCCCGGCAGGGCCGATTTTACCCCCAGGGCTTTTATTTAAACAAACTTGGTAGACACCCATAAGATGTTTCATGCTAAACATCTAAGCTCTAGCTCATTGGGTTTCTTAAAAGAAGATATTTTAAGTTTTTACTATACACATATAGTTAATAAATGACACCCCTGGGGAGGGGCCAGTTTTGACCCCAGGGCTTTTGTTTGAACAAACTTTATAGACACTTACTAGAAGATGTTTCATGCTTAATATTTAAACTCTAGCTATTACAAAGAAGATTTTTAAGTTTTTGCTATACACATTTTAGGAAAATCAATGACCCCTGGGGCGGGGCCAATTTTGACCCCAGGGCTTTTATTTGAATATACTTGGTAGACACCCATTAGAACATGTTTCATCTAAATATCTTATCTCTAGCTCTTTGAGTTCTTTGAAAGAAGATTTTTTATGTTTTTACTATATGCATATAGGGAAAATCAATGACCCCCTGGGGCCGGGCCAATTTTGATCCCAGGGCTTTTATTTGAACAAACTTGGTAGACACTCATTAGAAGATGTTTCATGCTAAATATCTTAGCTCTAGCTCTTTGGGTTCTTTAAAAGAAGATTTTTAAAGTTTTTACTATATGCATATAGGGAAAATCAATGACCCCCTGGGGCGGGGCCAATTTTGACCCCAAGGCTTTTATTTGAACAAGCTTGGTAGACACTCACTAGAAGATGTTGCATGTCAAATATCTAAGCTCTAGCTCTTACGGTTTTTTAAAAGAAGATATTCTAAGTTTTTTCTTTCGGTTGCCATGGCAACCAGAGCTCTGCATGGAATTAAATTCTTTGAACAATTTTTAAAGTTGACCACCAAAGGAACGTTCCTGTGAAGTTTGGATGAAATTGGCTTATTAGTTTATGAGGAGATGTCATTTAAAGTAAAATTTTACGGACGGACGGACGACGGACGGACGCCGGACGAAAAGCGATCACAAAAGCTCACCCTGTCACTTTGTGACAGGTGAGCTAAAAACAAAAAACAAACATATGATATGCAATATAATATCATAGCAGAAATCTTTATCGACTCGTGATCCAAACATTATAAAAAATTGAAATTTATTCCTCCAACATCACGATAAAACTTGCCTTGTTTAGTTTTCATTTCTTGAAACATTTCCAGTTGCTCTTTCTGGTGTTCGGTAAGACCTTTCTTGTTTACAGGGGTGGCAGAGATATCTGGGGTTTTATCTCTCTCCAGGTATGCTGGAGTTTGAATCCCTCTGCCTGTATTTCTCTTGTCTTGGCTTGAAATATATACAAAAAAGTTTATCTATACGAGACGTGTCATGACAAAACCAACATAATGCGTTTGCGACCAGCATGGATCCAGACCAGCCTGCGCATCCGCGCAGTTTGATCAGGATCCATGCTGATCGCTTACAAACCCTATAACAAGTAGACAAACTGATAGCGAACAGCAAGGATCCTGATCAGACTGCACGGATGCGCAGGCTGGTGTGGATCCATGCTGGTCGCAAACGCATTATGTTGGTTTTGTCATGACACGGCTCAAATTATTATCTAAATATTGTGTAAGTTCATACAATGTTTTGTTTGGTTTAAATCAGACCAACGTCTGTAGCCTTGAAATCCCGATGCATGTTGACTTTCTTTTTATTTAAAATACTTAGCGACATCACTGAAGTGACGGGAGTGGAAATAATTTTTCGAGATTAATGTTCCATTTGATGTAGGTCTAGACCAATGACTTGCGTGCAAATTTTCAGATAATTCACTCACTCCCTTTATCAAGAATAATTACTCTATTTGTGAAAAATTATCCAAATTTGAAAAAGTTATGCAACGCTATTCACTCAAATCTATTCACTCAAATCGCAATAAGAAAAGCACAAAATACATTTTTCAATTTGTTTCTGAGTATATTTTGAATCATCTTTTGCATATCTTTCTGTTTTAAGTGCGCCAGCTGTTCTATGGAAGAAGTAAAATATTATGCGTTATGATTTCGGAACTCAGACCAGTTATTTAAATTATAACGGAGTGATCCCAAACCCAACCCTTGCTTTTTTCCAATAATAATCGTGAAGCGCTTCTATGTTCAAGATTTATAAGCTAACTATATGTAGATCTATTCCCTATTATAAGAATTGATGACTAATTCATTCGTTTTGTTATTTTTCAAACCTAAGCTAATATCTACTGTCAGTGGCTTTGCCGTTTTTTGTGTCACTTTTTAAGGAACGTATATATGTAGTTATAGTCAATAAAATGTTAAAAAGCGAATGTTTTAATCTTAGAATTCGACTTTAAAGGGACTCCATCGAGGTTTTTTGACATGACGGGACTGGAAATATTTTTTTGAGATTACTACTCCATTTGATGTAGATCTATACTAATAACTTATGTGCAAAATTTCAGATCATTAGCTCGCTCCGTTTTTCCAGAATAATTATTATAATAGTGAAAAACGACCCAAAATTGAAAAGCGTTTAAACGCTTTTCAATCAAATCGGACTGAGAATAGCAGAAACTTACGATTTTCAATGTATTTCTTGTATATTTCTTATTTATATTTCTGTTTAAAGTGCTCATGTTTATCTATGTGAAAAATTAAAATGTTATGTTTTTAAGCTTATAAACCTCAGTGGAGTTCCTTTAAAAAATGTATATCTATAGTCACCAAACTTTTATAATTTTAGCACCTGCTACGAAACATTCACAAAATCGTGATAGTATGATAGTCTTTAATAGTGAATACAAAGCACAAAATACCTTAACGATGTATCTTTGCTTGGACCATCAGGTAAACCAATCAACTCGTTCCTGGCTCGAACATATTCCTGGTCCCTTCTCTCGGCCAACATTATTTCCTTCCTGCTTTTCTTCTTCTTTTTCAGTTGACCAGGTCTCAGACAACCACACCATCGCCAGCTGCAAAGAAACTGGGTCTGGTGAATTATAATTTTTAGTAAAACTAGGAAGAAAAGGAAATAAGAACATCGCATAGAGTTTCAAACAGTAAATGCGATACTTACAATTATCAATCTGATTGTCGGAAAATATCTCTCTCTCTATTTTCAAAATGGTACATTTTTGTAAGAAATACATATATTTAAATTGGTATCTGGTCTGGAATTATTTGTTCACCTTTTTATGAAACAATTGTAATAAAACATGGTAAAACTTTGAAAAGCACAAAGCGATACTATAATTTCATTCATACACTAGCGTCTACTTAGATTCTGGGATGTCTGAAAGTTATTAGTTGCAAAATGAAAAATGTGAAGTTGTTTTAATTTTGACGTAATGATATCTTGTGGAAATAAGATTTCTTTACCTCGACTTCTTTTTAGTTTTCGACAACGTTTTATGAATCTTTTCCCTCTCATGGTCAAAGACACATCTCAGCACTGTGAGAACAATACAAACTATCAAGAACATAAACACAACTAATGCAGCTGCCGAAATCAACGTAAGTGCTGACGTAGTACACAGAAAACATTCGGATACCCTCTCGTACGTCATTATGGTCGGTCTTTCTGTGTAAGTCACTGTCAACGTCACTGTCGCCGAGAGAGATCCAGGGTTCGTTCCTTTATCATTGATAAGAACGGTTATATAAAAAGATGTGTTGTAATCCATGGTAAATTCGGTGAATACTGAAACATTTCCGCTCGCATCAACTTGAAAAAAGGTTTTCCCGTATCCGGTACTAAGTCCTATGATGCTGTATTCCAACTCGGCGTTAACCGTGCTGTCTATATCCGAACAGTCCACGTTCACAAGGGTTGAATTGACGGTCTGCGCATATGTCAATGAGAAACTGGTTACTGATGGAGTACAGATTGGGTTGTTGTCATTTATATCTGTGATTGTTATAGCGTAAGTTGTATCGTCACTCAAACCGTCAAGATCAGAACAACGAACTGTGAGATTCACTTCATTTGCAAGGTTGACGTCATCGTAGTCGTAGTCTAACGCGAGGGTAATTTGGGCAGTGGCAGGATCAATGGAGAAATATACAGATTCCGTGCTGAAGAGTATCGTATATGTAATGCTATCTGGTGGTACATTGTCAGGGTCGGTACATAACTGATCCGGTATACCAACAACAGTTCCGCTCTGAAATGAAGCAGTACACCATCATTTAGTGCAATTATACATGTAGAGGACTTGAAAATATACAGTGCAATGGGTGATAATATTATTATTATGAATAATATTCATCTAAATTTTGGCATGTTTTATCAAGTTGTCATCATAATTCATGCAACGAGTACAACTTACGAATAATATATAAAAGCAGAAATCAGAATTATGAGTCCCTTTGTTACCCTCATTGTTCAAAACATTTTTTCTGACAATGTCATTGGAATTCATCGTGTATTGGTTAAAGATAAAACACAAAAAGGTAGTTTTGAGCAGACAATCCAACTAAAATAAATTTTGTATACAGTAAACCAATGCTGCTGTATGAAGTAATAACCGTATGCAAATTATGTCTGCAATGTCTAAACAAGGGCAATTTGAAAACAAATGTTTTTTTTTTGTTTTTGTTTTACGAACTGTATTTAATTTGCCTTTTGATTTTTTTACAAAAGTTTTGTAATTCTTTAATGGCAACTTTATTCTTAGACTAAACAGTTGTAGATATCCTTATTAAGCTGAAGGTTTTAAAACTAGTTACAAATACAGTTAAAAAAATTTAGACAATGTTTAAATATAAAAAGAACTCTGTCATCCATTCACTTGTCACATTGTGTACATTTACAAAATATCAGGCTTCAATTTGATCTTTTACTTAAGTACAACCATAAACACAGTGAAATATAAAGGTTAATCTTTAGTCTCCATGGGACCCCTGTATTAACATTAGATTGTAAAAGTGTGTTGAAATACAATTTGATATTTATAAAGTATCCAAGGAAAGCTATTTTGCCATGCTAATTGCTGAATGCTAAATGATAACTGCGTAATGAAAAATGCTAATTGCTGTCTGATCATTGCAGATATAAAACTCTTTGGAAAAGAACATATGGTTAAAAAGATAACAAGTGGGCTATGGTAGCCCCCATATCGCTCACCTGATTATTGAGACTCTGAATTAACATTGTTTGCAATGAATGAAAGGCAGAGATATAATGCAATACTCTTAAACTGATACCATGGAATTCATATCCATAGCTGAAATATTGCAAATGTTAATAAGGTTTTTCCATGTATGCCTTTTTATGTGCTGTTACCTTTCTGACCTCACATGACCCATAAACAAGAATCATACAAACAACCTTTCTGACCAATTTCCAGGATATTTTGGCTAAATATTTAAGCTCTAGAATGATAACAAAGTTTTTCCATTTTTGGTATGTGTGAAATAGATTTTGACCATGGATGGCCAATGTTCAAAGCTAAGCTAGAAATCATCTAAATAACTATTTTCCAGGATATTTGGACTTTAACAGTATCCTTTACAGTGTTAGCAAGGTCCTCCCATATTTGGGCTGTGTAAGCTAGTTTTAGATGACAGATGAACTTTATTTGAACTTAAGCTAGAAATCATACAAACAACCTTTCTGATCAATTTCCAGGATATTTGGACCAAAACGATATACTCTAAGTGTTAAGGAGGATTTTCAATATTTGGACTGTATGACCTACTTTTTGATCCAAGATGACCCATATTCGAACTTGAGCAAGAAATCATTTTAACAACATTTTTGATTAATATTATCTATGAAATTAATACCAAAACAATAGCCTCTTTAGAGTGTTAGGAAGGTTTTTCCATATTTGGGTTGTGTGACCTAGTTTTCGACTTCAAATGACCCATATTTGAAACTGCTCTAGAAACCACTAAAACCAAATATCAAGATGTTTGGACTAAAACTGGGGCGTTCTTCCATATTTGGAAACCTATGGGCCCTCGGGTTGGGTCCATTTTTGACACTAGAGACAAACTTTCAACAACTCGGTTAGTGGACATATAAATTTATTAAATTATAATAAACTAAAAAATGGCCCCGCCCGAGGGCCCATAGGTGTCTAATATGGAAAAACACTCTGTTTCAGTCCAAATATCCTGAAATTTGGCCAGAAGGGTTGTTCAGCCATCTCCTTGGCGACATAACCTTCTCCTTCACGACAGAGCTGTCTCCCAGAATAAATATCGTATATTTTCTTTAATAACTGATGTTTTGATCTAATTTCAATTTTAATTGATTTCTAGACCATATATCTACTTAACATTGGTATTTGTTTTTAATCTGAATCGCCATTAAGATGAAAATTGGAGGAAAAATAACCTGTTTCATGATGAAAACCGGACCATTTCATCGCTAAATTCGGTAAATGGGAAACGCCGCCACAAATATATTTCAAACACAATCATGACAACTGTACGTTTTCTGGAAATGTTAATCAAATCTACATGCCATAGCATTCTCCGAATTTCGATTTTGGTGTAGAGTTTACAAAATATATGAAAAATGACAACCCTTTTACATTTGATGACATCTGAATTTAGCGACATGCACAAGCTCGGAAGTAGTGATAGAGCAATTAACCGTATACCTCCGAAAGCGGTACCAGGCGTGATTAAGCATTGTAACTAAGGAACTAGCATTGCATTTTTACAGCAACAAAACAATCAAATCTAACATGTAAACAGACAAAACACCATCTCTTTCTGCATCGTACGGAAATATTTGCATGTAGTTTCAAACGTCAAAAGAAAAAGCATACAAACCGCGCTTTCTTCTATCGTCACGGGCGTTGGCGTCCCTGTGAACGTAGGTTGTTCATTTATGTTACTAACGCTGACTGTCAATGTAAAAGTTGATGTTGTCTGTACATCGATATAGTCCTGGATTTCCACTTCAATTATGTATTCGGTAGCTATCTCGTAGTCTAACGTTTGGTCACCTAGGAGGAATATTTCCCCGGCTGTTGAAGTAAAAGATAAACATTGATAAAGTACAAGTACAATGTAATTATAAAACTTCCATAGATTAAAAAACGCCAAGGGAATGCTGTTAGTGACATAGATCTAGTTATAAAATCAAATAGTAAAATTAAGAGAGTTGTAATGCTGTACTTGATACAGAGAAGCAATTAAGCAAAGCAAATATCTTTGCCAATTTGTTTAATATTTGAGAAGCATTAGAATTTCAAATAATGCCTCAGTACATTGTACTTGTCATGGTGGCCGGGGGGGGGTCTCAGTCAAGAACTTTTGCAGCCCCACTGTCACAATATTCATTGTATATGACGTCTTCTGTCTTAATGTTATCGTTTTGGAGTCAGCAGTCTGCACAGTACAAACTGACAAATAAAGGGCGCCGCTGCAACAATTAACTTTCTTCATACATAGCCTACGCATCAAATTCCACAGACACTTGGGGTTTGGAGCTCAAAACGCCTTTAAAATCCAAATAAAATGCATATTTGTCAATCCCAGCACATGTCCTGATCATATATATATATATATATATATATAAAACTTAATATAAGCCGTTTTGAAAAAAAAATTATATTTCAACATCTATAATAATACTTATAGGCGTTTTGAGCTCCAAACCCTAAGTGTCTGTGTCAAATTCCAGTAGAAAATGTTTCAATGTCTTATAATATAGTAATCGAAAATGCTTCAAGGGCTTAACAATTAGTGCATATATTAACTATTGCATTTATTGGCACTATCATTCCATGTCTGATTTAAAAGGTAATATCCATATTAACACACTTACTCGCTGGTACCAGTTCAAAGGCGCCATTAGTGGTTGTCTCGGTCATTTTGACAGTATCTCCTTCGGCATCGTATGTATCGATATCATGCACTAAAAGCCTTCCCGACGTGAATTCCGGTAAAGTAATACTATGGTCAGGACTCACCCCATCCGCGAATTCAGGCGCAGTATTTCGATCTGTTCAAAGATATTTCTAAAGTTTTTAATATTGTTTCATTAAATTGCAATATTTTAAAGCCACACGATATTTTCAGGTTGCGAAAACAAGTAAAAAGTAGTCCAAAGATGGCGAATGTATTACATATAGTTGTCGTTTAGAATGGCTGAGTGAGATTAAGATCAACAAACATAGTGCCATATCTTTAACTTAGGGATTCCACGCTACCATCAAAGTGTACCATCTTCCCCTAATTCCCCGCTGTAACCAAAATAAAAAGTTAAAAGAAATGTCAATTAAGTCCTACTTTTAGTAGTCTTAATGATAATCTGACACTATTAATATAAAAAAATTCTTTTTCTTTCTTCTTCTTCTTTATTTGTGTGTGTGTGGGGGGGGGGGTAAGCAGGTTAGCGAACAATGGTACATGTACATTGTACACTTTGAGGGTAGTACCAAATGAAAGCGTATTTTATTGGGTAATTTATTGTGTTTGTTAGCTTTAAAACTAGTTAAAAAGATATGAAATACACATGTAGTACTTAGCGTCAATTATAACTGTAAGATATCAAAGCATTAGGTTCGATTCCCGGAATGTACATGTTATTTTCTTTGTTGTTAATCGTGAAATAGTTCCACGGTCATTTGCTCAGTACTTCTGGTTCGGCTTTACATAAGTAATTATCAATTCAATGCGAAAGTTAAGTAAACTGCTTAACAGCTTGCCAAAGAATGGTACGGTGGCTGAACTGGGTTCTGGTGAATTCAAAGCGGCTTTCTGTCGTGACCCAGAGTGTAAACTACAAATCTGAAAGAAGGCACTAATCGCAACAGATTTACATAAAAATTGCACACTCGGTTCGATTGAGTCAGTACATGAGTGCAACAACTGGCTTTGGCGGTACTTAGCTTAAAAAATGATCACCACACACGACAACACGCATTCACATTTGTGTGAAAAGTCAACATGTTGTTCTACAAATACTAGTACATTACCGTTTATGTTAACGGTTACTGTCACAGTGCTACTGGCTGACTTCTCGTCGGCTACTTTAACCTGAACAACATACTGGGCTTCGTCATCATAGTCAATAAGGTTGTAGTGAATTTTCAACATATCTACAACAATAAAAATAAACGTTGGATTGGTGTCCCGACTATCCCCCTGTTTGATAACACTTTATAGAATTATATAGAAGCCTTAAAATTATGTATTCTGTGGAGACTTTGGCAAATTTTATACAAAGCTAATGATGTTTAACAGTAGTAAATAAAGTATTTCTTATATCAAATGATATATATTTTACATACGTACACGTATAAAATTAATAATGATCCTTTATACAAGAAACATATTACCGTACATTTAGGTTCTCATAGACCGACTTTAAGTGACCTTCATTTGTTTCAAAATTCATATCTACTTTGTGCTTCAGAATTAAACCTTTGAGGGCATTACTGATGACATGTCAGGGGTCCTTGCTCATAGCAAAAGCTGCATACTGTGCCTTAACGGACTAAATGAACCTCATTTATCGTAGATAATTCAAGTGTATATAGTATGCATACAAATTAATTTAATCCAATTAGATAAGGAATAAACATAATTTAAATTGTTATCGATTTAATTTGCAATCGTATTGTCAGATGTGCATGTATCCTACAAGAACATTTCAAAGAATAACTACATGCATTAACATCCTATCAATTTAAATTTAACGCTACGCATTAGGATCTGGCGGGCACCAATATGAGGTCATCATCTCGTAACCTTTCAAACAGTCAATCATCGACGAGCTTTTGATATTTTGAAAAGGATACGGTTTCTAATTTGAACCGCTGGAAATCCAATACCGAAAAGGTCATTTTCACGATTTCGAGAACTAATATGGCTATGTCCTTATATATATATAGCTTCCAGGACTGGCAAAACATTTTTGCCCATTAAAAATTGAGTCTATTATATCCAGTTTATTTGTTTCAAATTACTTCAAACATTTTTTTTCTAACAAAAAATAAACAATTCTTTAACTTCACCGGTCAGCGAAATTTTTATACTTCGTCTAATGCCTGTAATTATGTAAATAACGGATTGATTGCATGGCTAAAAGCAGTCTTTCGTGAAATCAGAATCACAATAAAGGCGGCAGTCAGATCTATATGAAGAAATAACTTTAGGAAATCAGAATTTATTTTAATTATGAAGTACAAATGTTGGACATTGAAAAGGCAACTTATTATAGATATTAAAACATTTTTTACAAAATGTCATAATTGAATAACAAATCTGTGTATAGTTATGACCTTTAAGATTCACTTTGTCCTCATCAGACTTCTGTCACGATTTATAGTAAAAACTAACTGAAAAGGTTCTTCTGAGAACAAAATGGTTTTTTTCTTGTTAAAAAAAAACAGTTAAGTGAATAAAAATGTAAATGCATTTGGTGTAAATTGATTTTAATATTTCATTATTGAAATACACAACCAAGTCGAGACATATTGAAATCTAGCGCATACATATTAAGATATGGCTATTTTTTCATAAGAAAATGACTATTACAAATAAAATTACAATTATACAATTATAAGTTACATTAATAAATACAGGACCACTGATGACAATTCCTTCGAAATTGCCTTTTTAAGTAACAAAACACCATTACTTAAACATGCATTGTACTGCCGCAAAACTTCAGTTCTACAAAACGTCACATACAAAGCGTACATGTGTTGCATTTCCTCCAGCAAAAAGGCTGGATGCCGCCACATAACGTCTGCATTCTAGGAAAAATTGTCAATTGGATGCGCAGCATTATATCACTCGAACTACGCCCTCGTGATATACCTCGCATCCGAACCTCAAAGTGATTTTAAATAAAAATCACTGTACGGGATATTTCTTATTTCTTAATTCAGACATATTGGTAACTGCCTCTGACCAATCAGATCGCTTGTTCTAATAACTAAAGTTTTACTTCACTTACCATTTGAGAAGGTGAAAAAATTGCTTTCCGGTTCTGCTGGTGTGATGCTGTCAATAGCCTGGTTCGGTAGAGGAGACGGCGTGTCGGGGTCCGTGTAACTCAATGTGAATATATTCATTCCAGCTTTTATCGTCTTTGCTGACAGATCTACAGTTGCTGTAAATTCATAGACAGTTATTCATTAAATATATAGTTTAATTATATACTAATAATTTGATCACTGATAAAAGTATTTAATAGCATATTTTTTTTTTAAAAATTAAACAAAGTGACAATTGGCAATCGCTTTACTATGTAATAATTTACCCATGTAATTTGTTATGAACAATGAGATTGCTTTTTTACCACCATGTGCATGCTTTAAACAGAAATGCGTTCTTAAAAAAAAACGTTACTTTTTTGAGTTTTTGAGGAACGATCTAATTGAATACATGGTTCTTGATGAGATTCTTACATTACGGAGAAATTACGGAGAAGTATTTGCAGAATATTTGTTTTGTTTATTATTATACATCATAATGTACTTATAATATACGTACTGTGATCGTTTAATATCGTCGGTGCAACATTTTGTATAAGATTGACAGTGACAGTTGCATCCGCCGACACGGTTCCTTCTTCGCATCGTACTGTGACGGTATATGTCGGTGTGGTAGCATGATCAAAACCAGGAGATAATGCAACCTTAACCAAGTATTGACCTACAGGTATTTTGTAAATCATACAAGTGTAATTATTTAACAAGGTATATTTGATTAACAAGCGCAGCAAATTTTAGAAAATTAGACTCGTTATACAAGGGGAAGAATCACGCCGTTCGTTACCCAAACAAACAAGATGGCGGATGCAGCCAAAAAGTATGTTTTTCTCTTTTTTCTCTGAAATTCGTGATGTTCTAAAGTATAGGTACATATAACAACCTTCTCCATAATTTTCCTGGCACACAGGATTTTATTTCATGATGTTTCGTCCCGTACTTCATCTAAAATGCGCGTCACCAGATTCGAAGCGAGAGAATTTTCCACCGGTTTGATCGTGGTAACGTACGGCTTTTTCTCTTCGAATCTGGTGACGCGCATTTCAGATGAGGTACGGGACGAAACATCATGAAATAAAATCCTGTGTGCCAGGAAAATTGTGGAGAAGGTTGTTATATGTACCTTTACATTAGAACATCACGAATTTCAGAGAAAAAAGGGAAAACCCTATTTTTTTGGCTGCATCCGCCATCTTGTTTGTTTGGTTAACGAACGGCGTGATTCTCCACCGTGATATACACTAGAATTTGATAAAAATTGGAACAAAATTTACAACACATAACAATTATAATATCTGTTGAGCTTATGAGTTTTCTACCGTCACTGTACCTTTCTTTATAAAATTGGTCCAATATAAATCTATTCAAAGTTAAGCTTAAATGAGCTGTGTCACGACAAAACCAACATAGTGGGTTTGCGACCAGCATGGAACGCGCAGTCTGATCAGGATCCATGCTGTTCGCTTATACGAACTCTATAACAAGTAGAGAAACTGATAGTGAACAGCATGGATCCTGATCAGACTGCACGAATGCGCAGGCTGGTCTGGATCCATGCTGGTCGCAAACCCACTATGTTGGTTTTGTCGTGACGCGGCTCAAATATTTTTACTATGCAAATTAATAAGAAACGATCTTACCCCCGCCAGCCCCTGCTGGTATTGTAAATTTTGTTTGTGCCGGATTGAAAAAGCATGTGACAGTTGTAATGCTAGGGCTCTGATAATACGTCACACTGTACAACAGCTCGCCACCGGAAGTATCTTCAAAGACCGATACAGATGCCGGCAAGTCTCCAATCTCTATGACCCCGGCGCATTCACCTGAATATATAATATTTATTCATTTATAGATGTATGTTCTTCTTTCTAGCTATACTAATGGTATTCTTGTGAAAAACAAGGTTCCATGATCGATTCTTTACCCACAGCGTAACTGGTGCGCGGAGTTTGACACCAAAATAACCAATGCTGCCTTTTATATAGGACAATATTGCTGTATAAATGCACTTCTACGGCGACTGATCATGGTCTGCACTATTCGCTATTCAGTCAGAACAAATTATGATTTTTTTTCCCCTAAAAGGACAAATAGTTATGTTCGGATTGAAAGATTGACATGTCCTTTTAAGATATAAGGCGAAGTTAGGGTACAAAACAAATCATAAAATAAGTACAATAAATGTCAAACATTAACATACAGTATCTATAAGACTTTGTCTTGTAATAAAATATATATCATGATAATGTAGATGAGTAAATTTCTGTAAAAAGTTGACAAAATACTTCATTCTTAATCTGCATGTAGATGAGTAAATTTCTGTAAAAAGTTGACAAAATACTTAATTCTTAATCTGCATGTAGATGAGTAAATTTCTGTAAAAAGTTGACAAAATACTTCATTCTTAATCTGCATGTAGATGAGTAAAATTCTGTAAAAAGTTGACAAACTTAATCTGCAGGGAACGGAAACAACTAGCCTTTACCACCAGTTTAATCAGTTTAATACCAGGTCAAAATCCATCTCCGCACAGACTGACCTAACTCGATATTGTTTGAAGGTTTTTCTTCTTTTTTTTCTCTTTTTTTTAATGAAATCCCTTGGACCGCGAGTCGACTGTTCCAAATTCCAAATTCGAAGCAGGTCAAATCCATTATATTAACATCAGCAATCTTATGAATATATTTTATAAAATTTAGTTAAAGTAATATTATACCGGTTACATAATCTAATGGTTGAGTCTTGAAAGGGTTGTAATAAAGAATATTTCTGCTATTTGAAGCACATGAATATTGTACTTACACAGAATAAAATGTTCGGAACAAAATATTTTTTTAGTTATATTTAAGAATAAATAAATATAAATATAAATAAGCATATCTTGATGTTCATATGAATGAATGAGTGAGTGAATGAATGAATGAATAAATATATGAACGAACGAATGAACGAACGAACGAATGATGCAATATACGTATATGTTTAAACAAATTGTTGAGTGTCTGTCGAAAGTATATGAATTGTTTTATTCTAAAAATTACATATTATACATTCATTTTTCTACCTATGCATGTCCTGTTGTTGTTGTTTTTGTTGTTTTCTATTTCAGAAGGCCACATTGGAAATAAGATATATATGATTGTTATTGTATGTTCTTAATGTGTAACATTCTTTAAATAAAGATGATATTATTATTATTATTATTATTAAGGTTTTTTTTCGTTAAGCAATGATTATGTGCATGCGCCATACACTTTTAATATGAAATGCACTACCATATACATTTCATACAAGCATTTAAGATAAAATCTTTTTTTTTTAAATACAAATAATAATTTTTGTAGCAGATATATAGCTTTATACACTGACTTATCAAAATTCTTACATTCCATCTATCCATCTTATTACCTTAAATTACCCTATTTAATTTATTTTCTATCGACTATTTGTCTAAATTGCGTGTGATCATGATTTCTATAAATAACACAATAAAAAAATGATTTGAATTATACAATAAAATAGAACATACCTGGTACAAAAAGACTCAAAAAGAATCCAAGTATTAAACATAACATTTCATATATATTCTTAGAGTAGCGTACAGCATTTCAAAGTACTCTATTCACTTTTTGATAACACATTAAGTTAAATAAAATCAGGTCTGAAAAAATTATATGTGACATTTTTTCTTCAGTTTTAAAATCGTATCGCAATTCACCGGAGTCATTGGCGCAGTAAGCGAAAAGACAATTGGTCTATTATAATCTCTTTATATTTCACTGATCTATAGGCTTAGATAATATTAAACAATAGAAGTTTATTTTTACTTTATTTTAGTTACGTTATTCTTTTTAAATATCTGACCAAATCTTATTTCAGATATAATACTATTGTAAATGCATATGCCGTTGGAAAATAAAGTGACACAATTACTCTACTACAATGTAATGGGCGATTTAATAAAAGTATTGAAATTTATTGACTATTAACCTTTACTTTTTTTGGGAAGGAGATGAACACGTGATTTGTATGTCATTATCTTATGTTTATATGTAAATCATTATATATATAAATATATAAAGGATTCAATCGAGACTAATTCAAGGGCAGTAACCTTGCCTTAAATAATCTAAACTGTACCGAGTGAATGGTTCGCTCATTACAGTGTCTGAAAATGTATCAATAGTGAGGCAATTTAAATCTTTTCCATCTATAAAATATTCCATTCAACTTTTAGTACGTTTATAAACTAGCCCTAACAGTATTTAAATGGCCTGTCATATTACAATTGAAAAACATCATCATTTAAAATTAAATAGTACGACGCTGTTATTGCTGTGCGCTGATCTTGTCTGCACTGGTTACATTGGCAAATTTCGTTAATGTCAGCAAGTTAAGCTCTCTTTGTGGCCAGCTTAAGAGAACTGACCTCCAATTCGAATGGATAGAATTATAGTATATGTTTACATTTATTCAAGTTTTGTTTGTTTGCTTCATTTTACGCCTTTTCTCAATATAGACGGGCAGTTTCCTAAACATCGTTCCTGACTACCTTCCTCTGCGCTAAACTACCAACAAGCATCTCCCGGGGATCGATTCAAGTAAAGAATACTAAATATCATAACACCATGATCAGTTTTTTTCTTCAAGCCACCAAGCCAACAAATATTTATCTTTATATTACATATTACTACTTTATCTATATTTGTCACCATATAATTGCTTCACACGTGGTTTTTACACAAAAACAACATATTTTACTTATAACAACCATATTATCATTGGTAAATACTCCAAAGGCTGACAATAAGTCTCAGTAATATAAATATTCCTCTCCACAGAAGAATTATTCGGAACACCTCGCCAATAACATAATTATAAGCCTTACCCGAAGGTTGACGGAAATGGCCGTAAATTTGCGATTGCTAAAAATTAAACAATTCGATATTTAGCCAAATTCATATACACGAACGTGCAAAAATGTCGCAGTTTATGTGATCGCTAATGATTAAATTACCATGGCAACGAAGATATTGGATTTTCTTGAGGAAATGTTTTCTTACATATATTTTCATTATCCAAGTCTTCAATTATCACCAAAAGAAGTTGACCAAATTCCCATGACAACTAACCGAAAACATAGTTATGAAACCAGTGTAGCCGATCTGTTTATAGTAGCAGAAGTTAAATTCTTCTGTTTATGCGTCTCATTGAAAAAAAAATTTTTTTTTTTTTGAATTTTGATAAAAAAGGTTAGGAAGAAAACACCGACAAGATGGAGCAGATGTCCGATCTCAAGTAAGTTGCCATTTTTTTTATTATTATCCTTTTTTTCTATTCCAGATTTTCTAATCACAATTACCATTGTTTGTATATAACTAAATTATGTAGATAGCAATTATTAATTATGTGTATTTTACGGCAGCAGAATGGAAGAAAGTTTTGAAAATTTTACACGTTTTTCTGAAAGAACACAGGATTTGTTTAAAGTTACAATTTATGCCACTTTAATTTATAGTAACTGCCAATGTTTATATCACATCCTACTATTGTCAATTTTCACATATGTATGACTTCCTAAGCGTATTCTACTTTGCGACATAGATAAATCTCTTTTCATAAACCCTTTTGTGATTCTTTGCTATAATGTGTAGATATCTGAAATTTAAAAAAAAAAAAAAAAAAACGAAAAAAAAAACATGATGACCGGTCACTTTATTTAAATGATAATATCCCAATATCTATAATATGCCTATAATTTTATGTTAATAACCCTCCAATCTTATGTTTATAGCACCACAACATTACAATAATCTGCAATATCCCAACCATAGCATGTAATGTCCCGACACCCATCTTTAATATTCCTACATTCATTTGTAATACCCCCACATTTATTTGCAATGTCCCTAAATTTATCCGTAATATCCCTACCATTCCTTGTAATTACCCGATAAGTACCTGTTGTATTCCTACAAATATCTTAAATATCCATAAATATATCACTAATTTATCTCTAACGTCCCTACATCTATCTTTAATATCTAAACAATTACCAATAATATACCTACAGTTATCTGTAATTTACATACGATTACAGTAATGTCTCTACAATTATCTGAAATATCCCCACCGTTACATGTAATATCCCTACAATTATTTGTAATATAGTATCCCTACAACTACATGTAAATAATATACCCCTACAATTTTCTGTAATATATCTACCATTACCTTTAGATCCCTATAATTATTTGTAATATCCCTACAACAATTTTAAAACACCTAAAATTATCTGAAAAATCTCTAACATTACCTTAAGACCCAAACAACAATTTTGTAATATCCCTACAACTATCTGTTAAACACCTACAATTATTATCTGTAACTTTTCTATAGCTATATATGATATCCCTACAACTATCTGCAATATTCCTACAATTATCTGTTATATCCGTGTAATTATTTTAATCCGATCATATTTTAGGACGGAGAATTTAAAGAAAGGTGCGGCACCTGTAAACAACGATGATATTATTGACCTTATTCAGACCAACATGTTTGCAGAGATTGGATGTGGTATGTATAGTTTATAGGTCCTATCTAAAGGTTAACATCAAAACCTTTTGTGAGGACCCTACATGGGGATCACCTTAAGTTTGCTGGGAATAAAAAAAAACTTTTGCAAAGGCCCTGCATGGAGTCACTTGAAGTTTGCTGGGATTAAAATACACCCTTTTGTAAGGGCATTGCATTGGGGTCACCTGAAGTTTGCCGGGAATAAAATAAACCCGTTTTGTAAAGGCCCTACATGGGGGTCACCTGAAATTTGCTGGAAATAAATTTATCAAGCATGATATTCCCTTAGCATTTGAAAATCAGTCATGTTCTACTAATGACACTTTTGAGTGGCTGACACGTGTACTCTCTAATGGTTTCAGGTGCTTATTCTTTGTGAATATTATAGTTTATACAGTAAAAGTGTCTGAACCTTGACATGTTTATACTGGAACACATAGATTTGATTTTTTTTGTGTTGATTTATAATGAATATATATTTGTACAAATAAATTTAATAGTAAAATATGCTTGTGCTTGATGAATATACGTTTGAACGCATAGATTTAATAGTTACATGTGTTGATTTGTAATGAATATACATTTGTAAACATAAATTTATCAGTAAATGTGCTGATTCTTTATGATTATACGCATAGATTTGATATTTACAGGTGCTAATTCGTAATAAATATGCCTTTTTACACATATATTTAATAGTTAAAGGTGTTGACCAATGAATAAATTGGTACACATAGATTTAAGAGTTGGGGGTGCTTATTCATGATTAATATACATGTATTTGTAATATAATTATGTTTGAGAATTCTGAAAGAAAAAAACGTGTCTGCTTCATTTTCAATGTACAAATAATTAGAGTCCAACCCTACAGGAAATACAGGTATTTTTTTAGTATATTCATACGAGACATGTGCTGGGCCTCATACAAAGTTGTTTCTTGATATTTTTTATAAAAACTAACTTTTTAGCATACGATTGTTTCCAGGGTATACATTTAAGTTTAAAATATAAATTATGTTGTCTTTTATATATGTAATTTATTTCCCAATTCAGGTCCATTATGTCGTGTGAACCCGTTGACAGACCGCGGGAAAAGGTTCCAGTTGTTTAAGATACTATGTTTGACAGTGATACCTATCCTCGGTGTATGGGGCTTTACGATGTACTCACTTTCAGACAGTGTGGAAAGCAAAACCGACATTGAAGTTGTAAGTTACATTTTGTGAACCGGATCTGTCGAAACGTTAGGTTATTAAGGATTACTACAGATATTACGTAGATTTAGGATATATAATAGTTAGTCCTCATATTCATATTTAATCAGTGATTTGTGTTTTGTTATTTCAGACACACGTCGTATATGTCTGGTCATCTTTACGTGGTGAAAAGATTCCTGATTCCGGCGCACTCCGGCGTCAATTTCTGATGTTGCTATTTAGAAAAATAGTTATTATTTATTATACTGTGCAACCTTTCGAAAAGTTTATTAAGTAATGGAGACATTATAAAGGCTTGTGTCCTGTCAGTGAGTGTGCAGTAGATTTTTTTTTTATTGTGGTCTCTTCCTTAAATATACCGGAAATGACCAACTGCTTTAATTAAATTTGTCTTTTTTACATGCATAACCATGCATATACCAAATATTATGATTTAAATATTTATCACAGGCAAAAAACTCGATGTCTATAGTGGTAGTCCTTGGACGCTTAATCCATCGTCTGCAGATGGAACGAGATATGAGCGTTCTGTATTTAAGCGATCTTGGACCTGGAACCAAAACGTTTCTTCTCGCAGAATATATGGCTACTGATGACGCGCTAGAGAAGCTGACAATCTGGCCTGGTGCCTTACAGGTATAGCATTTTATTCTTATAAACACTTGGACAAATGTATTCTAGTGAGAAAAATAATATTTTATATTGTATATGGATATGATACTGAATAAAAGTTTAGATTCGGATACCTCTTTCCGTCAGACATATAAGTTAAAGCATATGAGTTTCTTAACTACTCTAAGCTAGTTCACAGCCACTCCTAGGTTAAAGAGGCTTTTTTCAATTCAAACTCAGATCTCGGGTATTTGATTGGTCAGAATTAGAATCCTGTACAAAATCTACACTGACCAATAAGAAACCATATTTCAGACAATAATAAGAGAAATGTTTCATAGCTCTTAATGGTCACCTTTGACCAAGGCTTAAAAAGAATACTTATAATAATTAAGTAACTTTCTTAAGAAGGTGACAATAACATTTTAAGCCAACACAAATTTGGTGATTTGGTGTGTGTAGACAAGTTTGAACGCGGTGTTTTATTAATGTTAGTTGAGTTCTTGTTTTCGATTTTGTAATGCATATACGCTTTTCTGCTTTAGAGAAATCCCCGGGAGCAGTTCAGAAGCAAAGTTAATCTCATGTCCTATATAGCACAACACAGAACATCCCTGAATCCGAAGAAAGTAGATCTTTATGAAGAAATCAACTTTTACAGGTAGGTAAAATAAAGGGACTCTGAACAGTCAGATTTATAAAATATGGTATGAAATAGTATGATTTACATAGATTAAAAGGATAGGTTGTAGATTTATATTACTATAAATACGTTTCTTTCAATCGAATAGTTAATTGGGCTATCCGTGAGCGAATTCTTATTTGTTACATGGTTTGAAGCATTATAGGAACTTCACTAATGTTAAAGGGCATAAAAGTTTAAGAATGTGTAGCACTTAAAATCTACAAACGGCAATAAAGAAATAAAATCTGAATTAAACTGAAAAATCGACTGTTTGTGCGATTCTTACCTGGATTTGAGTGAAGAGCGTTGCAATGCTTTTCATTTTTAGGTCATTTTTCACAATAAAACTTACTATTTTAGACTAACGGGGTGAGAGAATGACCAAGTTATTGTTCGAGACCTTCGTCAAATGGTAATAAATCTTGGACAAATATTTTCAGTCCCATCATATCGAAAAAAAACTCAATGGAATCCCTTTAACGTTAAATTGCCAAAGAAGATTGGTCTAAAATGCAATTTAACTGCATAATCAAACTACATGTACATAAAATAGCTAGCTGGCAAATCTTCTATTACAGTGACATCACGCGGGAGTTTCTGGAATGGCTAGTAGAGAATATTAAAGGTTCCGGGTTCGGTGCTACTTGGAAGACGCTGGTCGCTTACCAGAAGATAACTCGTTGTAAAGAAGATATCGGTGTGGAGAGAGCATACGGTGCCATGTTTTACACGATTGGAATGTTCCCTCGCTGGATAGACTTTGAATTTTACAACGACCAGGTTCACGACTTTAAATACAACTACAAAACCGCTGTTTTCTACTCCGATATAGTTGTCCCATTGCTTATGGAAGAAGTTAAGGTAAGCAAGACTTTATGCAAACATATACAGTGCAATTGGTTGTAAAAAAATAATATTAATGTAAAACGATTGAAGTATTGATAATTGTATATGGTTTGGTATACTATACATCACTTCACAAAGAATACGCATTGTACAGTACTAAAATGTATTACCAAACTATGTTTAGAATTTGTAAGACATATAATAATGGTATACTTTGAAATATTTCCTCCGATTTGTATGTTAGACTTGAAGAATATGTTACATTTTATTACGTGAAATAAAATGTTACACATTTTATTATTTGTGACTCTTGTGCTTTGTTACAAATTACCAAGAGCTGCTACCTTTATTTTCTGTTAAGTATCGGAACTCCAAACGTAGTTATATGGTTTCATAATGTCGGATATATCGTTATTTATAATTCTAATACAGGAAATCAAATCAACGGGCATCAACATAACAGTAACAGTAAACGCCTACCGGTATGAAATACAGTACCATGACCTGAATGTGTCTTACAAGTCGGAGGAGAAGACGAAATGGTTCTTTGACAACATGACGGAATATCTCGACTCATTACTGATGATTCAAGAAAAAGTTGCCAGCAGAATTACAGAGGAAGTTGAAGAAGTCCTCAAACAGGTAAAATGATTTCTTCTTCTTCTTCTTCTTTTTCTTCCTCCTCCTCCATTCCCCTCGTTTTCTCTTTTTTTGATATTTTTTTTTTTCAATTTTATTATCATAATCACCGTTGTTGTTGTTACTTTTATTTTATTATGATATGTTATTATTATTTATTGAGGTCGAACATCTTCAACACTAGATTCTGTAGTCGTGAACATCAATACTTTCTTTAGATTCTGACAATTATCCCATATGCGTTCTTTCATCTCATTGACAATTCAACGATTTGATTTGTTTATGATTTTAGGTTATCACAAAAGTTGTGATTTACGCATCAATGGTCGTTGTAGTAATTGCTATGTGTCCAGTCATCATGTTCTCATCTGAAGCTCTTGCCAGCGACATCCAAAGATATACACAGACTCTTGTTGCCAAAACAAAGGAACTGAATTTAGAAAAACACAAAACAGACACACTCCTGTATCAGATGGTACCTAAGTCAATTGCAGAACGACTGAAAAATAGTTCAGCGGTAGAATCCGAATTCTTCCGATCAGTCACGATTTTCTTCTCGGGTATTTCCGGCTTCAATCAAGTATGCGCCGAATGCTCTCCCATAGATTTGGTAAAGATTTTGAACAGTCTGTATACTGCTATGGACGAACAAATTGGCAATTATGACGTGTACAAGGTGGAAACTATCAACGATTGTTACATGGTGGCATCAGGTATAAAACCACTAAATATCTTGCTAATATGCCTATTGATTGGCTTGTTAACAATTTTCTTTAGATATTCCTGTTATTGGATATTTGCATATCGGAGATAAAAGCGCTAAACTAATATATAACGTCTTAGTAACTGTTGAGTAAATGTACCCCGATGTTACTAAGACTCAAATCTGAGTCACACTATCAGTTTTATTCTGATATGATAGAGGCATACGATAGAGGCATATACTAATGGTAAAGGAGCACTTTAAAATGGTACATTGTATTAGGTGTTGTTTTTTGTTTGTTTTTAAAGAAAAATCTTGAAACGTATATTTATTAATGAAAACCAAATTTTGATTTGGCAAGTTTCATATCAAAAAAGGTTATTTTAAATTGCAAATGTACAATAACATTATGAACTTTTTACCTTAGATTGAATATTTCTTTTGATTTGAGACCATATTTTTCATTTTGTATATATTCAAGTTTTTGTTGTTGTTTTATTCCATTGTGGTAAAAGGAAAGATCACAAAAATATGCACAATTACTGGTTACCAAAAGAACGGAACTGAACTTAGAAAATAAAACAACACAGAACAGACACACTCTTGTAGCAGATGATTTATAAAAAAAACGCCAAGGATAAGTTTAATCAACATAAATAAAAACAAAATATTCATTCTGAGGCATTATGTGCCTTTAAATTCACATTATAATTACAAACTATGAATAGCTTTTTCTGTAAGGTACAAACAATATAGAAAAAATGTCGTTTTATACTTTTTTATACTATAATTTTATCATTGTAAATATGGATGCTTTAAATTTCAAATGTTGAATTCAGGTTTACCAAACAGAAATGGAGAAAAGCATGTATCAGAGATTGCCTCTATGGCAATTGATGTGCTCCACATGTCTCGAAACAAACAATTCCCCTCCGAACATACACCTATACAACTTCAGATTGGAATAAATACTGGTGAGTATCACATAAAAACAAGTTTATTGTGACAAACGAAATGAACGACGTTTCCCATTCAACTTTTCTTGCCTTTTCTTTAGTTTCGCTTTTGAGCCAAAATAATGTTCACATATAATCAAAATGACAAGTACATGCTAGTAAGATGCGGGCGTTGCAAAACAATTGTAATCAAAGTACTATATTCCCATCGGCCTAAAACAGCCTTGTCTGACAAGATGGTGTTCATCTAATGTGAAATAAATAGTTTATAGTCATTTGAAAATGAGAAAGATCTGTGTTAAATGGATTCCTCGAAAACTAACAAATACTTTCGAAAACGAAATCCTGCAAAATATTTGACCAGTGTCAGATTACAGCATGACAACATGGCATCGCATAAGGCGTCTTTAGTGCAAGATTTTATGCAGAGAAAAATTCGTTGTGCTCCCCAACCCCCGTATTCATCTGACCTTAATCCCATGAGATTCTTTTTGTGTCCAAAGCTAAAAAACATTCCAGGTCGAAAATTTGTTCAGCGCAAACACTTTGGTTCTGCAGTATTCTAGTGTCTAAAATGACTATGAAATGCCTTCAATGATTGAATCTGTACGTTGACACTGTGTATATCTGTTGGAGGTGAATGGTTTGAGGGAACAACATGAACAATTCAGTGAGGAATGAAATTTTACGTGCCTAGATGCATTCATATTTGAACACTCCTCGTAGCAACTAGTTCTAATATTTGTTTACACATATCTTTAGTGTTTATTGTACATCTGTGTTGTTAACGTTTTATATTAGACTTTACCCATTTGTATTGAAATATTTTTGTCAGAATCACGTATTCCATTATGCTAATAAAATGTTACTTTTCTTTTGTTTGACAGGTTCAGTTTCTGCTGGTATTGTAGGCACAGTTATGTTACGGTACTGTTTGTTTGGTGATACAGTCAACATTGCTTCTAGAATGAATTCTTATGGCCTACGTAAGTATAACGTCATTTTGTCTTCCTTTTTATTTACAATACCGGTATTACCCAAAATTAGTACTAGCTAGTCTGCGGAGGATGTCTACAAGTTGTCATTAGACCTAATTAAAAAATAATTTCTGTTTTAAATGAAAAGGCTGCTGAACAGGTACAAAGCACACACATGTTTAGATATCTTTTTACAAGCATAGAGTTATGAGTTATTCAGAAGCTGGTTGTAATCAAATTAGGTACAAAGTTATAAAAAGTTATCTCCAGTAGTGTCGTACCAATGATGTAATGCTCCCACAATGCCGTTAGAGACGTTTCTTTCCCCTGTAATTTACTGAAAGGGCAGTTGCAAACTGATAAGGACTTTGCTCGACATTTGCAAAAGTTATATAACAGAACATAGCTACGGAAAAAAATAATCACAACGAGATAGTAAAAGAAAATTTTATTTTATTTTTAAATCTTAGTGATGATAATGTCACTTTATTTATTCATTTGCTATACTTTCAGCCAACCGCATCCATATAAGTGACAATACTTACTTATGCTTGAAGAAAACTGGCAAGTATAAGATGAAGCTACGTGGAAATATGGACATAAAAGTAAATATCATAACATCACTTCATTAATAATACATTATAAACCATTTAACCGTTTATAAATTTCATAATTATGAATGATAGTCGAGATTTTCTGATTGAGCAAAGAAAGCACAAGAAATAAATGCTTTCTAAGTCAATTCGGTGTGTAACCATTGGTTTATATACAGATATATTGATGTTGTTGTACGGGTTAAAAACATGAATTTCATTTTTCTAAAACACCTCTGTATATGCATAATTTTGGTTACTTATCAATAAAAGGAAGCATGAAGCTTACTAGCGGCTACTGTATATACCAATGGGAATGTGCAGACCACATTAGGGTCTGCATCTAGCTACGAGTATCTGTGAAATATCAGTTTGTAAAATCGGTCAGACTGCAATATTGAAACTAGGCTTACACCGTTCGCTTTTTAGTAAGAAGGTTTTAAGAAATGTTCCCCTAAAAAAGATAAATGATTCAGTCCTTACAGAAAGATGGACAAGTTCATTTAACATTTCCAGCGGGATAAGGGCTAAGTGTGGATGTAAAAGCAGATTCGTTGCAGATATTATGCTGCTGATAAGTTGCAATTAGAAACAAAAAGACAATGCAAATGATGCCTCTCTCATGTAATAAGCTTGTAAAACATAGAATTATACATATTCATATTTTAATGAAAATATCATTGCTTTTTACCAGGGTAAAGGTCGAATGGACACCTACTGGTTGATAGACCGGATGTACGGCGGAACGGGCGGACCGAATGACGAGGATTATTCTAAAGATCGTCTGGTTAATGAAGACGCTTACAATGTCACTAGACCAACAGAACAAAATCTTGGTGAGCATGTACGTTTAATTTCGTTAAGAATAAACGAAAAAACTTTTAAATCATTTTTATTTAAATTATCCTTCATTGTTACCAAAGTATCAAGGATAAAACATAATCTAAAAGCAATGATGATAGCTTACATTCTTTTGCGCCTTTATTTTTATACCCACGAATGGTGGTATGTCATTGCCTGTCCATCCGTCTGTCAATCTGTCTGTCCACTTTTAGTCCGGTCAACAACTGTGTGCATACTAGTGGATGGATTTTGAAATAATTTTGAAGAAATGGGTACACATAGAGACTATATCTGCGTACAACTTCTTGTCACTAATGGCGAAAAACATCTCGCAGGTAGACTTCCTTCAATACAGACATCATCTATGTTCACGATGTTTGATAGGAATCATAACCCATTGTTAGTCATATGAATAAATAAATATCTTAAATAAACCTGTCCACCTTTCAGTCTGGGTAAAACTTTTTATTATTTTAGAGAGAAATATGTTCTGACTGACTAGCGAACAGAACTGACAATGATCTGACGGCACGGATGGAATGGCTATGTTCAACGAAGTTATGTAGTAGACATTTAACGTCCTTTCTGGATTCGAACCAACAGCGTCAAGAGAAATATGTTGATTCGTTTTTCCTAAATAAACCAGTTTCAACTCACAGATTTCGATCTTTTTTATGGTTTTATGTTTTTGTTTTCTCGCGGATGAAGACTCTTTAGCATTCTATTTATCATTGACATGATCCCGACTTTATAAAGGCTATAGATACACAGAAGATTTTTTTTAATCTTTTCCTTGAGTGGCATTTGCTTTATTGCAGGAAGTTCCGATTCGTGTGTCAGCCACGAGCTATTACCCGCCACTGATGAAGGGGATGGCAACGTTGGCAGACGACAAGAAGAAAAATCGAAAAAACGTAGCAGCGAAGATTTAAATCACAGACGACAAAGCTTTGAAGACTGGTGCTAAATGGGATTTTTAAGATCATAGGGACACACGTCAATTATTTATAGAATTTTCCCTACGTTTGATTTCGAACTTTCTTTTTTTTAAGTAAGGTGATATAGATTAAGCTTAATTAAGTATTAAGAACACAGGATTCTATCAAGCTGCATGGTAGATATGCAGGTTGATTTTGCTCAATACAAATACCCATAGGAATGGTCCCAGAATTAAGCGTTAAATGCAAAATCTTGATTAAATAAACACCATGCGATAACAGGGACACATTGATTCTGATATGATTTTCGTTTTCTGAATTGTCAATTTAATAGTGGTTTTCAACAAAACAGTACGAAATTTATTGCAGTAAACTGTTGGAATAATGTTTAAAAACTGCCGGCATTTTCGTTTCAATGAAGCACATGACGCAACTTTTCAATGTATGAAAAAGCAATTGCAAGTTTTCGGCAACTTTCCGTCTTTCCTTCAATCTTCGTATGAGGCCCCGAAAATACACGGAATAAACACAGTCTTTCTATACATAATTGGAGCTGCGTCACGACAAAACCAACATAGTGCGTTTGCGACCAGCAATGGATACAAACCAGTCTGCGCATCCGCGCAGTCTGATCAGGATCCATGCTGTGCGCTATTATGTTTCTCTACTTGTAATAGGGTTTGTAAGCCCTGATCAGACTACGCGGATGCGCAGGCTGGTCTGGATCCATGCTGGTCGCAAACCCATTATGTTGGTTTTGTCATGGCGCGGCTCATATATACATTTTGTACTTATTATTATTATGTTTCAGAAACCAAAAGTACAACTGTTGATGATGTTTTGGTTATGATTTATGTTAATGGGCATTCTAACGAGGATAGATGTCAAGATGTATTTTCAATGATATTATTACCGAAAATACTTTAGTTTCCAACGGATGTCAATAAAATAAATACATTCATACTTGTTTACCTTCAGTCTTCATTCACAGCAAAAGTAACACAGTAGAGGAACTTTTAATCCGTGTTATATCAGAGCTAGATGATTATGAACTACAGGCCATGTGTGCAAAATTTGAAAATATTTTTTTTTGAAGTACCTGTTTTTGCTTTCTTTGGAAGTATCCATATATCACTATAAATAATCTTTGTTTTTATATACATGTGTCTCGATATATTGATATACATTTTAAAAAGTAAATATAAAACAATGATATCATTTATTTTACACGTCATTTATTTAACACCTAATAAAATGTTACTATTAACTTTCTTTATTTGCACCACGTATAAATGTGTCATTATTGGATAGAATATTATCTATTTAGTCTCGTTTTTATTCCCAGAGTCCAAAAAATCCATATCAAATCCATATTGTGCTCCATCTATCCGTTTTCATTTTCCTAGTTCAAGAAATCCTGTATCAGACTTCTATTGCAATTTAGCCAGCCTCGCTTTCATTTTTGAGTCCAAAGTTCCACATCAAATCCATATTGTGCCCGAAATAACTGTATTTTTAATATAATACAAAAAACACCGTATATTTTGAGTGTTTTCTTAATGTCATTGTGTTTTCGCCTTAAGAATTTGTGGTAGGAAATAAAGAGTTAATTTTACATTGTTTAGTACTATATTGATTTTATTGGACTCGCACACAGCTACAAAACGTATATTGAACTCGGCGTCCGATAAAGGTTCAATAATGCATTATAACGGATAACTCGTAATACTTTCTGGACCATGAAATGTGTTATAGTGTGCTGCAGTAAGTTTTTATTTTTGTATGTTAAACTTGTATAAGTATTGTTATATATGTATATATACATTTTAAGGTAGTGTTTTGATTCTAAAGTTTTGTTATGTTTAAATGTGCATTGTCAATTGGCGATAAATTAAAACGTGAAAACTTTGTGTAAATATTGCAGCCAATTGAAAAGATATTCTTCGGTTTAATTTATATAGTATACTTGGCTTGAAAGGGTTGGGTTAAATTTGATTAGTAGTAACCATCATATTATTACGAAGAAAATTTTCACTGCAATAAATTGGATGATTCTGTATATTTTAAATGAAATAATATAAATAATAACACTTTTAATTAGAGAACTTTTAAAAGCCCACGAGGAACAAAAGCTCAGAGCCACCAAACTTGACACATCGTTCAGATGAATCCATTTCAATTAGATTATACAAAACAACTTGCCATTCAGCTGGTTTATTAAACTAGAATATTGTACGTTTAATTTTACAAGCAAAAATCCCATTTTTCCTATCACCCTTGCCTATTGTGATTCTGATCGGTAAAGTGATTTGGTAAAGTGATTTGGTGGTGAAGTGATTCTTGGGATTTTGTCTTGGTGGGCTTTTGCCATTGTGGCTATTTGTCTAGCTGTTTTTTTGTTTTTGTGTTTTTTTTTTTTTTTTTTTTTTTTTTTTTGGGGGGGGGGGGGGTATTGTCCTAGTTTATATTTGTTCTTAACATGTCCTAGACTTCGTTTAGATACCGGATAGTTACAAGGTATTTTGCTGTTTAAAATGTACCAGATACTAGTAATCGATTGCGTTTTATCGCGTAACAAAGGCGGTTAAAATTCAGAATGAATGTGTTTTTTTTTCTTATACATGTATACTGAAATGTTATGTTTGTTTCGCCGACATTGAATATTTATCAGTGTTCGAATTTTAGCATATATTTTACATGTGTGGGACCTAAAATAACTAATTGTTAAATATATATATTCCCATATTTTATTTGGTTTTCTTCTCCTTAAAAAAAATTTCATTATGCCCGTTTTCTGCATGCTTATTTCGACATAAACTTTTATTTTGTTACTGAAAAAAAACTATTAATTTATTAATTTCAAATGTATGAAAGAAGGTAATAAAAATTTATTGAATGTATTTGTATGATATGGAAATAAATATTTGTTCTTTTTATAAATGTGTTAGTTTTACATTTAATCCTGTCTATTCCTGTCATGGCAATGTGATGAGATGACATTTGTTCGCTACGAACGCCGAACTTTTAAACTTTGTTATGAAGTGGTTTTCTGTGTTAGAGCAGGATAAAAAAAGACAACAGTGTGTGAATTGGTAACTTTAAGGCCCATTAAGCTTCAGACATGCTATAATTTTTATTTCTCAAAAACTGATTATTTTTGGTATCTTCTTACAGTTTCCAAAAACATACCCATTTGCAATATATCTTTTTCATCTTAAGTTCTGTTGGTATAGTGAATTGGTATAATTTTAGTGAATTTTGTATGGAAGTCAAAATACTACTTTGTTTACATCTTGCTACCTTGACAACACATAAATGTATGTTCTGAGATACTTTTTTGCAGTTATAGAACATCTAACATGCACTTAATTCATTTTCTTAACATTATAAAACACATGTTTGACATTTCTAAAGAATAAAAAAATATAAATTTCTGAGGCATATTGTGACAAGATACAGCTTATATGTTCGACAGAGCGTTTTCGCAAATTTAATTAAATTTTGTATTCATAAAATTGCACGATTGTAAAGCGCTCCAAATTTGACAACATTTTCATGAACGACAAAAAAAAAACGAAGATGTGTGTACATGTTTTGTTGTTTCCATCCATCTGGAATGGTATTTAATTATATAGGGCATTAAATTTTTCTTCGAATAATAATAATAATAGGAAGGCGCCAGATTATTCATTATCTTAAACATCATAATAGTTTTTTTCTGTGAAAAGGTCATTCAGCGGAGTTCAGAAAATGGTTAAGCAGATGGAGTGTCATAATCTTTGTCTAGAATTAGTCTTGCAGCTCTCTTTTGGAACTAAATGACTTTATCTTCTAGAAAAGATGTATAGTTACCATAAATTATCCATTGGTAAAATATATATGCATTGAAAAACATTGCTGTGTGACGGAGGCAATGAAAGAGATATACTTTTGAATCGTAGACAAAATATTTTATTTGGCAGATGTATATAATGGAAATTATTATCGGCAGATGCTTAACTTATATTGTAATGATCTTCTTATTTGTATTATTCTTGTTTGGCAGAATACATGATCGAGACATTCATTCTCTTACTTGTCAGATGCAATTCTTGTTTTTAAAATTAAATCCTTGACCTTATTTCACAAATTATTGCATATTTACCTCTAGATACTAAAATTTTCACAAAGATATATAATTGCAAACTTAAATGAGGCACAAATACGAAAGTCAAAAAGAGTTCAAAAGAAATAGGAATAACCGTCTTGGTTTCCATATATAAACATATTCAAATGTATGGGGGTTATTAATGCATGCTGAACCCCTGCTCCGTGATTTTCGATATTCACTGCACAGCTCATGCACTTTAAATACACATTTTTGGGGGTAAAATAAATAAGGTAATACAGTATTCTGTTATCATTTCATTATACCCCCAAAAACGAAGTTTGGGGGGGTATATAGGAGTCACCCGGTGGTCGGTTGGTCGGTCGGTCGGGCGGTCGGTCGGTCGGTCCAGACGTCCGTTGCATTTTCCTTGTCCGGACCATAACTTGAAGACTTGTGGTTGGAATTCAATATAACTACATACAATGGTCAAGCACATTGAGAGGAAGTGCAGTGCACAAGAACCATAACTCTATCTTGACTAATTACAGAGTTATTGCCCTTTGTTACTTTTCCTTGTCCGGGGCATAACTTGAAAACTACTGGTTGGAATTCAAAACAACTTCATACAATTGTCAAACACAATAAGGGGAAGTGCAGTGCACAAGAACCATAACTCTATCTAAAGTAATTACAGAGTTATTGCCCTTTGTTACTTTTCCATTGCTTACTTTTGTCCGGACCATAACTTGAAGACTAATGGTTGGAATTCAATATAACTACATACAATGGTCAAGCACATTGAGAGGAAGTGCAGTGCACAAGAACCATAACTCTATCTTGACTAATTACAGAGTTACTGCCCTTTGTTACTTTTCCTTGTCCGGAGCATAACTTGAACACTACTGGTTGGAATTCAAAACAACTTCATACAATTGTCAAACACAATAAGGGGAAGTGCAGTGCACAAGAACCATAACTCTATCTAAAGTAATTACAGAGTTATTGCCCTTTGTTACTTTTCCATTGCTTTCTTTTGTCCAGAGTATAACTTGATGACTAATGGTTGGAATTCAATATAACTACATACAATGGTCAAGCACATTGAGAGGAAGTGCAGTGCACAAGAACCATAACTCTATCTTGACTAATTACAGAGTTACTGCCCTTTGTTACTTTTCCTTGTCCGGGGCATAACTTGAAAACTACTGGTTGGAATTCAAAACAACTTCATACAATTGTCAAACACAGTAAGGGGAAGTGCAGTGCATAAGAACCATAACTCTATCTAAAGTAATTACAGAGTTATTGCCCTTTGTTACTTTTCCATTGCTTTCTTTTGTCCGGAGTATAACTTGAAGACTAATTGTTGGAATTCATTATAACTTCATACAATGGTCAAGCACATTGAGAGGAAGTGCAGTGCACAAGAACCATAACTCCATCTTGACTAATTACAGAGTTACTGCCCTTTGTTACTTTTCCATTGCTTTTTTTTTGTCCGGAGCGTAACTTGAAGACTAATGGTTGGAATTCAATATAACTTCATACAATGGTCAAGCACATTGAGAGGAAGTGTAGTGCACAAGAACCATAACTCCATCTTGACAAATTACAGAGTTATTGCCCTTTGTTACTTTTCCTTGTCCAGAGCATAACTTGAAAACTACTGTTTGGAATTCAATACAACTTCATACAGTTGTCAAGGACATTAAAAGGAAGTGCAGTGCATAAGAGCCATAACTCCATTTTGACAAAATACAGAGTTACTGCCCTTTGATACTTTTCCTTGTCTGGAGCATAACTTAAAACGTACTGGTTGAAATTCAAAACAACTTCATACAATGGTCACGCACAAAAAGAGGAAGTGCAGTGCACAAGAACTATAACTCCATCTTCAGTATTTATAGAGTTATTGCCCTTTGTTCCTTTTCTTTGTCTTTCTGGACTTATTACAGAGTAATTCAATAAAACTTCATCAATGGCCAACCACATTGAAAGGAAATGCAATATACAAGAACCACAACTATCTTTAATTGCCCACAACCATAACTCTATACTTCAATTTTTTTACAAGATATTCTGTTACTAGTAACATCCTCATTTCCGAAGCAGTCTTGTGGGGGTATTAATCACATTTAGTGATAGTTCTAGTTTAATTATAATATATATCACAGTTATTCATCATTTAAATACAAACAGTAAAACATTCTGACCAATAATAACAAATCCTGACACAAAATCAGGCCATAAAATTAGCTTAAAGTACTAAAATTTCATCTTCATTATCTTTAGGTAAGACTATAAAACAAAAACTGCTTCCATAAAATCTAATTCTTGAACAGCTTGGGACATACGTATATCACATTTCCATCCCTTTCAAAATTACTCAAGATTTTATTCTGACATAATGATAAACATTATTTCAATATAAGTTCACTGGCGCTTAAATTCTTCCATGCATCTTCATTATAACTGAAGGAAGTAAAACTGTTCTTATTTTTAAATTTTCTTGTTAAAGCTTAAAAGAACATTTTTATTTAAGTATAATATAGCAAAGAGTTCTCATGATTTCTCACAATTACTGCACTGAGACTGCCTGTCCCTGTATTGAAGGTCCTGACCGTGTGTCGCGCTCATTAGCACGCTCTTTCACGTGCTCAGCAATACCAGGAAGGCGGGAGAAATAGTTCCGTGCCAACACGTGTTTTTGCTGTACTTTCTGTATGAACACGTTACCGTAACCCTGCAAATAAAAATAAATTGATTGTATCAAAGTGAATAAAACATTCAGAGCACTTTGTCATTTAATGAAGTAGGATGTTTAAACAAAGACTTGACAATTACAACATAACACCAACCTGACCCAAAGTCAGTAATTTTAAAAAAATCACCACTGCAAAAAAGATATGATAAAATAACCACAATAACTTACATAAGACAACACATTCTAATTATTTTTTTATTCTTAGTACTGATTACATTTAGCATTTTACATCTCATATATACAATCAGGCTTTTGCTAAAAATTATTTCTAAACAAAGGCTATAAAACAAGAAAACCTGCCACTCAAGACCATCATAATAAAATAGTTGCCAAGTATATGTCAAAACTTCTTGTTTTCCAGAAAACTAAATCTATGTTTTAATAATGATCTTCATATCATCACCTTAGTGCAATAACAGGTTAAGTCCTTCTAAATTCAATAGGTGTTAACCAGTTATTGCACTAAGGTCACAATATATGTGTATAAATGACACATAATGGAACAATCTGATAAGAACAAGAAAGTATAAAAAATATACCTCATCCAAACTGACAAGTTTCTGGTGGGCTGATGCCTCATCTTTGGTAAGAAGTATACAATTCCATGGTGACCATTCCTCGTGCTTGTTCCAGCGTACAAGAGTGAGATCAAACAAGTCATCCCAAGCACTAAGGATACTCTGTCCACCCCAAACCTTGTCCACCAAATAGCGAAGATCATGCTCCTGTGATGTTTATATAAAAGAATAATATATATGATTTATAAATATGTATATGAAATGATAAAGAAAAGAGCTGGAACAAGAAAAATTATACTCTTAAATAACTGACATTAACTTATTTTTCTCACTTTCATATAATGCCGACTGTTTACTATCTCATCAGGGCAAATAAACATAATACAATGTACAATGGTAACAACGTCAATTGAGGAGATTTGTGTACACATGTGAATGCAAAGTTAATTAATGTTATTTTGTTAAATAAAACTTTTACACATTTGTGTACTATTTTACACATACAATACAAGCTCTCTGCAGAGCAATGACCTTTGAGAAGCAAAGGGGTGCCTTAAAAGATGTTAAATCTATTGTCAAGTCTTACTAAGGGCAAATTGAAGTTGTTGTTATAAGGATGTAGTTGTTCTGTAAAGGTTGCACTGTTATTTATGCATTTACAAGACAAATGCCGTTTATTTTCTGAACAATAATTCTGACATGCCTTTTAACAAGATATGAGTTTGACTTAAATGTCCAGTTTTAACTTTTGAAATGTCAATTGTAAATCTCAGGGACAAAAGACAAGCATGAAACATAATTGTGTCAGTAAACAGTATTGTAAACTTGCCTGCCATTACTTTGGAGCTCTCACAAGTTACAACTTAAAATATCAATCTAATATTGGTATTCTAAAAAACTCAAAAGAAAACAAATTCAATCATTTAGTACAAAAGATTTTTCTGCAGTTATTACACATTTACTAACCTGTAACAAAAATGCAATTTTGGATCCATCTCCGATGAGTTCTTCAGCTTTACGAAGCTGTTTAAGAAGAAATCTGTATAGACTGTAATCTTGTCTAACTCTCGCGTCATTATCAATCTTGGTACATCTACGACATTTGCCGACGTTGCGAGAGTTCGAGGACAAGGCAAACTCTGTGGAAGGTAGGTAACTGTTGCAGCTTGGACAGAAATAAATATTCTTTCGCAACACTGATGGATCTTGAGGTACCTTTAATTAATAAATTAAAGAATTAATATATAAATCAATGTTCATGGAAAAAGTTTATAACAGGCGCATTAAATAAATCAAATAGGCATTTAATCATTTTTTCATTAAAAAGCAACTTTTTGAAGATTTGGAAATATTTTAAGATTTTAGATGACAAATTCAGCATTCATCAGATGCTAGGTCATTTCACATGATGGTCTGTTAATAAATAAAAGGAAAAACATTTTCTTGGATCAAAGAAATAAAGAGTCAGTATTTGAACTTGATAATGAAACCTTTTGTCACAAAGCAATTGCTCATCATTATAAATGTGAAATCTACACTGACTCAATGGAACTATCATAATAAATGAATGATGTCACTACTAAGTCACTCATTTGAAATATCATATTTATAAGATAAGGTCACTAATACATGTATAAATTCACATCCATATTAAATAAAATACTTCAAGAGTTGGGTAAACTTTAGTTTAAGTTCTTCAGCATACCCCTCTTTAGACTGTCAGGATATTGAACACAACACATGGTAGAAAAAATGTGAAACAGCAGCATGTAAAGTTTTAGAAGCCAGAACTAGATAAATTCCTGACAAATTTTGTACAATATGTGTCAATGCACTGAACATATGTCCAGTAAACAAACCTTGAGTAATTTGGCAGCCTCTGGGTTGAAGGTGGGTGTTTTGATGTACTGCAGGAAAAGGGTGGAGATACGTTTCCTTAAACCATCAAGGTTACTTTCCTTCACTCCACGCATCAATAAATCAGCCTCCCTGTCTATCAACTCTATAATCTCCTGTGTCAACTTACAGTCATGTTCCTGAAGTAAGAAAAAGCACATGATTTCACAGTCATGTTACTGAAGTAAGAAAAATCACATGATTTTACAGTCATGTTACTGAAGTAAGAAAAATCAACATGATAACACTGTGAGTCATGTTACTGAAGTAAGAATAATCAACATGATAACACTGTGAGTCATGTTACTGAAGTAAGAATAATCAACATGATAACACTGTGAGTCATGTTACTGAAGTAAGAATAATCAACATGATTACAGCCATGTTTCTAAAGAAAAATCAACATGATTACAGTCATGTTTCTGAAGTAAGAAAAAGCACATGATTTCACAGTCATGTTACTGAATTAAGAAAAATCAACATGATTACAGTCATGTTACTGAAGTTTGAATATTGTGGGCTAAATGGAACTTAAGTTATTCTGAAGAAACTGTTTTCAATTTCTAAGTAATAGTGACCTTGACCTTTGACCTTGTGACCCCAAAATCAATAGGGGCCGTCTACCCAATATGGACAATCATCCTATTAAGTTTGAACACTGTGGGCCAAATGGAACTTAAGTTATGCTCCGGAAACTGTTTTTTCAGTTTTAAGGTCATAGTGACCTTGACCTTTGACCTTGTGACCCCAAAATCAATAGGGATCTTCTACCCAATATGGAAAATCATCCTATGAAGTTTTAACACTGTAGGCCAAATAGAACTTAAGTTATGCTCTGGAAACTGTTTTCAGTTTTAAGGTCATAGTGACCTTGACCTTTGACCTTATGACCCCAAAATCAATAGGGGTCTTCTACCCAATATGGACAATCATCCTATGAAGTTTGAATATTGTGGGCCAAATGGAACTTAAGTTATGCTCCGGAAACCAAATTGCTAACAGACGGACGGACGGACGGACGTCCGGCCGAAATGGAATAAGGGGCCATTTCTTTTGTTATTTTCTATTGTTTAATAGAGGGCCAATGGCCCCTTACTCTATTGTTACGGAATGAACTCTATTGTTCTCTTTTGTTCTGTTTACAGTTAGATGGCCCCCTATCCCTATTCGGTAGTGCGGACGGACGGACAGACGGACGGACGCCAGGGGGTATAACATAATATGTCCGAAATTCTTTCGGGCATATAAAAATCAACATGATTACAGTCATGTTTCTGAAGTACACATAATCAACATGATCCCCAATCATGTTTCTTAAGTAAGAAAAATCAACATAATCCTAAATTGACTGATAATTACAGTCAGGCTTTCATTATTTTTTTCCTGTCTAGAATGATTAAAATTATCAAAACTTAGAAACCCATTATTGTTAAAGACCTCTATACAACCTTTGACTTATGTATGACAAACAAAATAAGGAAGAATTCATGTTGTTAGATTTTATTGAAAATAATGTACCTTTACTGTATGTTTAAGGGTTAACAACACATCAAGCCGTTCATCTTGTGTGAGAAACTTCATGTTGATACTGTTGTATATATCCCGCAGCTCTTTAGCGCGAATTGTAAATGGAGTGTCCATTTCTGTATGCTTTCCGTCAAAACCTCTCCATTTCTTAGGGGCTGCAGCCTATAATGAAGAAAAAAAAATACATTTTAAGAACTTGCGTTTCTTTTATTTAAATAATATATGTAGAGACAAAAATGTAGCTCCTGTGTTGTAATAAGATAAAAAAAATATTGAATATCTTGCCACTGTAATACATTGTTATAAGTATTTCATTCATTATATTTTAATATTTAATAAAATTTGTTATCTTGTATACTGGGGACATAGGCAAATCATATTTTGCTGCTTAGCTTTCAAAGAATATAATATTCTCACCTTATCAAGAAAGTCTTGTATTCTCTTGTCTTTATTTTCACCATCAGCCTCGAGTTTATGACGACCTATGGAGGCTATAAGTTGTGTCTCTTGATCTAATAACATACATAGAGCAGCCTTCCTCTCAGCACCAGTTAATGTCTCATCTATTCTTGCTAATTCTTCCTGTCTCCATTCTGTAATTACAATTTACATTTTTTATAATGGCATTATTAACAGGGCAGATTTTTATTTTGCTTTTATCCATGTACTCCAGACTTCACATAGGAGTTTTCAAAAACTGGTCAAACTATCTCTTTCATTTAATTTGGTTTGATTTCATTTAAGAGACATCTAATTTGTAAAATGGTGACATTCCATCCTTAGTAATTAAGGAGGACCTTCATTTTTACTTTGCTGTATAAGACAATCATTTTCCATACAGTCACAACCAGGGCATTTTGGATTAATAAAATACAAAAATATGTATAATCAGGACACTTTAACAAAACAGTCTGATTATTACAATTACACATGCAACATTTTTTGTGTGTTGGGCTTTAAATTGCACCTGGGCTAAGTATAGGTTATATGGCGACTTTCCTGTTTACTTGGTGGAGGAAGACCTTGGGTGCCTATTTGTGCATTATTTTAGGTACAAACAGGCACCTAAGTAGAACCACCAATGTTCTGCAAGCCAGCTGGGTATCTTTCTCACATGAAAGAATCTGAAGACGATTGCATTGCTGGAACCTACAGTGGTGAATGGCAAGGGGTTTGAACGACCTTAACCACTTAGGCAAAGACACCCCTCACATATAGCACCTAAACTGATAAAAAACTAAATAGTATTTAAAACAATGAATCTTACTTTCTAAAGCATGATATAAAAGATCAAAGTCTTCTTTTGTTTTAGGATTCATCCTTCTTTCAAATTCTTTCTTAATTCTATCTGCTTTTTCTTTTTTCTTTCTAATTTCTTCTAGTCTTTCAAATTCTAAACGTTTTCTCTTATCTTCTTTCAGTTTATTAACATATCTTTTGGCAAGCCATCTTCTATAATATTTCTGTATTATGACAACCTGAAATAAATGTAGGAAATATAATTATTTGACCATCAGAAAAATAAAGAAGATACCAGTTAGATAATTTTAAGAAAAATGTCCAAAAAAAATGCAAAGTTGAAGTATTGAGATGTTATACAAACATGAAAATCAAGGGAGATAAACATGATTGATAGATCCTTAAAATACAGAGTTATGACCCTTTCTTTGATACAAAAAAAAAAGAAAGAAAAAAGATTCACAACATATACTGCAGTTAAAATGTAAAAGTATAAAGAGATCTTTTTTTTTTTTTACCAACAAGAGTATTTATAGATGATTTCAAAGGAGATATTTTTTCATTTTAAAAACAAAGGAGCACTTTTTTTAAAAACGTATATTACAAAAGTGGTTTAACAAGAAACAGAAGAATATGTAAACTATCCAACAAACCCTTGTTAATATCATCATATGGTATTCATCTGCTGTTGTATATTTTTGTGGTGTAACAAGTTTATCCTCTATGTTAGAAACATAAACACCAATCCCCGTCATCTGCGTTGAAGTATCGTTTGTTGTTTGTTGTACACGATGAAGCTGCTCAACTGTCTGGGTGTCGCGACAATATTTCTCGGTTCCTGATGGTGGGCGGGGCTTCTGCATGGTTTGAGCGGAGGCATGATGATATTCTATAGATGTCTTTTTATGACGATATCCACCCAGGAATGGTTTCTTTCTTGTTGTTCTTTCAATTTCAACAACTACATCTTTATATGTACTGTCTTCTACAGAATTATAAGAAAAATGAAAAACTTTTTTTTTAAAAAACTGTACCTTTATATCATACTAGAACTATCAATAAATAAGAATAATACCCCCGCAAGACTGCTTCGGAAAAGAGGATGTTACTAGTAACAGAATACCTTGTAAAAGAATTGAAATAGAGTTATGGTTGTGGGCAATTAAAGATAGTAATGTGGTCCTTGTATGTTGCATTTCCTTTCAATGTGGTTGGCCAATGATGAAGTTTTATTGAATTACTCTGTAATAAGTACAGAAAGACAAGGAAAAGGAACAAAGGGCAATCACTCTATAAATACTGAAGATTAGTCCAAATAGAGTTATGGTTCTTGTGCACTGCACTTCATCTCACTGCCCTTGACCATTGTATAAAGTTTCATTGAATTCCAACCATTAATTTTCAAGTTATGCACTGGACAATAAAAAGTAACAAAGGGCAAAAACTTTTAAATGAGTCAAGAAAGAGTTTTGGTTTCTATGCACTGCGCTTCCTCTCAATATACTTGACCATTGTATGAAATAGTATTGAATTCCAACTAGTAGGCAATAACTCTGTAATTAGTCAAGATGGAGTTATGGTTCTTGTGCACTGCACTTCCTATCAATGTGCTTGACCATTGTATGAAGTCATATTGAATTCCAACCATTTGTTTTCAAGTTATGCTCCGGACAAGGAAAATGCAACGGACCGTTGGACCGACTGACCGACCAACCTACCGACCGACCACCGGGTGACTCCTATATACCCCCTCCAAACTTCGTTTCGGGGGGTATAATGACCAACATTGTATCTGTGCATTAATTACTATTATCATTCTCACAGGATCTATGAACATCACTGGTTTAGAGTTTATGCTATTCATAAAGAAGACATTACATGTATTTATAATCATCATCCAAAGAACTACACATATTCTATGCTACATATAATTGACATTATTGTCAATTAAGGTCTGTGGTTTAAACAAGCTTATATTGTTTTATAATAAATAAATGTTCATCATTGGATGCCTTCCTTTTAAAGAGAAGCATACTAATAGGGTATAATCATCATGAGCTACAGTGGTGAAATTTATCAGATATAATCTAACCTGTTTGAACTCTGACTGTGATTACATCAGGCATGTGATATTCTTGCCGGGGTCTGTATGCTTTTATGGGTGTGTTAACTGGGTCAGCTGACTGTAGTTCTAGCTGTATGGTACCATTGGGGCCTACACCCAGATCTGCTAGGGTAGTAGCATCAGTCATGGTTTTACCTGAATGAGAGGGCAAAAAATTATATATTTATTTCATATTCTTCATTCTTTGTTGAATATTATCGCTAGTTTTTACCCTGTAAGTATTATGGTTAAGAGCTCTTAACTTAAATAAAAATTCTAAGGTCAAGTATTTGAAGAATAACAAATTCTATACAAGTCATACTTGTGTGAACTTGTCACTTTAGATAAGAACTATTTCTGCAAAACAATTTAAAACAGCTTGTAACTGCTTCTAAAATCATGTATATATTTTATTTTTATATATCATATTCACTAAAATGACTAACACAAATGGGGTGTCAACAATGAATAAACAAACTTACCATCAAACATAAGCATAATTAGATTGACTGGCATCTTCAGCTCTGAGCTAAAATGTTGTTTCAATTGTTCCAGTGTCTGTCCCAGGGTGCAAGCCTGTGTCACCACTTGTCCACTTGGCATCAAGACAAACTTAACTGAAATTTTAAAAAGCACAGACTGCTTTACGATTATCATAAAGAATTGTAATGACAGATAGTCAAAGAAAAAAGATTCTCAAAGAAGTTGTTCATTTTAGTTTCTTAACGAAAGAAAGTTAATAATTAAAGACCAATAATATTTCATCATCTACATTTTAGCCAGTACCCAAGTGAGATGCAAACAATTATCATTGATGTAGGCTGACATATGTCAAGTATTACTTGGTATAAAATTACAATGTACCTGTGGCAGTTGCTTCCAAGTTGACCTTTGACCTAGGAGTAACAGCATGTGGGTCCACCTCAGGTTCAGGCTCCTTGTTCAGCTCTGTTTCAGTTGAAGCTTGCTGGACAGGGGTAGGTGCTGGAGCAGGCTGCTCATCTTTACTTTCCTATTAATTCATAAGAACTAAATCAATATCCAACAGTAAGGAAAATTTCTGAAAGTTTCATTGCCAAAATTTAACATGACTATTTTATGACGCAGATAATGTTTGTATAAGATCTGAAACTAAACAGGAAAACACAGTTTATTCATTATACTAAATCAATAGTACAGGTATTTAGATTTATTTTTTTATTGAATTAAATATAAAAAAAATGATTATTTCTGTCACCTTAGAATCTTCTACTTTCCCTTCTTTTATTTCTTCTTTCGTCTCTTCTTCTTTCTCTTGTTTTGTTTCGTCTGCAATTGCTTCAACTTTTTGCTCTGCAGGTTTTTCTTCCGCAGACTCCTCTTCCTGCTAAAAAAGACAAGTTGATGTAAATTATCATAACTGACAAAGAAATACATTGTAATGAGTGTTCTTTTGTGAACTTATTACTTTTTCTTATAATAATTATATCATATTTAAAAAGAAGCTTAGTTACTACACATTGCGAAATAATATTTGCTGAAACTTCTGTTATAATTTTCATCATATATGACCTAATTCATGAAAAAGTTTCATGTTTACCTTACATTCTAATACCCAAACTTATATACTTATAGATTTAAAAAATGGCTAGCAATATAGATATACTCCTTTCACCTTTTGAGATTGTTCAGCCTGAGGTTCTTCTGTGGTTTCTGCTTGAGCTGGCGTATCACCCTCTGGTTTAACTGCAGTTTCTGCCTGGGTCTCACCTTCAGGTTTATCAGCAACCTCTGTTGTCTCTGGTTTCACATCTGATGGCTCCTTAAATAATTTCAAAATAAATTAACTCTCAGTTTGCAGACACATTACTGGTTAAGATTATAAGATATAATTTTAAATGTTTTCAATACTTTTGTTACAAATTCTGTGGTAATAATAAAACTATTTTTTCTTATCAATTACATGCACATGTAAGTCACTGTCAAAAACATTTGGTATGTACAGAAAGAAATATCGCTGGAAATATGTTTTGTTACACATACATGTAGAATAATTTGAATTTTAGTGACTGTATCTCGAGATTTTAGATACCAAATAATGGTTTAGCAAGCCAAAAAGTGTAATAATTCATTATCCTCTGATCCTTTTATCGTGATTATGCTCTATGAAGAGTGAGCCAATTACTGAAGATGATGGTATGAACTTTGTTACTGTGTTAGATTCAGTGCCATTTTTTTTACACCACTGTGAGATGTGTTATTTGTTAATTACATGTTAAATTTTACATTCCGCCAATTACAAATGGGTATACCTTCTCTGCTTCTTGTGTTTCTTCCTCTTTTGCTTGTTCTTCTTTAGGTGCTGGGTCTTCCCCACGGCCATCATCTGGTTGTTCCTGCTGCTCTGCAGATTCTTGGGCTGGAGCAGGTTCTTGGGCTGGAGCAGCCTCTGTCTCATTCTGGTCTTGTGTAGGTTCTTCTGCCTTCTGTTCAGGAGTAACTTCTTCTCCAGTTGGTACTGGAACTCCCTCGGTTTGGTCTGCCATTCTTATAGCCTTAGAAACAAAAGTATTATGAAAATCAGTTGTTTACAATCATTTTCAGTCTAGATCTAGAGACATTGGCTCTGAAAACATTCACAAAATCGACTCAAACAAACAAATATTCAATGACAGGTTGAACAATAAATCCAAGTATTGCATATGAGCATGGAACTTAAATTTAATATTATGGATTCGATGTTAAATATACCTTTTTTACTATTTTCTCAGCTAAGAATATTAGTGGCAGCCATTACTGATATTGTTTCATTACGCATGGCAACGAGACGCTTATAACACGGCTAATGGGAAATACATTTTGATTGGTCGGTCGAGTAAAATAAACCAATCGCGTGTCCGCTAACAGAAATTTTTGGTAAACGGGCACTGAGTTGGGACCACAACAACCAGTGTAAACGGTCAAAATATCGAAGATTATTGTAGATAATTTTCCTAATATGTGATTCTTTTTATGAACTATTTAGGACTTATTCAAACAAAGGAATAGTTATTCTTTTCGATCGCTGACCATCAAAGGTAAATCAGTTCTTTAAAGTTTAACTTGTGTTTCACTGAACGACGGGGAATGCACATTTGATTTTGAACAAGTTTGCGTAAGTTAACAAGCCCCATGACAAGGACAAATTATGTTAGATCCAACTTCAATACATTTATAAAACATGCCACGAAACATATTCAAGAATCAGTAATAAATACAATAGTCTGAATATATCTTTTTTTAATTTACTTGAGGTTTTGGATCAAATCATCATTTATGGGTGAATTGTCAATAATTCGAATTGGGGCAAATCAATAGTTAGTACATGTAAACTAAAATTAATTCAATTATAAAATGGTCAAAATAGCTATCTTATTCTTTTCAGATCAAATTTATGAATCATTACAAGATGGTCAGCCATGATTTGTTGCCCTAAACGGCACTAATGATACACATATTTTTAATAATCCAAACATTGTACATGTGCAGCAAATTTACTTATTTTACTTGATGTTGAGAAATAACCAATTGTTTTTCTTTTCTTACTGAACATCTGAACATTATAACCTTGGGTAGGGAGAAGGGCAAGCGAGGGGGGTTAGTAATGTGTCAATGGTATATGGTAAGAAAGAAAATTTGAGTTACATACATGTACATTATCGTCTGCAAACAGGCAGATTTTTTAATTGATATTTGCGGGACCCAGATATATTTGAATTATATAGGCAAGAAACACAAGTTATTGTTTTTCTTCCTTTGATTTTTTTCATACATGTGCACAATTTTCAAACTTGAATACATATATTTTTTAAATGGGGTAAATTACCTCTAAAATAGAGCAATTGTAAGATAAAACAAATCATTATCAATTTGTATTTCTTTGGTATTTAGGTTACATACTTGTTTCTTATCTTAAATTTTAAAAAGATGAAGGCATCACATGTGGTTATATAATATAATTATTTTGTATTTCATCACCTCTCATCGCTAGGAATTTTTCTCTGGTGACATGTTTATTAATTGATTATTTGTTGTTGTTTTTACTGCACATTAAAATTCATGTACAAGATAAATAATAGTTAAAAAAAATCAGTTTTAAAAATATTTGCGATCAATGTTTTCTTCTTCCAATGATATACTTTTTTTCTCAAACAGTATCTCTTTTATATATATGAAAATGTTAATTCTCAAATAGGCCCCTTCATATCTACAGTATCTATTTAGGGAAATATACATAAACACATACTATATTGTTGCATATATCAACATGCATAAAAAACACACAAAATACAAAACATATAATTATAAAATCAAGTAATATGTTTTATGTTACCCTAGGATTGCCCATTGAGCCAAAATCTTATTCCCGGTATTATATGTTATAAACACATTACTTGATTACTTTCATACATTAACAGATGGCAGCTGTGAACGGACATACAAACGGTATGAATGGCCATACAAATGGTGTAAATGGTCATAGTAATGGTGTAAATGGTCAGTATGATGAAAACAGCCCAAGAACTGAATCCAAAAATAGGACCAGGATTGGAGGAGTGGGTCCTGATGGGTACCCAAGGCTTCCACCTATATCTAAACCCAATGTACCACAGAGGGAAGACCCTTATGCCAACAGCAAGTTAATGACATTCAGGCTGGCAAACCAAAAACAAGCTCTACTGATGAAAGTTCTGTAAGTACCTTCAATTAATAACAATTTAATATTTAGTGAAATCTTGAAAATGCATTGCAATCATTCTTAAAATGATTTGTGCAAATGAAATATAATGTTCATTGGTACCAAGAAATATAATTTTGCAATATTGGACAATATAAGATAGTTATAGCTTATAGATGAATACATGTAGTCTGTTAGATGACCATATTACTTAATATAAACAATGCAAAGTATGAAATGAATAAATCTGTCAGTGTATAGAACATGTTACTTTGACTGTATTTCATATGTACCATTTAATCCTTAACCCGCTGAATTTCTCAAATTGGACTTTTCCAGCTTCCTGTCCATTATCAAATTTGAGGATGACAAGGTAAAAATAAGTTGTTATACCAGACTGCACAGATAAGCTGGCTAGCTTGGCTCTATACTGATGGCAAAGGCTAGTCACCTTCAATTTTAGCAGTTTAAAGGGTTAATTTGACCATGTTTTTGTTTTGATTTTAAGTGCCGACACAGCAATGAAGTCATATGAAGATACAAGGGACGTTAATGAGAGAGAGCCATCACCTGATAATGGCCCAGACTACCCTGACGAGGTATGTTTACTTTATAATACTACATAGTGACCTGTCACCTTAGTGCAATAACTGGTTAACTCCTATTAAATCAAGAAGGACTTAACCCGTTTCTGCACCAAATTGACAATACTACTTTTTTCTTCTTTCTGATGCATTTTTATTATTTCATTATTATGATTGAAACATTAAATGATTAATTTGTATTAAATCAATCTGATTTCAATTTAAGATTTTTTTTCTTCAGAATTTTTGCATCTATATATTTATTTGAAGTACACATGATTATTTAGATGTTATCAAATGTAATGCACATACTATTTATTCAACATATATTTGTATAATAAATGAGCAAAAGTTAAAAAAAAAATGATGCTACAAAAAATTTTTTGGACCTGCATAGTTATCCACAGATCATGTATATTAAATCAATTATTTACTGATTATTTAACTTTGTTAGAAATGATTTGAAAAAAAAAGCAAAATATTCTACAAAGTTTTACTGTAATTGTTAAAGATAAGTTATAAAGAAAGAGTTGTAACTAGAAAAAAAATCATAAGGAACATGGATTTCTGATTATGTATAGATAGTAACATGCCAGATTTCATGTTTCTTAATTATTACAGTACTTAATACATTCAACACATGTTAAGCAATTAACTAGGCAAATTAATAGTTAAATACATGTAGATTGAAGATGTAAATAGATTTTACAATCAAAGCCATAGGTAATCCCCTTTAAGGTTTTTGGTATTATCAATGAGAATAGTTCTTTTCATTCATATCTCATTTAGCTTTGTAAAAAGAGCATGAGATTTGTAATTTAGGGGTTGCATGTTAAATGATCCCTGAACAAGGCAAAATTTGTCCATGACAATTAATCTCGGACAGTAAGTCTAATGGTCATTTATCTGTTACAGCTGATTCAGAAATCATGCATGTTGGGTTGTGGGTCACTTGTGGTGAAATTTGTGATTACTGGTTATTTATTTTGGAAAGTCGGTTATATGGACTGACCTCCAGAGATGTGACCAAAAATTTGTTTAAACTGACATAACAAACAGTCATTCATATTCTTTTCAAACATTGCCAATTGTAACTTGAGTGTGAAAATGAACAATTTCACAAAATAAACCTTTTTAGGGGGGAAATATATTTTAATCATATTTAGATGATGCTTTTAGTTAAAACTGCCTCCCATTGCAAATCTTGAGCCAAGAAAAAAGAAAGAACTTACAGAAGATGAGAAAAAGATGGTACATTCTTGTTGTTCTTATATATGTCTCACTAACAAACGTGTTGTTGACATTAAAGTCACCTGTATCAGACAAATTTATTTAAATTATCGCATGAAAAAAGTATTGGGTCAATTTTTTTCCCATATCTATGTTTGCAAGATGCATCAATTGTATATTTGCTTGGTTTTTGAATTTATATGAGAAAGGCTGTTCTGTTGATTCTGTTAATTAGTCCCCTACCGGTTTACCGGAGGGGACTTTAGGTTTACCCTCCGTCCGTCTGTCTGTCTGTCCGTCCGTCAGTCAGTCCGTCCGTCCACAAAACTGGATCCTGCGATAACGCAAAAAGTACTGAAAATATTTTAATGAAACTTGATATATGGATAGATGGCAGTATGGAGATTATGCACGTTTTTTTTTCTTCCTATGTTGAAAATTCTGGTTGCTATGGCAACAAATAGACTGAAAATATGGCAAATTTTACACATAACCTGGATTCCGCGATAATGCAAAAAGTACTGAATTTTTTTTTATGAAACTTAATATATGGATAGATGGCAGTATGGAGATTATGCACGTCATTTTCTTTTCTTCCTATGTTGAAAATTCTGGTTGCTATGGCAACAAATAGACTGAAAATATGGCAAATTTTACACATAACCTGGATCCAGTGATAACACAAAAAGTACTGAAAATATGTTTATGAAACTTGACACATGGTAGATGGCAGTATGGAAATTATGCACATCCTTTTTTTATCTTCTTATGTTGAAAATTCTGGTTGCTATGGCAACAAATAGACTGAATTTCAAGCTTTCTGATTCTAGTTTTTAAGTTTTTTCACTATAAGTTCTTTATTTCTCAAGGTATTTTCTTCAAACTTTAAATATAAGTTGCTTGTCATCAACCACATCATATGTGACAAGGTTTACAACTCTAGCACAAAATTTATCAGAAATACCTCCCTTGAACTGAAAAAAATTTCATGAAAAAACATTGTTTTTTTAATAACTTCTTTTTATGAATGTATCTACTTCAAACTTCATATAAATGTTTCTTATTGTCACTCAACATTTGTGAGTGTTCAATACTCTAGCAAGACTATTTCCAGAATTATGCCCCTTTTGAACTTAGACTTTTTTTTGAGAAATTGGTAATTTTTACTCCAACTTCTTCAATCATGATAGGATTTTAAAAATGTTATATTTTGATAACAGGGATGTTTAAAAAATAACTTTAGAGTGTCCTTCAGTCCGTCTGTCTGTACATAAAAACTGTTTCCTGTGATCACTTTTAAAGAACTTTTTCAACAAATTTACTTAAAATAGGAACCTAAGTGAATGGCCAATGGCCCTTCAGAATGTTGCTTGGGCTCTTACCGGTAGGGGACTTATGGATTGCTTGCAATACTATGATAATTGCTTGTTTTATTATAATTATTATTAGAAAAAAATGTTTACATTAAATTTTATTATTCATATGTTAGTAAGCTTGAATTTAGAAATTCAGATGGGGTCATTTTGAAGAAAAAACAACAAGCAAGAAAACATGTTTTAGGTTACGAAACACTTAACAGAACAGTTTGTCTCACATTCTTGTTGTAAATTTTATTGTAAATACCTAATCCAGATCTAATGAATAGTTTCTCTCTAATTGTGTTTGACATTTTTTTCTTGAAAAAAAAAGAAACATTTTATTTGAATAAAAACAATGTATAATTGATACAGCAGTTATTGCTATATAATAATGTATTATATTTATTCATCCTACAAGAAGTATCAAAATGGGAACCAAGAAGAAATATTTTGGTATTTTAAAATGATAAGTCACTTGCAGAAAAATGAAACTTTTAATGAGAAGTGTTAATATTCTGGGTAAAATCAGTGTTTTTTTTCAACTGCTTTTCTTGTAATATTATTATACAATTATAAAAAAAGAGAGAGAAACTATACTTTAGGTCATCATAAAATAGATATTGTAATGCACATTTTTGTGTATCAGCATCAAGCACAATTTTGATATAATGTTGTTATATTATATGATATATAGATGATGAGCAAAGACAGAAGAATCAGGGTGAGTATATCAAGTCATGTGCATAGATTATCATGTTTAATTAACTTACATACTAACCCTCAGTAGCTGACTGTCCTATTAGTAGAAACTCGGAATTTATTTCTTTTCTGAATAGAAGCCTCTTAAATGCTGATTTCTTATATTTAAAATAAACTTCTTGCATATAGAGGACCATTTAACCTTTCATACTAAAGCATTTGGGCCATTCCCAACCCCTTGTCCCCTTCCTTCTTAATTTTGGCCCTGATAAATTAAAAAAAAATTTTTTTTTTAAGAAATGTCTTTGTTAATGTAGAGGATTTCCTTTTGAATATCAAAATGATAAAATTGATCAATCCACTCAGATTGCATTTATTTGGGGCACAATATGTGGGATAAGAAAAAAAATTGGCTATTAACATTCAAATATATTGAGTTTTCCATTTAGTAATTGTAAACATTTTTCTGTCTTTTGTAAATCGTTTGTAATGCAATAGTTTGTTACTTGATGCATTCAGACACAATATTTAACACACCTTGTTAACAAATACTTTATTCTACTGTAATGTGTATACAAAACTGTGAAGTGGAAGAAACTGTAAAAATCATAGTTTGAACAATAACATGACATCTGTCCAGCAAACAAATTTTATTATTTATCTTAAGTTTTAAATTTATTCTGCCAATCATCATTAATAACAATTACTCCATAGCTATTGTGTCCTTTAGTTCTGCCATTGTCTGGAGAATTATACTTTTGTTACTTTATCATGAGGTACATGTACCATAAATAAGAAAGGAATGGTAACACTACCAACTTGAGCAGTTTTCTGATTATTACTTTTCAGAGTTAAAAGTGATAAAATTACATAATGATAAACAAGATACCCGGTAAATACAAATGGAAAATGACAGTTTTGAGAGTAGCTTAATATTTCTCTTGTTATTTAATTGTCAGTTTTAAGCATCTCAGACTCTCTGCAATTTGATAACCAATGAAGATGGGAATTTAAAAAAAAAAAAATTCTCTCTATATATGTCTTAAGTATAGAATAGTTCACTTATTTTGGAAAGAAAATGTGTAATTGGCAGGGTAGCTCATTCCTTGTAGCTGGTAAAATGGTATTCCTAGGGTCCTGTGGTTCGAGTCTTTGTTTGCCTGCACATTTTTCTCATCATGTAACAAATGAATATAAGAATATTCAGCTTTTCCTTTATCTAAAATGTTTCTCTAATCTACATGTAGTTTGTATAATGTCTCAAGTTCACTTTTATTCTATTTATTTAATTGATTTACTTCTACTTTTGGTTCTTCTTTTTTACAGATTGTTTTCCCCTTGGTCTTTTATTTACAATGGTCTTTCAATTATCAGACTTCTGTTAATCTTAATTTCTATTGTGATTGCTTATACCTTAACTTTTATAAAGGATAATCCACCAACTAGTTGCCAAATTAAAACTTAGCTACAGTTCCCCTGGTGTTTTCCCTCTACCAATATGGCATATTTGTTCTGTTATCTGTTATAGCATTCGTTAGGCTGTACTTCGATCTTGCAGTTGTCTTACTATTCCTATAAAATCCAATGAAATTATTTTAAAAATAAAAAATCAAATTAAAAAACTGCTATGAAAGTTGAATCATTAGAAGAGAAAATATTTTTAACCCTTCTGCTCCTGAATTTCTCAAATAGTCTTCCCAGCTTCCATATTTTGAAGTACCTATTGACAGTTTGAGGACATAAAAAGAGGCTGGTACAATTGCACTAATTTTTTGGGGCTGCTCTTGGTCAATGCTTGTGGAAAGGGCTGTTCAATTTTAGTTTCAGCAATCTAAAGGTTCTAAAGACATTTATATTTTGTATAGCACAACATTTCTGCAATTGTAACATCTGAGTTTTATGTCAACAATCAGTGCATGGGGAAATACCTCCTTATCTAAAATACCACATGTATTGTATTATTGTATGTATAAAATTCTGTTTTGGCACATGTTATAATGAGGACCAAATATTCCAATAGTATAATGATATCAGAGTTGTTTAATCAATAAGCTGGCAATGTTCCAGATTAAAGTTTATAATAATCGCCAAAGTTTATTACGTAGCTTTATTTTTGTATGTCTACAGCTGATTTGATTATAAAAGATTTTTTTTTGTTCTAGTTTTTTTTTCATGTACAGTAGCTGACTGATGATTAAGCCATTTACAGTTTTTTTTAAAACTTCAAATATTAAGACTGATTAGTTTAATTAAAAAAAAAATTAACATATAGTATGACCTGTGTCCTGTGTATAAATATTATATAAATATTATGACCTGTGTATGAATATAATTATGACCTGTGTACAAATATTATGACCTGTGTACAAATATTATAATGTGTGTACTAATATTATGACCTGGTGACAAATATTATGACCTGTGTATGAATATTATGACCTTTGTATTCATATTATGACCTGTGTATGAATATTATGACCTGTGTACAAATATTATGACCTATGTACAAATATTATGACCTGTGTATGAATAATATGACCTGTGTATGAATATTATGACCTGTGTATGAATATTATGACCTGTGTATGAATATTATGACCTGTGTATGAATATTATGACCTGTGTACAAATATTATGACCTGTGTATGAATAGTATGACCTGTGTATGAATATTATGACCTGTGTATGAATATTATGACCTGTGTACAAATATTATGACCTGAACTGAATTATTTTTATCATTTTGTTTGGCATTGTGTAACAGAGATTCATCTGTCCGTTCAAGCATTATAATCATATAGCATTTTGATTTTCTCTTCTCCCTTTTTCACTTATTTCAGTTGAATTTAATTTTATTTTGATCAGGATTTACCCTATATAATTAATACTTACACTTCTGGACTCGAAAGTATTAAGAATTTTTTTATCGGTATATTTATATTGACCTTTGTTTTGTTTGGGGCCTCTTTTTTTTACTTTTGTAAGAAATGAAATGAAATTTTGATGTTTGAAGTAAAAGATATAATGCTGACAAAATATGATTAAGGTAAAAAACTTTTTACATTGTACATATATTGTATATCTAAAGGTGAATTACCAGTTTATGAGAAAATGTGTGGAGAGTGGACCAGTTACACCTATGCAGAAAGAATGGGCTCACAAGATTGTAAAAATGATCCCAGAAAAACTCAGGTCTACACCTTATATGAAGGAGTGCATTAGGGATTTGTTTGAAGAGATAAAAAAAGACTTCACGTCTAGCATGAAGAAATCCATGGGTAAGACATAATTTATTTTATTTAACAATTATGTAAGTCATAGATTTATTTTGATGTAGAATTCTGTGATAATTTGTTGCTTAAACATGAATACCATAAGGCTATTGACTCAGATAGCCTGTATCCTCTTAGTTTAAAAGTGGAGAATTTCAGCTTTTTGAATGGTATGATTTCATGTTCATATAACATCCACGAAAGAAGTTTGCAATTATAATAATACTTTCAAAGTTTAATAGTGTTCACTCAGTCAGGATATCTTTGCACCTCTGACATTCAGTTTATATTTTTGGTATGATTTGAAGTGTACAGTGTAGTGGTTATTTTTCGGCGTAATATTTTGAGCCTTAATTTTAATATTAGGTGCTTAACTCTTATTTTCAGTACAACATGTTTTGATGAAACCAGAAGTTAAAGGACTAGATGGTGAAGTAGCTGGTCCACCACCTCAGGAGCCAAGGTATTATGTCTTACCATATTCTATGAATAAAGTTAAAGGTAGAATGAAGTCCATTGAAAAAACAAATGAACAATTTTAGGATAAGGCCAAAAAAAAGTGTTTCAGGTTTCCGTACCTACCCTATTTTTTACTTGCTGACTTGAGGTCTAGACGTTTTTGCTTTTCTGCTTTTTCAGATTCTTTTCTATTATACAAAAGTTTTTACGTACAAAAAATAGATAAATTCTTACTGGCCTACCTTCTGTTTTTTTATGGGTCTGAGACCACAAACAGAATAGTGACTGTTTTATTTTATTTATTTTTTGCTTTAATTGTCTTTGCTTACCATTTAAATATTTTTAACATATATTTTATATTTCATGATCAGGTTAGACTATACTAAAAGTTTGAAGTGTTTTCTTTCCTAATTTCCAGTATGGTGTATAATTAATTATTGATCAAGTAATCGATCACTGAATATCTTTACTGACATTTTATATGTCTATGGTATTGATTACCCTTTTTATCTTCTTTATGCTAAATGAGGTACTAGTAGCTTAGAAAGGATGAAACATTGTAAAACAATAACAGATCAAAGCAAATTCTATATCCATAGTACATTGCTTAAGTTGCATTCGAGTAGAATTGCGGTTGAAAAAGAAGACAATCAAGTTAAGAAAATTCATCATATCTAAAATATTTTCAAAATTTCTCTCCAATTCTATTACCATATTGTTGTGATTCTTTTGATATGTTTTATGACTAACCTTAAAATTTAGGCCCTTTGTTTTTTACCCCGTTTAAATCATAAAAAAAACCCCTAAAACATAATTCACAGTGTGTATACAGAATCACTGTATCATTTATTGTGAGTTTATATAATTTAGTGTATATGGTTATTGCTAGCACAAACACTTTATACTTCCAATCACTTTATGATTTATTGCAAGCTTATTTAATACAAAATATATTTTTTTTTGACGACTGAAATAAGACGCTTTTTCTCACTGTGATAGTTTAACATATTAATAATGTTATTTTTATTGTATTTCAGAGGTTTTTAGGCACAATTCAACATATAAATAATGTTATTTTGTGTTGTATTTCAGTGGTCTAGATTTCTCCAAGCCATGGCACAATGATTTTGTTGCTGCCAAGGAGAATATCAGAGAGAACCTACACATGTTACATCCCTCCATGCAGACTGTTCTTGATATGTGTCAGACAACACTGGGAAACATGATTCTTGTTGACTGCTCAAAATTCAGGTATGTCACTTTGTTTGTTTGTTTGTTCAAAGAAAAAAGCATAAAATAAGCTTAAGGTAATCTTACTGTTATGCTTTCCTGCCAAAAAATTCTAACATCAGCCAATATCGTAGCAAATTGATTATTTCCGGAACGTTATTTTTTCAAAATCATGGGCATCAGATTATTAACAATCACTCATCCTTTATTGCTATGTACTAAATTTTGGTTGTAAATGGTTAAAAATAATTGAATACCTATAATCCTGAAAAATAACATTCCAGAAATGACCGATTGATTGCGATATTGGCCGAAATTGTAAATTTTTTTGGCTGGAAAGCATTGCAGTAAGACTACCTTAAAGCAGAAGTATTTATTTTTCACTGTAGCTTATAAGGCTGAGTGCTAGTGCACTGTGACCTGGTCACAGCACCAAAATGTGGGATGTAGTCATAAATGATTTGTGTTGTATCTTTTTTCTATATTTTTATTATCTTAAGAATACAAGTTAAATGGTTGTGACATTGGTATTTACGTTGATGTCATCTTGATTCCTGCTGTCAACATTATCTTGATTCCTGGCTTTAGAACTTCAAATTATTCTGTTTTCAGAGCGCAGGGACCAATGGAATTTGAATCACTAAAGAACAATGTGATACTTGATCTAGAAAAGGCAGAAGAAAAACTCATGCTGAGGTAAAAAATTTACTGCAAATTCATTCTGAAAATGATTACCATCATTGTATATAATTTGCGTTGTAAAATTTTATTACAAAAGAATGATTTTGAAAGTAAAAGTTTTGCATTAACTTTCTACTTTTCTTCAGTTGATATATTTAAGAACAGTTATTCATTTGTATTTCCATTACAGTTGGTATCCGAAAGTGATCAATGTATTTGGTGACAAGAACAACTTTAAAAATCTGAAACAGGAGAAATATCCATCATTCTACAACAGTGTAACAACACTTATCTCAAATCAGGTATAAAAAACAATATCTGCATTTCATCATTCTATTTTTATTCGATTTTTTTTATGCCATGATGTTAACTGATGTCATTTCTCACATTCATGTACATGCATGCTCAGATGTGACAATTTGAAATTAACAAGACTTTTATGTAGAAGGCCTTTAAGAGATGTTATCCAGAACTCGGCAAATATAGGTTTTTCCAGGCTAATCCCGCAGTAACAAACCTTTATCATTATAACTTCATCGTGCACTACTGGTCACAATTGATTAGTTAGCATGTTGATCTTATTTTCAAAGCTGTAACTGTAAAAGTTTGTTCGTACCCCCGGATTGGCGGGGAAAACTCAAAATATCTCTTAATTTCGAAGTCAGTCTATTTACAGGTACCCTCATTTGTAATTGTCAATATTACTTAAAAGTGATATATTTTTCTTCACTGGGTAAAATTATTCTCTTAATTTTAGTTTTCATAATTTTAGTTATACCAAGTGATATCAAAAAAGCTTTTTTTATATTTGCTGTGACAAAGATTTTAGGTGATCTTACGTTCTGTTGTGTTCCTTGTATTATATTTAAAGTATTTTGATCAATGTATTCTAGTTGAGGAGACTATTGGAGCGCACTTTAGATGGATACGTCAACTTGTTTGACGCTGATGACAAAACTTGTCTGCCTTTACTGAAAATGGAGCTCACATTTGATGATGAGAAAATGCAGTTTTACCCACCAAGTCAGGACCTTGAAGACACAGTACTGTTTGTGGTGAAACAGATATGTAAGACAATGCAGCAAGTGCCGACGGTTCAGTCATGGCTGTCTGGTGGAAGTACCCTCAACCATACTGACGCCTCGATCCCCGATCATATCCTGAAGAAATATGTTCTTAAACTACAAAAAGCTGTAAAAGCTAACTTTGAAGAACCACAGGCTCATCTGAAATCTTTTGGTATGTTTCTTACTAGGTTGTTAATTTACTGCTTCATAGGAAACAAATAAAAATGCACATGGATACGTAAAAGAGCCTTTTGATCTATTGTAAAGTAATAATTATTAAAGAAATAAATTAGAAAATTGCAATACATATGTGCTTTCCTCATATTATTTGTGATGAGAGAATTGGAATTTTAGGAAATAATCTCCCACTAATTTATCTTCACAATACAGGTTAATAACTTTTAAGCTCTGCTTATAGAGCATTTTATTGTTATTTTGAATTAACTTTATTTATGATATGTTTGGTGTAATTATACAAACACTATCTGATTACAGTGGATAGATATGACTACATTGTAAATGGAGAGGCTCTTGCTGAAATCCAAAAATACATGGAAGTAGAACACACATTTGCAGAATATACTGAGGTACTTATTTATACATATATTGTCACCTAAGTGCAGTAACAGCAAAAGTTCTTAAATATTTAATATGAGTTAATCAGCTATTGCACTAAGGTGATGAACTATGTATTATCAACATTTTCATCTTCAGTTTTACTTAAATATCCATGAATAGCAAAAATTATTTAGTTTCATTAAGTATATAAGTAAAATTTGGTATTCAGAATGAACTTTCTTCCATTGTAATTATTAATGGGTTGTCTAGTTCCATCACTTTGTTTTAAAGAATAGTAATGAGGTCAGTGGTTGATTTCTGTTTAAAATGTCATTTTATATTTAACATTTCTCACCTATATGTTATTTTACTGTAGCAAATTGAGAAGTACAGAAATCTAGCTAAGGAGATCATGGGTTTACCAAGCATTGAGCATTTTGACATGATTCGATTGGATTGTGAGGATTTGAAGAGAGGTCTAGCTGAAGCATCTCGTGGACTGGCTAATGAACTATTGAGAAAGGTGTCTGATGATCACAGGAAAGAGAACAAAGAGTAAGTGTTACATAGTTTATCACATAGTTTATTACATAGTTTATCATATAGTTTATCACATGCTCAATATTTAGATCTTTTTCACATTTCTTTCAACAGATACAATGAGTACTATACAACTTTGGAACACCCTTTCAAGATCATTTATTTTGTTTTTAATAAAAGATGTTGCTATAGTGATGTTAGATTGATACTGTTGTTGTAAAGAGTTATTTCTCTACAAAGAGTAGCTATGAAGTGGTTGCACTATACATAATGATTTTTAAAAGAGTACATATCATCTGTTTGATATTTCATTCGTCCATTCTTTTGATATTGTTTACAATCAGCAGTTTGAAATCTCAAAGATAAGAAGTAATTCTAAAATGGTTTTAATTAAGCAGAATCAAAACATTAATGTTTGAACAATTGCTTAATGGTGGTTTTTCTTTTCCAAAAATCATACCATATCCCTCTATTGCTAAGTACATTATATTCAGTATAAAGTATGTTATAGCCCATTTGCAGGTATCAGTATTATAATATGTATAATTATCACTTACAGAATCTGTGAAGAGTTCCAGAACATTATGGATAGAGCACTACGTGACCCAGAGACAAGCGAAGACCTGATTGACATGATTGCATTTGTTGAGCATGCTCGAACACAAGGAATGGTCAAACTGAATGAACGTATTACACAGTCTAAGGACAGACTTGCCTACTTGATTGATGTGTTTTTGTTTACACCAGAAGACATTGCTCTCAATTGTGATGTGCTTACATGGCCGAAGAACATCAACCCAGTATTTGATCAGAACGAAGAGGTAAAATTTGCTTTTAAATGTTAATAATATGTATAAAATGCATTGTACATAAAGTTTGCCACGTTGTAAGCAGTATGAATATTAAACAAGCTGTATGGAGCGAATGGCGTAAAAACAATATATGGAAAGTTTAGAATTTGCAGAAAAAAATTTGGCTTGATACATTTATTCTCCATTTGTATAATTTCACTGTTCTGCAAGATATGTATTTTTTTACAATTCAGTAGCTGTATTGTAATCAACACATCTTTATTATTAAAATAATGTCAAAAGAAGCTTTATCTGAAAAACACAAAACAAAACTTTCTTTCTATATTTTGCCCAGTAAATTGACCTTTTGTTATTTGTATTGTAGCTGATAGAGAAGTCTAAACAAGCCGGTGAGAAGGGATTGTTAGAGAAGAGAGAGAAGGTAATGCTCGAACTTGAGAAGTTACGACAACGTGTTGATGAGTTTAATGACTACGGTGAACTTGATATGATGCAACAATATGTACAGGATGTACGTGCTGTACAGAAACGTCTGGCTGATGTAACCGACCAAATTACGTGGATAAATAAGGTAATACTGTTGTTAAATGTATCTCTTATTTTAAGAAGTTATTGATAGAAATTTTCTAGGAAAGCATAACCACATCCTGTATTGTAATATTTTTTTTCATCAAATTTATAGTAGGTGTTTAGTTAATGTTTAGGTTTCAAAAATGTTTAAAACTGACATGGAAGAAACTCATATAAAAATACAAGGAGCTTAAAGCTATATGAAATATGAAAAAGTATAGTAATAAAAAGGAATGCCCGGCCCACAAATTCAAACAGTGAAGTTTAGTCATATCAACTAAAACTTGTATCATTTAAAAATTGTTTTTTACTGTTCACTATTATCTCAATGTAAAAATAAGCAGGTCTGTATATATTGGCTGTATATTATTTCAAGATTAATCAGTTGATTAAATGTATATTTTTACTGTTAAAAGTTGATTATATGTATGATTTTACTGTATAAGACAGAAGTATAATTGAGCCATGTCACGACAAAACCAACACAATGGGTTTGCGACCAGCATGGATCCAGACCAGCCTGTGCATCCGCGCAGTCTGATCAGGATCCATGCTGTTCGCTTACCAACCCTATAACAAGTAATTAAACTGAAAGCGAACAGCATGGATCTTGATCAGACTGCGCGGATGCGCAGGCTGGTCTGGATCCATGCTGGTCGCAAACCCATTATGTTGGTTTTCTCGTGACACGGCTCAATTTCACATTTTAACTGTTTGTATGGTAGGAGGAGCAGCTATACAAGTACCCAGTCACAACATACCCAGATATAGATGAGATCACAAATGCTGTAGATCCATTCCAGAGACTCTTTAATATTGTCATGAAATGGCAAAGAGCAGAGAAAAAGTAAGATGTCTGTTTGCAGGATATTTAACCCCTATATTTATGTAATGGGCATTTCTTGCTTTGAAGGTGGAACACGCCATTATAAGGTTTAGGCATTTCAGTATCTATATATTTGAATTCCAAAATCAAAGCAGGTTGCAGTGTACAAATCCGTATGACTACAGGATTGTGCATACTGACTTGGCATTTAACAGGAAGCCTAGATATGTCAAATCGTTTGGTAACATTGGAAGATTGATATTTTCACTTTTGTATTGTATAAATGTATAAATTTTTGAATTGATGATATTTGTGCATGCAGCCCATCTTAGTTCTTTTAATTATTGTGTGGCATTGTTAAAAGAATAAAAGCATTTGTGAATATTAAGTTTAGTTATAGTGTGGTACTGTGGAAGGAAAGAAAGCATTTGTGAATATTAAGTTATCCTTGAAAAATAGAAAATTTCTTTTTTTTTCTCACCAAAAAAGATTACTTAGGTTTTGAATTATGTATCAAAAATTTATATTTTAGAAAAAATGATAAAATTCTGAATTATCCATTGTATATTTTTATTCAAAATTTTTTTATAAGTCACTGTTTGTTGTATTCATTGATGATAATTTCACAAAGTTAAATAAAGAAGAAATGGTTACTTCTAACAGATGGATGGATGGAGCGTTCTTGGACCTTGAGGCTGAAGTTATTGAAGGCGAGGTAGATGAATACTGGAGAGAAATCTATAAGATACAGAAAGTGTTTAATCAGAAACTGAAGAAGATGCAGATCGAGATAGATGAGATCAACAGAGAACGTAAAAAGAAACGTCGCCTTGCCGAGGATGACGGGACCGAAGGCGATGTAGAACCTGACGCCAAGTTGACACCTCCGGCAGCTGTCACTGTTTGTAATGCTGTACAGGACCAAATGACAGAATTTAAGGTATGTATCTTAAATAATGATTCTAAGTGATCAATATATTTCTTTGTTAAAGGTACCTATGAAGTTTCAACATGTTTCAATAGATAATTTTAACTAAGACAGAAATAGCTTTACCTTTACACTCTAATACTTTCTGACTATATTATAACTTCTTTTTTTATTGTATTTTGATTGTTAATAGATAAAGTATTTAACTGTATATCTGTTTATCACTTTCAGGAATTCATCCCAGTGATAGGAATCATGTGTAATCGTGGTATGCGTCCACGTCATTGGGAGAAAATGTCTGGAACTGCAGGTTTTGACCTGACCCCAGACTCTGGTTCAACCCTCAGAAAGGTGCTTAAGTTGAACCTACAACCATTCATGGAAGAATTTGAAGGCATTAGTGCTGCTGCAACAAAGGTAGGTTATAGGTTTAATATTTAAAATTCATAGTTTTGTTTGCATTTACCATTAGAGCAATTTTGATAATAGTGGCATGCATTGTATGACTGTTCCCAGACTTCCCGAAAGTTGAAAAAAACTGTCAGACATTCGGTCTGACAAACCATGAAAATCTGTCGGACCGAAACAAAATCTGTCGGACCAAATAGAATTGATCAAAATCAAAGAATAACTTGCGTTTGTATTTCTAAGAAATTTTTTGTTTTTAATTTTTTCGCCGTAAAAATCGGCACATTCCTTACAGCGCATTTTCATCTCCTCCCTATCACAGTTCCCATTGCATTCCTAGAAAGTGCTTATGGTTGATTCTGAGTTTAAAGCAGTGCATGTACATTACACAAGATAAGCAGATTAAATGCTGGTTATTTCCAGGAAGCTGACCAGTACTGGTTAGTTTCTGGAGGTGACAAGTACTGGTTAGTTCCAGGGAGTGAACCAGTACTGGTTAGTTCAAATAAGCTTCATGCTTTCTTTACAATCAAGCTGAAATAAATGTGCATAAACTAAAGAAAAAGGACATAAATGTATTCATTGCAAAATAGGTAAAATATACATTGAATCTGATTTTATATTATAATTCTTTACTTAACATTATAAAACTATTATAGGAACACTCACTAGAGAAGGCCATGAACAAGATGATGGAGGACTGGGATGCTGTAGACTTTAATCTGAGTCAGTATCGTGACACAGGCATCAGTATTTTATCATCAGTTGATGATATACAAACACAGCTTGATGATCAAATTGTCAAAACTCAGACAATGAGAGGATCTCCGTTCATCAAACCATTTGAGAAGGAAATTAAGGTATACAATTGTGAAACCATTACAATGTAATTGAATATAAGTTTAATTGGTATTTCATGTTTGTAGGGGCGTCCGTGGCCGAGTCGTTAAGGTAGTTGACTTCAAACCACTTGCCCCTCAACGCTGTGGGTTCGAATCCCGAAAGGGACTTTGGATTCTTTCATGTGAGGAAGCTATCCAGCTAGCTTACAGAATGTCGCAGGTTCTCCTCAGGTGCCCGTTCGTGCCTGAAAAAATGCACGGAGGGGCACCTGAGGTCTTCCTCCACCAGTAAAGCTGGAACGTCGCCAAATGACCTATGTGTCGGTGTGACGTAAAACCCAAATCAAACAAACAAAATCATGTTTGTAGGTAGGTTTCTGTGATTGCTAGTGTATTCTTCAAGGTTGTATATTCTAATTGTTAATCATTCATTTTGTCAAGGTTATTTGTCCAGGTTCATAACCAATGGGATTTTGAAGCTAGACATGAAAATTGCATTTTTTTGATATTGTCACACAACACTTGCACATACTTGAATGTAAATTTCTGGTAAAAAATTATCTTGTCTTTAATGATATTTTTCCTGCAAAGATATTTTGTATCTATTCAGATATGGGAAGAGCGTTTGATCCGTATACAGGACACAATTGATGAATGGTTAAAGGTTCAAGCCCAGTGGTTGTACCTGGAGCCGATTTTCTCCTCAGAGGACATTATGCAACAGATGCCAGAGGAAGGCCGTCTCTTCCAGATTGTCGACAGAAACTGGAAGGAAATTATGAAAAATACAGTCAAAGATCCCAAGGTATATTTGTATACAAGTTAATTTAGCAAAGGTTTTTGTAACTTATTTATGCACCATTTTTTATAAAGAAAAAATATTTTGAACAAAGGACAAAAAAGAGATATGTTAGTTTTGAAAAATCTATTACAAGGAAATGGTTAAGTTTCAATGAGATATGAAATTACATTAAAATTACATTAAATTCTACCATATGACAACTTGTAATTTTTAGGTTTAAGTAGTTATGAATCCCTTACATTTGTCTATTAAGTTACTGCATCTTTGTTATGGAATTTGTTTCCTTTGCATCTTCAATATAGGTGTTGCCAAATGCTGGGGTAATTATTATCACAAATGTCTATTGTAAATATGTGACTATAGACAGTTGTTAGTAGTTATCAAGAGGTTAAAATTAAGTTGTCAAGAGTTGTCTAGCCTGGCTGTGCCAAGGCAAGATATAATCATTGGAAAAATTGAAGGAGTTAAGATTATAAAAGGAAGGATATATAATTATAATATTATAATATATAATCTCAGGTTGAATGTTGTAAGATTAAGATTATGTCACCATTGTATAAATGTATGTGATATTGTACAAATAAATGTTGCAAAACATTGTCTGTATTTGGTACTGCATTTTGTTACTTCATAGATATAGGGAACAATTATCATGTCACTTGAAGACAAAAAGATAATTATTGTATTGTGAATATTTGATTTGATTTTTTGGGGGAGTTGAGTTGGGGGGGGGGGGGGGGGGGGAGGGGGATGCGGGTCTTTAAAAGTATGAAGCGGATAAGATTTTTTACTATCACTAAGCTCTTTAAAGCTGTAGTCAATATTCTCTCTTGTATATATAGACTTTTTATTAATTTTGAAGTAATTTTAAGATAAAATCTGTTAAGTTTTAAAATTTGTAACATAGGTATTGGTAGCAACAGCTATGACAGGACTGTTAGAGAAGCTCCAGGATAGTAATGGTCTTCTTGACAAGATCAACAAGGGATTAAACGCGTACCTAGAGAAGAAACGTCTCTTCTTCCCACGATTCTTCTTCCTGTCCAACGACGAAATGCTTGAGATACTGTCCGAGACAAAAGATCCGCTACGTGTACAGCCTCATTTGAAGAAGTGTTTTGAGGGTATTGCGAGACTTGAGTTTGACTCTAAGTTAGACATTCATGCTATGTTTAGTAGTGAGGGTGAGAGAGTACAGATGGCAAATTCAATCTCGACGTCTGAGGCTCGTGGAGCGGTAGAGAAATGGTTGTTACAGGTGCAGGATACTATGTTACTGTCCGTGCGTGATGTGGTCAGATCTGCTCATGAGGTGAGGTCCTTGTTTAGGATATTTATTTGTGAGATATATATATATTTAGCAGTCATTTAAATAAACTTGCCTAAGGCTGTGTAGTAAGTTCAATTTCCTAAATTCTATTACTAAGGGAAAGTCTAATAACAAACTGATAATAACGTATAAAAGAAATAAATCTTTCCTTCGAGATTTGACAGATTAAAAAAGACATGCTGTTTCTCAATTTTAGTTTTAAATTTTTTTTTCATTGTTTTTTGACAAGATCATTTTAATTGTTTATATATGTGTAAATTGACACAACTTTGATATGGATATAAGATTTTTATGTATAAGGAATTAATGATAATATGATTCATTTTAGCAGTTTTTACATCCTTTCAATAATTTTTGAAATTCTTTGTCTTATAGTGTTAGTGTCAAGTTATATCATTTGAAATAGAGGATATTTCAGTTTTGAATTTATCTTTATAAATGAAACTATTTCTTATTTGCAATAAAGGATTATCCTTTATATGAAGAAAATGTAAGGAAATGAAGTGTTGATTATTTCCAGTTTATAGTGCATTACATCACGGAATTCCCATAAATCATCTTTTCATTTTATTGTTGAATGTCATATTCCTATACTATTTTCTTCCACATATGTTTTCCCAAGTGTTTTTTTCCTAGTCCTTTATTGTTATATCTCAATAAATATTGATTTACAAAAAATTACCCTGTTATTTGGTAGTACAAGTACTACCCATGTGAAGAAACTGAGGGGCGACTGCAGTAATTTTTCTCAACCAAGAAGTCTAGGAAGTCACTTGCTGAGTAAAAATCTGAATTTTCCTGTATTGTTGATGTTAACTTAAGAATTGGTGGCAAATATTCAATATTTCCAAGATCATAAAAAACGTGTTATAAAGAGATGAAATTTTCATATAGAAAGATTATTGTTTTTAATTAAAAATTTTTTTTATTTTTGTCACATTTTGTATAAAGACAAATAAATATACATACATGAAATCATGTTACAAAATAAACACAGTTATTTTAAATTATCAAAAGTTTATTAAATTTTAAATCAATGGCATTTACTGGTACAAGTTTATTATTGTAAGAAACATTAGATTATGTTACTAAATAATCTTAAGCATTATTATTTCAACTGATATTTATCTAGACATGGAGAGGGGTAAAGTTATCAAAATTTATGTATGAATATATATGTATTATATTTTAAGTACATGTACTTGCATTTTGTGCTCATGTAAAGGTCTTGTGCTGACTACACTACTATTTACAATATTTTTTTTTGCTTTTGAAGAAGTAAAATGTCGTCTAGATTTGTTCATAAAACCTAAAAAATTGTGAGATATAAATAAGAAAATTCATAAAATCCAGCATTTCCGCTGTTATATGGTTTGTGCAGCTACATCCTTCATGAAAGAATCTTTAAGGATCTCATATGATCACATGTTTGCAACCACAGGGATAGAAAATTTAACTCTGTCTATAGCTATTTATATCATATAGATGCCATCAGCGGAACCCATGTGTATTTGGGGAGAATCTGAGAATACTGATGTATTTTGAACAAGTTTGTCTATACAAACTATGCTTGGCCTTTTCTTTACTGGTACAATTCCGTTTTTGACTTTGATATATAAAATTAGTAATTTTCATTCTCACTCCAGTGTCCTGAATAATTTATTTACTGGGTTCATTTAGCTCAACTGGTAGAGCAACAGATTTAATATAAGTTATTGGCAAGAATATGAAAGAAATTTTTAATTAATTTTTATTTACAACATGCCTGAAATATATATTAAAATAAAACCTTTTGTTAACATATTTTAATTTTACATTTACTATAATACATGTTCTTAGCATCCAATAAGATTTATAACATGAAAATTTGAAACCAATCTCTCAAATATTTTGAACAGAAATTAAGAATTGGTCAATTTGATAATTTAATATTAAGCATTTTTATGTACGCACATTGCTTTGCAGTTGTATCAAGAATGGCATTTTTTTGCCGCAGTCAGCATTATCTTTATTTTATGAGAAATGATTTAAAAATTGTTGTGTGATTATGAACTGTGATAAGATGTGCATGTGTAGACACTTGCATATGTCAATGCATGAGACTTGCACTTTTGATAAGAACTGACTATTTATCTTTGTTGATTTATATGTTATTACATGTATTAAACAATTTTCATTACTTAAAACACTGTAGAGACTAATGTATTTCATTTGAAGATTACATTTGGATGATTTCACTTCTGACTTTTAAAGTCATTCTGTGTGCACCTGTATCAATTGATTTTTATAATCCTAAATGTATACAGAAGCTTATATTTTCATAACAAAAATTCCGTCACTTATATTTATATATTTAGACATAGTTATTTTCAACTTAGAATGTCTTTGATTATGATTGAAAATGCATGTATTCATTAATGATATATTCATTATATTGTACATGGTAGATGATAAGTTTGAAAATATTAATGGTATAATGTTGTTTTATTTTATGATATTTTGATTATAGGCATATGCCATTGAACCAAGAACAAACTGGGTCATTGACTGGCCAGGTCAGGTGGTGTTGTGCGCATCACAGGCATACTGGACTCGAGAGGTGCACGAGGCTATCCGTGCCGCACCAACAGGACTGAAAGACTATTGGGATGTGTTACAGAAACAGCTTGGGGACGTTGTAGAACTTGTACGTGGCAAACTGACTAAACAGGCTCGAACCACTCTGGGTGCCCTCGTTGTAATTGATGTGCATGCCAGAGATGCTGTGATGGAGCTGGCGGAAAAAGGTTAGATTTCTTAAATCGAAACTTATCAGAAAATTTTCACACAAATTACCATATTGAAATAGTATACCCATTTCTGTAAACAATAAAATGAAGTTATTTAAGAAATATTTGATTTAGATTTAAGATTAAGAAGAATTTTTGCAAATATACTTGTTGTAATTGAAGCAATTATAATTATGTGTTCTGTTGTTTAGGTGTTTCTAGCGAGAATGACTTTAATTGGTTGGCACATCTTAGATACTACTGGGAGGACGACAACATGATTGTGAGGATCACAAATGCCACAGTAAAATACTCGTATGAATACCTTGGTAATACAACACGTCTTGTCATTACACCTCTCACCGACAGATGTTATCGTACTCTTGTCGGTGCCTTCCACTTGAATTTGAACGGAGCTCCGGAAGGTCCAGCCGGAACTGGTAAAACAGAGACGGTGAAGGATTTGGCCAAGGCATTGGCTGTACAGTGTGTGGTGTTCAACTGCTCAGATGGTCTCGATTACATTGCTATGGGAAAGGTTATTACCTCTAGATTGAAATGTTTATTTGTATTTTAGCCATTTTTTATCCATTTTTTTTTCTTTTTTGAAATACATGTAAAATTTTAGAGTTAACGTTAATGAAAATTAATGATGGAGATTTATCTTTACAGAACAATCTGCAATTTTATCTAAGAATTATTTGTAGGTATCAACCTCAAACAACCTTACAAAAAGACATATATTGAGAATATTAATTTTATTACATCTCCTTGTTAATATGAAATACAAAATGAGATATAATCAAATTTCATTAGCTTTGATACACTAACTTGTATATATTATTAGCTCCAGTATCATGTGCAAGTTTAACATGTGGCATATGCTTCATTATTTCAGTTTTTCAAGGGGCTTGCATCAGCTGGTGCATGGGCTTGTTTTGATGAGTTTAACAGAATTGACCTTGAAGTGTTGTCTGTCATTGCCCAACAGGTAACGTTGCCGTTCCTTCTATAAAAAAGATTTTGAAAATTTTCCAGATGACCCTGAGACCTTAAAATTCAGTAAGAAAGGGAACTCAAGATGCTTATAGAAATATGATAGTAAGACTTCTTTATTCAGTTTAAGACATTAATGTAACTAGTTATCTTCTGTAGTTATCTTCCAAAATGAGCAAAGTAAATAAAAGATGTAAATAATATTTTTATCTTCTTTCCAGATTTTATGCATCATCAGAGCTGTACAAGGTAAACTAGATGTGTTTGTGTTTGAGGGAACAGAATTGAACCTGAATCCACAGTGTTATGTTAACATAACAATGAACCCCGGTTATGCAGGTCGGTCTGAACTTCCGGACAATCTCAAAGTATTATTCAGAACTGTAGCTATGATGGTACCGGACTATGCTATGATTGCCGAGATCTCGCTGTACTCGTTTGGTTTCCTGGAAGCAAAGGCGTTGTCAGTAAAGATCGTCACTGTATACAGACTGTGCTCGGAACAGTTATCATCTCAGTTCCATTATGATTACGGCATGAGAGCTGTAAAAGCTGTGCTGTCCGCAGCCGGTAATCTTAAACTGAAGTATCCAGATGAAGAAGAAAATATTTTGGTGTGTTGCTTGTTTGGTTATTCTATCAGTGATATTAATGTTAACATTGACAGCCTAGTCCAAAAATGATAAATGTTGTTTTTTTATATTGTCTTATGTACCTGTCAGTAATATTCCTTCTACTGTCAAGCAAAATTGTTGTTGGTTTTGATATCCCTCTGATATTTTCAATATCGTTTATTATCTATGCTTGAATTTGTCAATATTCCTGTATATAAGAATTAATTGTATGCAATGACATAACAAAATCTGATTTTCTACGATTCTAAAGTAATGAATATAATTTAGTTTGTTTTTTTAACTGTAAATGATTCATCACTTTAAATTTGAATTTTTGACATGAACAGAAACTTGTATACTATATATATTTTATAGTTGCTGAGATCTATCATTGATGTCAACTTACCAAAGTTCTTGTCTCATGACATTCCACTTTTCAATGGTATCATCTCTGACTTGTTCCCGGGACTTTCCCTGCCGGAAGCCGACTATGAGATCTTCTTAAAGGCCATGGAGACCATAGCAGAAAAGAAGAATTTACAGTTTGTCAATTTCTTCAAAGAGAAGATTATTCAAACATATGAAATGATGATTGTCAGACACGGGTAAGATTGTCCTATCATATTATGTGTTTTATACACATTGGCAAATGTTTCAAAATTGGTAAACCAACTCAGAGTGTTGGTCTCTGGTTTGATCCTCATGTGAGGCCAAAAAAAAAAAATGTTAACAATTCATTGAGTGTAATAGTCATTTGTCTCTCATCCCTGATTCAGAAATCATTTAGGATTGAGGTGTCAGTCAGTTAAGGAGAAATTGGTAAATACTGGTTAGTTTTGTATGTAAGCTTGTTACGTGAATTGACTGCAAATATGTGACCAAAATGAGTTAAAATTAGCACAAATCTGAAAAAACAAACAAGGTTTAATTGTTCTAATTTTTTGAAAAGGTGACTTCTCAAGAGAGCAATAAAAGCAAAGTTTAAAAGTGAAAATTGGTTTTAATGAGTCTTATTTGTAAGGGTAGATTTTGTTTAGTCCAGCACTAGGAGGAACTGATGGTAGCTTGTCTCCATAAACAGTTCAGCATGAAATTATAGAGAGAAAAAATTTAGCCAACAATAAAGAGTTTGTTCAAGCAACATTGATTAGAAGGTTGGCCTGACTCTAGAATGGTGAAAAAATGTAAGGCATTATCATTTTTAGCTTTGAGAGTGTTAAATGAGATATATATTTATTATTATTACAGTTTCATGTTGGTTGGTGAACCGTTTGGGTGTAAGACTATGGTGATAGAAACACTGTGTGAAGGAATGACCTTGCTGAATGAACAAGGTCACACGGAGGAATTTGAAAAGGTCAAATATCGTATAATTAACCCAAAGGCTGTAACGATGGGACAATTGTTTGGTTGCTTTGATCCAGTTTCTCATGAGGTAATGTATGAATAGGATCTTATATGTATTGTATAACATGCCTAAATATTTACCTTTATTTAAACAGCTACTAGTCAGAGCTAAAGTTAAGTTGACTTTGTACTGCATTATTTTATAGCTCTGTTTTAGTTATTTTATTTTCAGATCCATTTTATATTTGTGTTTTTGTTTGTAAATTTTCATGATTTTGTTATGCTAACAATTTCAGTGGACAGACGGAAATGTAGCAAACACATTTAGAGAGTTTGCGTCCACGGATACTCCTGACAGAAAATGGGTCGTGTTTGACGGTCCAATTGATGCCTTGTGGATTGAAAACATGAACACTGTACTTGATGACAATAAGAAACTGTGTCTAATGAGTGGTGAAATTATACAGATGTCCAATCCTATGTCACTTATCTTTGAAACTATGGATCTTTCACAAGCTTCTGTAAGTAACTGATAGTTGTTTTACAGTTTTGTGAGATAAACTACATGTATTACTAGTACATTGTATATTACCATGATTAAGTGAGATCATGAGATGTTTTATTACATATAACTGTATGCAAATTATTTCTTATATCTCTATAGATATATATAGCCACCATGGAATGAAAAAAAAAATGATTTTTTTCTACATATTTTTGTTATAAATTTTACTTAATACATGTACTTTATATTTTACCTCACAACACACACTCATCTCAATCTGTGAAGTCAAACATTTTTGATGAGGTATTGTTATTTACCCTTAGTATATGAAGAAAATAGAGAAGTTGCTTATTTCCTAACCAGTTCATTTAACTATCTTCATAATTATATATTAATCTATTTATTATAACATTTGCATTCGTCTCTTGTTTTTGCATTGTAAATATGCAAAATGGGATATTTAATGAATAAAACGTGAAAACTTTACCCTTATGGAAAGAAAAGAACATGCATTTTCTTTATTACATGTTTTGGTTTTACTTTGTTTTGTAGCCTGCTACTGTAAGTCGATGTGGTATGATCTACCTTGAACCATCAACGTTAGGCTGGAGACCAATAATGAGGTCTTGGTTGAATACTTTACATGAAGTACTGGCCACAGAAGCTGGTGACGCTATTGAAGCACTGTTTGAATGGCTAGTTGACCCATGTCTGGACTTTGTCAGAAAGAATTGCAAGGTAATTTAAACTCTGTTTTATAACATAATGTTTCTATCATTTTTATTGTGGAAGTTTATGATGGATTAAAGTAATTAATGTGCATTAAGAAAGATAAAAATAGTATTTTGATTTTAAGCTATTAATCATTATAAATGACAAGATGAGGAAAACAAAAACATCCAGGCTGCATTTTCAGTTATTGTGTCTTCATAAAGTTTTAACTGGATTGTAAAGGAAGTTTATATCCTAATAGACACTCAAATCCATTCCTGAAACAACTAGTACTTATCAATGAGTGTAGAGTCTAGGACAAAATGGCTCACTGATACGTCGGGGGAATCTTAGATTACTTATTTGATGCATTAACCAATTATCAGCACCGCCATTTATCAACTTTTTGGCATAGTCTTTCTTGGCAGAATGGTCAAGGTCACTGACATAGAATCGTTTGACCCTAAGCACGTTGGTTTGGAATCATATAAGAAATAAGAATGTTGATTGCTTTTATATAAAGAAACTAAAAGCAAGTTCACAAAAGGCTTCTAAATATAATGATAAAATCTTTGATAAATAGTAAAGGTGAAAAGTCACCACATGAAGTTTTACAATTTTGGCTTGATTTAAATAATAATTATAAATCAAAGAGCAAAAAACTATACTTTGTAACTTTAAATATCATCATCTGTTTAATGATATGATAATTTTTTTTGCTTTATGTTTCTAGGAGTATATTGCATCAAAACCGTCCAATGCAGTACGATCACTGATGTACTTGATTGACATGTTGTTAGCCGAGGCTCTCGCTTCACCAGATCTTGAGCACAACAAATCATTAAGAACATGGGTCATTGTAAGTTATCTTTAATTTCATTTTTAATGTTTTTATTTATTTTTAGCTTGTCTGTTTCAAAGAAAAAGTCAGGGTAATATGATCTCTGCACCGTTGTTGTTGTTGTGTAAAACCTTTGATGTAGACGATTATTTAAACATGTTTAAAGTTATCAACATGAAATTTGAAATACTTACTTATGTCAAAGTGCCTTTGGTAGACAAGGGGCATAAGTCTGAAAGCTATATTTATGGAGTTATGCCCCTTTTTTAATTTAGAATTTTTGTCAAAATTGGTGGTTGTTACAGGTTGTTCTTAACAAAGGAGTATTAATATATTTATGATACAAGTTTTGTTAATGTTTCATTTTTTCTAAGACTGTAAGAGCGACTAGACTATGTTTTATATTTCAGAATGAATGTTTAGCTATAAAATGTTTCATTTCAGTTAATTTTTTTAAAAGGAAATGCTGTCAAAAGTTATTAAAATTAAGATTACAATGTATATACAGTTTAAAATTTCTATCATTCATTTCAGAATGTTGTACAATTTTCTATCCCATGGTCTATTGGAGCTGTAGTAGATGTTGATGGTAGACACAAGTTTGATGCTTTCTTCAAGGACCTCATCAATGGAAAGTTTGAAAAACATCCTATGCCTAAAGCTCTTGGCAAATTTGATGTGCCATTACCAGCAGAAATGTCCATTTATGACATCTTCTTTGAGGTTTGCATATTCTCATTGGTCATTGTAAATTATTTGCCTGTTTCTGACCAATCAAATGCCTGAGATGTGACTTTGAGATTTGAAAATGTCTTTACCGTGGAGAAGTTGTCAGTTGCTTGTAGATAATCTAGATAGTCCTGGTATATGATCCTGGAACACTCATTTTAGTATATTGCCACAATTTTTTTACAAAAACTAGCACCAAACAAGATTTTGAACAAAATTTTCATTATTTACTTTTGGCATAAATTGTATTGTTGGTTATTGCAATTAAATTTTGTGTCTTGGTGTGCAAATACATTTCACATAATTAACAAGATATATGTATGATTGATAGTAAAGAAATGTCTGAGCACCTGTAACCTTTTGCCCCTCATATTGATAAGTTTGATTATAGGCCTGAGCAATTTATATCGTGAGAAAATTTTCTAACTGGTGTACAAAAAGGTTCATAGTTCTATTTAGCTTGCACACTTGAACAGAAAGGCAGTTTGCATACATGTGTACTGAAAGGAATTTAGTTTTCACACTTGTGTATAAAAAGGCATATATTTTGCATACTTGTGTTAAGGAAGGCATATATTTTGCAGGCATCGAAAAATATTTTCAGAGAATCAGAGTCACTTGTCCTGCAGGACGAGTAGCTTCTAAATCCAATGTGCAGGCAACATTTGTCTGCTCGTCTGCATCGACTTCTCTTAAATTTTGCTGGACTACAACTTTCAATTTCTTTTTTGCATACTTGTGTAACGGAAGGCATATATTTTGGATCTTGCCTCCCTGGTAAAGCTCAAAAGATGTAATATAACCCAAGTAGTTATGATGTGACTATATAACCCTATTTCAATCTTAAATCTTCATCGTGAACTGTTAATTTAGAGATATAAAAATGTACTAAATTAAGATTATAATATTTGTAGTGTGAACATGGAGATGGGAAGGTAGGAGAAAATGTTCAATATAGTATCAGTTTGTCATGCTTGTGGTCATTATATATGTGCATTTATATATTTATATATATATTTATTATTTATTTATCTTAAAACATTGCAGTTGTTATCCTCAACAGCTGATAAAATTATTGGCTACTGGGGAATACACTGCTGACTACTGTTGCAAAACCATGTATAGTATGTTAATAGAAATATTCTAGAATCACCCAGAAGTGAATTATGTAAACTACTGTATATCTTAACAAGCTATTTGAATATTTACAGAGAAAAGTGAACACAGTTTCTTGGATCTGAAAATAATTATCTGGCATGTACGGAAATGCAGCTGATTTAAACATTAACCCACAAAGCTATTAAATAAAATTATTTATTTCTTGAAAATCAGCATGTATGTTAATGTTCAATATTGCTGAAAAATTGTAGGTGTTGAAATAATTATTGAACTTTTGTTGGTCCCAGTTCAAGATAATTTTGCAATACTTGCATACCTGTCTCAGAGGAGAGTAAAAAGTGTATAGAATTGAACAAAAGGTGAACTAGCCTTATTAAGGAAATCTATGCCACACATACATTAAGATTAATACTTCTAATCACTGATAAGGAAGATACTGACTTCTTTAAATATCCTCTCATAAGGGTAGACATAAAGTTCAAAACTTTGTTTAATTTCTGTACTTCTGTTTTGTTTAGATATTTAATTGTGTATCTTTTTTACCCAGCAAAAAGCTAGAGGAACATGGAAACATTGGAATGAGTTATTGAAGGGGGTGGAGCCAAAGTCCAAGAATATCCGACAAATGCTGGTACCGACCATGGATACAGCCAGATACCGGTTCCTTATGGAACTTTGTATTGATCATTCCAGGTAAATTGTTACCTTGAGTTACTATATTTAGCTTTTCCAAATTTTGGACTAAAATTTCTAGTGACATCAACTCTGTGTTGATAATTCAAGGTAACTTGTGACCTTCAGTTACTATAATATTATTCAGCTTAAAGGGTATAAAGCTTATAATATCTAGGGAAATATTTTCATAACACTTTAAAAATTTTAAGTTTTTTACATAATCTTATGGTCAGATCTCAGCAGAGTTGCAATGTTGAATGTCACTATTATTTAAGACACATGAAAACTGTGTGTAAAAAGAAAAATGTGTTCGTGTAAAAAGAAAATTGTGTTCAGGAACAAAATAGTATGCTGATATTTAATTGTTAAGCAAATGGTTGCGTACATGAACCATTCACTCAAAAGGAAATAATACTAACATATTTCTTTCATACAGCCATATTGAAATTATTCTTTAGCAAAAAAATTGTTAACAGCAAGCAGCAGAGATATAGCTTATATACACTTTAACCAAAAGTTGGATGATATCTTCAATGAAATACAATACAAAAAAAGCAAAAATTAAGTAGTTTTATGCTACACTTGGCTAAAAGCTTAAAGTGACATTATGCTCATTTTAAAGGACTGACCATTATAATGTTAAATGACCAGTAATTTAGAACACTGAGAAAAAATAGATAAAACTACCTTAAATATTAGAGACTACTCCACTCTTTTTATCATTTGGATGTTACCCATAAATTTGGAATATTATTTCAATAAATTTCTTTGGGTTATGTAGATAATTTATCATTTTTGCATATTAAGATATAAGATTGAACATAAATATAGCAAAATGGAAACTTATTTTAACTATTACACTTTTAAGGGCATAATGTCAATTTAATTTTAGTAATTTATTTTTCAAAATTTCAGAAAAAGAGTTCATTAATGAAAATTTCTTTCATTGCAATTCTGTAAGGATAATGATTTTCATACTGTTGTTTTTTTAGTACCTTAAATAATTACACTTTCAAAATATTCTGATATTGTGTAATTTTACTATGATTTTTATATGACTTTAGTTTAAAGATCATTTACTTATAATTATCACTGTTGCAGTGGAAAAGACGGAAAACCAAGGTAACTGCTAGAAACATATTTGCATGTTTATAGCATTATAGCACTGTTGTATAATATAACCATAATACACAGTGAGAGGGGTAAAAAAAACTTTTCTTTTCAGAATGTACATGGAGTTTGATAGCTTTATTAAACTGATGTATGAAATGAGGGGCACGTAGAGTCTAATTATTTGTTTACTTAGGGTTAATCAGTATTAGCTGACATAACATAATGGACTTTTCCTGTTTTGAAATTTGGAATTGTCCATTGTATGTTTTGGGGATTTCGATATCAAAATCATTAAAATTAAGAAGCCAAAAGTACAAAGGGTGGTCATACAACAGGTAACATGGCATCCTGGCTCTATACCCTTGACAAAGAAAAATCTTTGTCAAGCATTCATTGATACAAAAATGACAAATTTTTCAGAATTTCTGAAAATTCTTTTTATTTCATTCAAATTTATCAAATTTCATCTAATATGAGATAAAATGTGTCACATATAAACATTATGTACTTTTTTCCCCAATGACAGTTGCATTGTAAACAAGTCATTTTCATCTTTTCATCTTCATATAAAAATAAACAACATGTTTTTTCAATATGTTTTTTTTTGTAAAGATTCCGATCCCAAATCTTTTGCAAAAGTCACTTTAAAGAAAAATAATTATGTTAGTGATTATGAATAAACCATAAAAAAATATTAGAAGACTCAACATGTCCATATATTTCATATATATATATATACTTTGAAATACTACAAGTGTATACTTACTTATTCCTTTCCATGCTAGATGTATATAGTTGGAACCCATACCGTACTGAATATCTAAAATCGACTTGTCCACTTATTCAGTCTGGACAAAACCATTCATCATTTATAGGGAAAATTTTTAAAATAAGTACTGACTGAATAGAGAACAGTGCAGACGGCATGGATGTACTGGCTGACCTTTGTCTGCACTGGTCACATAAGTTAGTTCAGTTGCCACCAATTGTTGTGTAAATGTTAAGTTGAGAGATTTTTATATCAGAATACATGTAGTTTAATTGAACAGCCAACAGTCTGGCTTGGTTAAGGCAAGTTGTTTTGTGTATAGATTCTAGCACTTTGAAGGTTGTCAAGTAATCAACTATTTTTTAGTTTGTTTGGGATAGGTTTGTTTTGTTGTTTTTGTTTTGTTGTTGTTTACTGGGGGGAGGGGGTAAAGTTTTGATGGGGAAACATTTTATAGTATAATGTTTGAAAGATATAAGTTGTGGGGTTTTTTTTTACCTAAAAAATAGTGCAGGATTAAACCATGCCTATTTCGTATAATGTTTTATATGTTACATTTATTTACATGTAAGTGATAGTGGACTGTTATTTATGTAACTAATTGATAAAAAAATTATTTGATGGCATTGTAGGGTATTATCACCATAGTGATATTGAAACCTTTACTATTTGGAAAAAAAACAAAAAACAAATAAAGTCTTGTCAGAATTAGACTGTACACATGTGCAGACTGGGCTGATTTTATTCTTTTGGCATAGGGTACCTAATAGTGGTTCTCATAGAGAAGTTTTTTATAATAAATTGGTCTACATAGGGCTGACCTGAAGGGGTTGCACTGTATAAATATTTGGTTGATTACTTGATATAAGTAGGTATACACACATGATTATTCAGGAAACCTTCTTGGTGATTGGTGTAAAGCTTCTTGTGTATGTATTCTATATCTATCCTGTACATACATTCTCTTTCTCATGGTGTATGGGACTATCTACAAAATTGTAGTTTTCAAATGTACTGCAGGTGATGACAGTTTGAGAAAAAAAAATCACAAAATTGTCTTAAGTGTACTGTTTAAAAATATTCTTTGGAAGCAAAGAAATGAAAGGTATACTAATAATCCTTAATAGTATGTTGACAAAATATAAAGTTGACTTGCAAATAAGTTTTTTTATTTGTGCTCCAATTACTAAATGTGTGTTGGAGGGTGGGGGGGGGATATAAATTTTGCCCTTTAAAATGTATGTCAGTTGGTCATGCAGTCCATCCATAGACAAAACAGTGGAACATGGGTCAATCTTTGTCCTATGGACACAGTTCTACTTTCAAATTACTATTATAAATGTGGATGTAATGAAGCATGTCATAGAAGTATAATAAACAAATGCTAATTTCAGTCTTACATTCAGATGCTTTGTGTTTAACCACTTAACAAATGAGCCACATCACGACAAAACCAACATAATGGGTTTGCGACCAGCATGGATCCAGACCAGCCTGCACATCCGCGCAGTCTGATCAGGATCCATGCTGTTCGCTTACCAACTCTATTACAAGTAGAGAAACTGATAGCGAACAGCATGGATCCTGATCAGACTGCGCGGATGCGCAGGCTGGTCTGGATCCATGCTGGTCGCAAACCCATTATGTTGGTTTTGTCATGACACGGCTCAAATAGACATAAGTGATGATAAGTCCTTCTTAACTAAGATGATTTGCATCTACTTACCAATGAAAAAGCTTTAAATGGATGGACAATTTGGCAAATCTCTGCCATAAGCATAGAACAATCATATTGTCCAATATTTCAGTTTTTTTTGTATTCAATCTCTATATTTTTTTGAGATTGTTTGTAAAAGAAAGTTGACAAGTTTTTTACATTTTCTATTTAACTCATCATTTTTTTGCTTCACTTGTTTTTCATTTTAAAACATTTTTTAAACATTTTTGTTTGTTTTTATTTATTTCATTGCAAATAATTGTGTGCACTTTATTTTTGCTTTGCTTAAATATCCTTCCCATAAACTAGCATCTGGTATTGGAATCAGATTATTGAAGAAAATTAATGAGGTTTATTTCTCCACATAATGAATTTCATTTAAGATGAAATAAAAATCAAAAGATTGAAAAAAAAAGAAAAGAAATTGGCAATGAATTTCACATTTCATCAAGTACAAAAAAAGTACTACATTAAGGCCATGGTGTTTGTATTTGTATGTCTATTTTGTATTTCAGGCCTCTCCTATTTGTGGGACCAACTGGTACAGGAAAATCTGTGTATGTACAGGATAAACTGATGCATGATCTGCCAAAAGAGAAGTTTTTACCAGCTTTTGTGAATTTTTCTGCTCAAACTAGTGCTAATCAAACACAGGTACAGAAGATTAAACATCTCTTTTTTGTCCGTTTCAATTTGTTAAATTCTTTTTGAATATATACCCATATAATAATTAATTGCATTTTAACTTGTAAGGATGCCAGAAGTGAAATATAGAATTTATTGTATTATATTCCTTAATTAATTTTTTTTTTGCTCATGTAAAATTCTTCTTCTTTAAAAAAAAAAGGGGAAAAATAAAATTAAAACAAAAAAACAAAAAAAAAAAAAAAACCACACAACTAACATAATTATGTTCAAAGCAATTTAACAGTATGTATTTTGAAATAATTTCTTTTATTGGTTGTCATTTAAAAACATCCATGTGAAAAACAATTATTTATATATTTAATGTTTTCAACATATAAAAGGAAAGTATTTACAGTATATCATAAATGGTTAAAGAGGTTTTTTCAATTGATTAGATTTCATTTTGTCAGTATTATTTGAATTAACCAAATGGTCATGGGGGTTCAAACCCTGTCAGGGGCAAGCTGTTGTTTCCTTAAGCAAGGAAACATTACACGTCATTGCTTAGTAATTGTTGGTTCCAGGTCCTGATGAGAGTGTTTCAATAAGCTTTATAAGGTAAAGTGAATAAGTAATAAACTAATTAACTAATGTCTTTGAATATTTTTTGTGATTTTTGTTTATACTTTACATAGAACATCATCATGTCACGTTTAGACAAGAGGAGGAAAGGAGTGTACGGGCCTCAGATGGGTAAAAGAGCGATCATCTTTTGTTGATGACATGAACATGCCCCAGAAGGAGGTTACGGAGCTCAGCCACCCATATGAGCTTCTCAGACAGTACCTTGATCACGGAAACTGTTAAAATTTAGATTTTGTTTGTCCTTTAAATACCACTGTATTTTGTAATAGGCTGCTTCTGTTTTTTGAATTAAGGAGTGTTTCATTTTATAGGGGAATACTGAAAGGTGCTAAATTATTTCATTGTCATGCTCATGGGTCATACTGTAATTATTCAACTTCTGTTTTACACAGGAAGTTGCAAAATGTGACAAATTTTTTCAAATCTTAATTAGGAGTTTCTGCGGTTTCTACTCAGGCACCTGCTTGTTCCTGATATAATACACAAAGGGCATCCTTCTACCAGTATAACTGGTATAAAAAACACACAAAGCATTGCTTAAATAATGTAATAAAAGCATAGTGTGCAATCCAGTTAATAGCCAGGTAGTTTCAATCAGGTATTATTAAATCATTTAAGAAAAAGGGTTGATGGCAAAACTGTCAAATTGAAATGATTTTGAACATTTTTTCCAGAAACTATTAAGTGTATTGTTGATTCCATGAATAAAATTTGAACCATTGATTTTTTTAGAGTATGTTCTTTATTTGTGCTTTTATTTTCACCCTTGTTTTTTTTTAGCTCACCTTGCACAAAGTGCAGGTGAGCTTTTAGGAATGGCCTAACCAAATGGGCGTCCGTCGTCCTGTCGTCCTGGTCCACATTTTAAATATATTCTAAGGACATCTTCTTATGATACCGCAAGGCCCAATGTTAATGAAACTTGGGCAGGAATAACTCTTTGTATGAAGCTCTATTCAAGATTGTTCAAAGAATTCCATTTCATGCAGAACTCTGGTTGCCATGGCAACCGAAAGAAAAAATCTTTAAATATCTTCTTTTAAAGAAACCGTAAGAGCTAGAGCTTTAGATATTTGGCATGAAACATCTTCTAATGAGTGTTCTACCAAGTTTGTTTCAAAATAAAAGCCCTAGGTCAAAATTGGCCCCGCCCCAGGGGGTCATTGATTTTTCCCTATATGCATATTAGTAAAAAACTTAAAAAATCTTCTTTTAAAGAACCCTAAGAGCTTGAGCTAAGGAAATTTGGCATGAACATCTTCCTAGTGAGTGTCTACCAAGTTTTTTTTCAAATAAAAAGCCCTGGGGTCAAAAATTGGCCCCCGGCCTGGGGGGTCATTATTTTCCCCTTATATGCATATAGTAAAAAAAAAACTTGAAAATCTTCTTTTAAAGGAACTGTAAAAAGGTAGAGCTTAGGAACCCAAAGAGCTAGAGCTAAGATATTTGGCATGAAAACATCTTCTAGTGAGTGTCTACCAAGTTGTTCAAAATAAAAAAGCCCTGGGGTCAAAATTGGCCCCACCCCAAGGGGTCATTGATTTTCCCTATATGCCATATAGTAAAAAACTTAAAAAATCTTTCTTTTTAAAGAACCCAAAAGAGCTAGAGCTAAGATATTTTAGCATGAAACATCTTCTAATGAGTGTCTACCAAGTTTGTTCAAATAAAAGCCCTGGGGTCAAAATTGGCCCCGTCCTAGGGGTCATAGATTTTCCCTATATGCATATATAAAAAAACTTAAAAAGATCTCTTTTAAAGAACGCCAAAAGAGCTAGAGCTAAGATATTTAGCATGAAACATCTTCTAATGAGTGTCTACCCAAGTTTGTTTCAAATAAAAGCCCTGGGTCAAAAATTGGACCCTGGCCCCGGGGGGTCATTGAATTTCCCTATATGCATATAGTAAAAACTTAAAAAAATCTTTCTTTTAAAAGAACTCAAAGAGCTAGAGCTAAGATATTTAGGCATGAAAACATGTCTCTAATGGGTGTCTACCAAGTATGTTCAAATAAAAGCCCTGGGTCAAAACTGGCCCCGCCCCAGGGGGTCATTGATTTTTCCTTTATGTGTATTAGCAAAAACTTAAAAATCTTCTTTGAAAGAAAAAACCCAAATAGCATTGATTTTAGATATTATTACATGAAAACATCTTTAAGTAAATATCTACAAAGTTTGTTCAAATAAAAGCCCGGGGGTCCAAAATTGGCCCCCTGCCCCCAGGGGTTTTTGTCATTGTTTTTTAACTATATGTGTATGAGTAAAAAACTTAAAAAATCTTTTTTTAAAAAACCCAATGAGCTAGGAATAGATGTTTTAGTGCATGAAAACATCTTTCTTATTGGGTGTTCTACCAAGTCTGTTCAAAAAAAAACCCTTGGGAAAAAATTGGCCCGGGGGGGGGGGGATATATACAGAGTGGGGCGACCCTCAGGGCCATCATGGCCCTCTTGTTTATTAAAGGCTAAAAAAATAATGTTATGAAAATTTTTTTGATTTCAGGATGACTTGAAGGATACATCTAAATAGATACACTACAAGATATCCAGTTTCTTCAACAAAGCTATGGGCCCACCAAAGGTGGCGGTCCATAGAAATGATGTCACACCAAGATTCTTGAGGACCATTTTAAAACATTGTAGGCATGAATCCTTTTTCAGGTTGATGTGAAACAATGACCAAGATTTTCCTCAGTTATCATGAGTCTATTAGTCTTAAGGTTTGTGTTGTTTTATTATAAACCTATCATAGACTTTCTTAGGATACTAAATATATAGCTTTATTTATACTCTAAACCCTGCAATGTTTGATAAACCCTGCCTTTTCAGCATTATGTCATTGGGATAATTTGTGACGTTCATATTAGTTTTTATGTACACAGGCTTTGCCGTCACTTTAATGAAGAACTTTCTTTTTTCTCTTAAAAAAATGAGTTTGCTGTTATTGCTAAAATTTGTTTTATAAAGGATTCTTGGAATTTAAAATTTTTTGATTTGAAATTATTATATTCTTAATGTTTTATATTTCAGGGCCAGGGAAAATTCCCGTCTGACTTTTTTCACACTTTTTGGCAACCAGAATTGTGGCTGCTACAATCTGGCTGATGTTATAAAGAGGCAATGGCTAACTTATTGCCAACTCCAGCAAAATCAACATTACGTGTTTTTTTAACTTGCGTGATTTCTCCAGGATCATTTTAGGTGTCTGTTTGATAAAAAAAACCACAAGTTTGGAGAAATAAACGTGTAATGGTTAATGGTATGTAAGCTCTTGTTTCTTTTTCTTTTTTTATAAATTCCATGGATATTCATCCACCAAAGTTAAAGATGTGTATTCAACAATATGGCCTTAAAAAAGGGTCTCCGCCTAAAGGTTTTTTGAATGCACAGAGACTGGAATATTTTTTTTTCGAGATTTAATGTTAACATTTGAATGAAAGGTGTATGACCCAAATTTCATGTGTGTTCGCAAAATTTTCAAGATCATTCGCTCACTTTGATTTCTCCAGAATAAATATTCTTATTGTGACAAATGATTCCAAAAAAAATTTTTGCCAATGCTTTTACTCAAATGCAAAGAATTGGGCCAAAAAAAACCGCCTGAGAAAAACGTAACGCGCAATTTTCAATTTATTTCCAAAGTATATTTTTTTAATTTCTTTTTCCCTATTTTCCCGTTTTAAGTTTCCCTTAAATATCTATGTAAAAATTTAAATTTTTTTTTTAGGTTTTTTGGAACCCCATGGGAAAAACCCCTTTTAATTTAAAAAATAATTTATAATAGTTTTTCTTTTAAAAAATTGGGTTTACTTTTTTTGAATTCACTTCCCCAAGGGGCTTATTTCTTTACTTAAAACTAAAATATTTTTATATAAACAAAAATTGCATTAAAACCCCCTAGGGTTCAATCCTTTTAATTCCCATTTTTTTCATTTTTATTTGTGTTTTATTTTTAGATTATGGGGGACATGAATGATGAGGGTGTTTTATTTTATCTTTTTACTGATGATTCTGACAAAAGGAAAAAGGGGTTTTGAGTAAGTTTTTTTATTCCCAAATTTTATAAAGAATCTTAATAAATAAGTATTTAAGGAAAAAATTTAATTTTCTGGGAATTTTGTTATACTTTTTAAGGAAAAAATTTATGATTTAGGGGTTTAAAAGTTTCAACTACCCTTTTCGGGGGAACCCCAAAAAATTTTTTTCAAAACCTTATTTTTTCTTTTTTTCCAAATAAATTTTTTAATTTGGTTTTTTGGCCTTTTTAAATTTATTTTAATGTTTTAATAAATTATTGGAAAGGAAAATTTTTGCAAAAAATTAAAAAAAAATTTAGTTAAATTTCCCCAAAAAAAAAAAAAATTTAAAAAAAGGGCGGAAAAGGGTTTAATTTTAAAATTTTTGTTTAAAATTCTATAAAGGGGAAAAAAACAATGTTTTTTTTTAAATAATTTAAAAAAATTTTGAAAAATTTAAATTTTTTTTTAAAAAAAAATAAAATTTTTTTTTAAAAAAAATTAATTTATTAAAAATATTTTTTTCCCTTTTAAACGTTAAAAAAGTCAAAAATACATTAATAAAAATTTTTTTTTTTGAAAACCGTTCCCAAAATTTTAAAAAAAATAAAAAACCTCTGTTTTAAGGTTTAGTGGCCCCTTTTCTAATTTTAACAAAATAAAAAAACAAAAAATTTCCCCTGTTTCCTTTTTTAAAAATTATATTTTTTAAATTTAATTTTTTAATTTTGAAAAATTGAAAAGAATAAAGAGTTTAACCCGGAAAAATTAAAAATCTTTTTGTCCCTTTATTGTTTTTTGTAAAATGTTTATTTAATAGAAAAATAAGGTGTAAAAGCAAAAAAAACCCAATACATTTTCCAACCCCAATAAGTTAGGGAAAGTTAAAATTTTTGAAATTTTAAATAGAAAAATATATTTTTAAATTTTTTGGAAAAAAGATCCCTTTTTCCCAAAATTCGAACACCCGGGCTTTTTCACCTTAAATTTTTCATTTAAAAAATCGAAATGTGGAAAAATTTTGAAAAAATCCTTTAAATTTAAAAATTTAATTTAAAATTTTATTTTCCAATTTATAATTGAAAAAGTTTTTAATTTTATTTAATTTAAAGAAAAATTTAAAAAATTTTGAGGAGAAAAATTTTGGAAAAAAACCCAGGGGCCTTTTTGGGTAAAAAGGTGTTAAAAATTTTTTGGGTCGTTTTGAACCAAAAAATTTTAAATTACCAAATTGGTTTTAGGGGTATTTAAAAAAACACTGGGAAAGAATTTTTTCATTTAGGGTAAAATTTGAAAAATAAAAATGACTAAACGGGGAAATTTTTTCAAATAAAATTAAAGTTTGGGGAAATTTTAAATTTTTAATTTTTTAAAATTTAAACACCCTTTTTTTTTAAAAAAAAAAAGATATTTCCCAAAAGTGATTTTTATTGCCTCCATTAAAATTTTTTGGGAAATTGGATCCAAAAAATATTAAAAGGAGGGAAAGGGCTAAACCTTTACCAGAACAGTGCCTAAAGCAAAATGAGCAACAGAGTACCCGTTTTTTTAAAATGGTCAAAAAAAATAACACACATAAAACCAAAAAAAGAACAGTGCCTCGAGGAATAATAACACACATAAAAGCAGAATGAATCTTGTCATCTTTTAGGTAAACTTTGAAAATATAATAAAAGGTGTACTAGTTTCGGTATCTTTTTCAAAATAAATAGATGTTTGAATTCCATTGAAAGTTTTTGTGAAATATTAAGGTCAGCTATTCCAAAGAAATAGGAAGAGCTATTGTACTTACTGATGCATTGGTATTGAAGTAGCCGTCACACTTGGTTACATTTTTGGTGCAAGTTGGTATCTCTTAAAACTACTTAAAGGAATGGGCTGAAACTTCACACACTTGTTTTCTGTGATTATCTTATATTATAGGGACAGGTCCCTTAACTCTGAGCTACCTATTTACAGTATTGTGCCTCTTTTTTTTTACTGTCAAGCACTGAGAGTAGACAAGCACAGTGTCTTACTGACAGCTTTTGTTTAAGATGAGAATGAGTGGCTAACAGATTAGAACCTGGTCAGATTTACATAGATGTGCAGACTGACCTTGTTTTATACAATGCACAAGTAATTAGTTAAGATAGCATTTGTATTTATTGTTGTTGTATTATTTCAGATATGTGTTAGAGCATTTGTCTCGTATCAGTCGTGTTTTACGTGTACCCGGAGGTAACGCCCTCTTGGTTGGTGTAGGTGGCAGCGGTAGACAGTCTCTGACACGTCTAGCTACAGCTACTGCTGGGTATGGCCTTTTCCAACCTGAAATCTCTAAAAATTATGGCAAAACAGAATGGAGGGAAGATATAAAGGTAATGAAGACTTGCTTTTTGTTATCTTTTCCTCTTTAACCATTTTAAAATGGTTGTTGATAGCATGAAAAAGTTAGTTAGTGTATAAGAACATACTTAATTAAAAGTTGCCAAATCTTTTCCAAATTTATGCTGATAAAATGATTTAATTGATTTTAAAGTATTTTATATCAGGAGTGAATTTGAAATTCTGTCATTAAAGTATTCAAACTTCAAAAGTAGACAAGATAAATGTAATGATGATGTATCAAAATACAATTTTAATGTGTTATAAATTGAAAAGTGATTAACTAAAACAGTTATATCAATATACTTCTGTTATGACACACAGAAAGTTCTAAGAACAGCAGGAGCTGAAGAGGTAGGATAATCCAGGGTCTTGGGTCAAAGGTTATAAAGTGTGAGATTGCTGATCTGTTACAGACATTCTGATTGGTTAATTTTGAAAGTAGACTCAGAGTTGATCAATTGAACAGTTCCATTAAGTGCTGTTCTGCAATCTCCATTTTATAATCAGAAATGGTTTGTCAGTGCTCATCTACCTTAAGAGTCTTAAATTTAGATTTAGACTTAAAAATCTTGAAAAAAATTCTTAACTCCATATTTTATTTCATTGTGAACTAATTCTGATGAAACTTTGTTGACTTATCTGCAACTATATAATGCGCATTTCATGAAAGTTTCATTACAAGTTGTGTATACAATGTAAGTACCAACGAATGACGGAACAAAATATCTCGATTTCTAAGTCTAAATTTTAGACTTTAGGTGTAGATGAATACAATGTATAGCCTTGTCATTAGGTCATTGTAAACATGTCTTTAGCCCTTACACTGCTGAATTTGTGAAAATGGACCTGCCCATGTTCATTTTGGAAAAGAGTACCTCACATGAACAATTTTACTGTTGTTTTTGTTTATTTAGAAAGTACACTGAGCACAATTTTACAGACCATTGGATGTTGTTTGATGCTTTCCTTGTAGGAATAAATATTTTAAATTTTAGAATGCTATTGAAAATAGCAACAAAAAAAACAGTCTTAAAAATATATTTTTACACTTAATACATATATGTGTAAATATTTTCACACATATTTTGGAAGCAAAAATAAAGGCATAAAGAATTTAAAGCCTGTTTACTGATATTCAAAATCCAAGTATTCCCATGTAAAAAGTAATATTTAGATTCCAATTGCTTATGTTTGATTGTTGATGGTTTTTGCCTAGCTATGCATTTAGCTAAGAAAAAGTTATAGCTTGCTTGTGGTTTAACAAAAAAAAAAATACAAACATGGATTTTAAAAGGTTTTCTTCCACTAGGTAAATGGGAGTGTCCATGTATGATCTTGAAGTAACAGTATAACATAATAACAATGGCATTACATAGTTTAAACTTTAGCTAAACTTATCATAATTTTAAAGTCCCTTGTTTGTAAATTTTCAGACTTTATTAAAGACAGCTGGAACAGGTAAGACAATGGTGTTTCTGATAACAGACACACAAATCAAGGAAGAATCTTTTCTAGAAGATATTGATAATTTACTCAACACTGGTGAAGTCCCCAATATATTTGCTGCTGATGAAAAGTCAGAAATTATGGAGGTAATGTATTTGATTTCCAAAGAGAAATGTGTTAGTTGTTTTGAATTAATCTGGTTTGATCAGCCTTTTAACAAAAACAAAAAAGGAGTCATCTTTTAGTTTCTGAATTGCTATAACTTCTTAAAGTCTTATTAATAGACCATACATATAGATATGTTAAATAAAAAGTCAGGCTATATTACTTACCAAATTGGTCTTTTATTTCCAGGGTTGAATGCTAGTCTGTCTTAAGTATCTCTATGGATTCTGAAGACATTTAAACACGGCAGAGTTCCAAATAACATATATAGATATGAGATATATAAATTTTGACATGCTATCAAAATAAGATGTATAAAGTTATAGTTGTAATTATATCAAATGTTTTTACCACATAATTACACTGTATGATATCACTGTTTGTATTTAGAGTATACGTCCAGCTATGCAGGCACAGATGGAGGCGGAGGGTAAAGGTGGTGATGATTTCTCTCCCCTGGCAATGTTTGCCTTCTTTGTAAATCGTGTAAGAGAGAATTTACACATCATTATAGCCTTCAGTCCTATTGGAGATGCTTTCAGGAACAGACTTCGTCAATTTCCATCACTTATCAATTGTTGTACCATAGATTGGTTCCAGGTTGGTGATTTCTATTATTACATCCTTTTCTGAACTTTTAGCTATTTTTGAATACCTTTGTCGTCAGTATTAATACAAAAACATTTCTTTGAAATTAAACAACTGAGTTTCTTGTGTGTGTCTAGTTTTAAATGAGTATTTGACTCTTATATGACTAGGAGTACATGTGCTTTCTTTTCGTTGATTTATATCAATGTGATTTTAAACTTTGTTATAAATCAGCATGTCGAATATTGTCATCTTAATGCAGTAAAGGGTTAGCCCCTATTAAGATATAATAGAAGTAAACATGGTGGAGACATACCGAATTGTTTTGTTTATAAGGTATTTATCAGATTAAGAAACTGCATTGAATTTTTTTATTTATCATAAGCATCTTGAAAACTTCAGAAATATTGCATACAGTCACTATATAAAAGAGTTGTTTTGTTTTTATTTACATACATATAGGCCTGGCCTGATGATGCTTTAGAAAGAGTGGCCAATAAGTTCTTAGAGCAGCTGGATATTGAGGATGATCAGAAGGCAGAGACTGTGAAAATCTGTAAACATTTCCACCAGGGCACTATTGGTCTGTCAACAGCTTACTTGCATGAATTGGGACGTCATAATTACGTCACACCAACATCGTACCTGGAATTGATTAATGCCTTTAAGACATTGTTAGGATCTAAACAAGATGAGACACTTAAAGCAAAGAGGAGATATGTTGTTGGTCTGGAGAAGTTGGCATTCGCTGCTAGTCAGGTAATTATATGTGTACAGTAACACCTGTCTGGGAAGACCTTATTAATGTTAAGGGACATTGAGTGTCACTTCTTCTTTCTAAATATCTTTTTGCAATTTTTTTTACATGACAACAATTGTATATATTTTTACTATAAAAATGTTTGAATCAAGTCACAAATCATTTTAACAGCTCTGCTAGAGAAGACACATAGCAAAACTAATCATTAAAGCAATATTTCTTTTTGCACTGTTTGCTATTCAGTAAGTAGCCATTTTGAAATTTGATAATGATGAAAGGTTTTGTTCAGATTTGAAGATGGACTATAGTTAATTTAAGATATCTAGCATGATATTGGTTAATCTATGTAAAATTATTATTAAAGATGTCGAGGTGCGGAAGTAAAAAAGTATCTCATACATTGCTGCAGTATTTATTATATTATTTGTGTTTGTTATTTAGGTTGCAGACATGCAGAAAGAGCTTGAGGAACTACAGCCTCAACTTGTTGTTTCTGCAGAGGAGAATTCTAAAATGTTGGTGGTAATTGAGAAAGAATCGGCTGAAGTTGAGGCCACCAGTAAACTGGTAAAGGCTGATGAACAGGTAGCCAATGAACAGGCTGCTCAGGCTCAAGCTTTAAAAGATGAATGTGAGGCTGATCTTGCTGAGGCTATCCCTGCCCTCGAGGCTGCCTTAGCTGCTCTTAATACACTGAAGGTATGATGGTTGTTTCAAATGTTTGTCCCAATAGTAATTCGGCTGTTTTTGAATGCATATAGATTGTAAATTTTATGAATTATAATAACCATGACTAATTTTTGTTGTTTTTTAAACCATGAAAGAGTAAATTTTTGGTTATAGTAAATATAGTTAGTTAGTAGATGGTAGATTGTTCCCACAAGATGAATGTTCTGGTCATGCCTTAACAATAGTGATGATAAGGATCTTTCTACTTCCAGTATTTGCTGGAGAGCCACCAGGCCATTAAAAAGTCCATTTTACTTGAACCCAACATAGAAAGAAGAAATCAATATTGTGTAAATTTTTAAGAAAAAAAATAAAATTATCCAGTGGAAAGATAATTCAAATTGTGCTTACCTTACAGCCTGCAAGATATTACCAATTGGAAGTCAAATGAAAGAAAATGCCGGTGGTGAAAATTTTGGATGTAAGCTGTTTGTGTTTAATGAAGGATATAAAACCGGACAAAATCAACGATCCTGACAATCCGGGACAGAAAATCTAAGAAAAATTGGGGACCATCAAGAAAAACTGCTAGGAGATATGACCGTTTCCTCAGTATGCTGAAAAGAAATATGACAAGTATAACATTAAACTATGAACTTTTTTTTTCTTAAAACTAAACAAAAAATATCGAGACTAATTTGTATTTGGAATTTGCATTAAAATGATATATATGATATTAAAGTAAGAAAACCATTATAAATATTATATTCTTTTCTAAAATGATTTTAAAGAAATGAAAATTTTGTTTCCAGATACATGTGATGCAGAAGATCCGTAAAAGAGTATATTTGGTAATCCAGAAATTTGACCCGAGCAAGGTGGAAAAATGCTTCCTCCGCAGCTGAAGGTCTCTGTAAATGGATCATGGCAAAAATGGAGATTTATGATGCGTGTTGCTAAAGTCGTAGCTCCAAAGAAAGCCCGTCTAGCTGAGGCCGAGGCTGATCTCAGCTCGACAATGAAAACTTTAAATGCAAAACGTGCTGAGTTGGCAGCTGTTGAGAAACGTTTGGCTGACTTGAAAGCCACATTCAAAGAAATGACAGACAAGAAAGAACAGCTCGAGTTTCAGGTGGATTTGTGCGGAAAGAAACTTGTACGTGCTGAGAAGCTGATCGGTGGTTTAGGTGGTGAGAAGTCCAGATGGACAAAGGCGGCAGAGTTGTTACAAAACACATATGATAATCTGACAGGTGATGTGTTGATCTCAGCCGGTGTGATTGCCTACCTCGGTCCGTTCACATCTGCATTTAGAGATAGGGCAACTCATGACTGGGTGAACGAGTGCATGGTAAGTGTACAAGTATTAAAATTCATTTCTGAATGAAAAAAATATATATATTTATAGAAGCAACTAGATTAAACTAAAATAGTAAGATGTCTCATTGGTTAAAGATATGGCATATTCTGGTTAATGTGTACCGCCTTTCATGTAATGTTTTTGCTTGGGGTTTTTTGGTGATAAATCTTATTCAGCAATATTTTTTTGAGCAACTCAATTTTGAAATTTGAATGTTAAATTTGATTTAGAAAGTGAATACATGTATAACGTTTAAGTACTTTATAGTGTAATGAAGTATTACAATTAACATATAAATTATAATCCATATTTGGAAGCTGTCTCTGGTGTGATATGTTAAAACACATTAATGTTTTGTTTCAGACAAAGAAGATCCCATGCTCAAAAGAGTTTTCACTGAGTAAATGTCTTGGAGAACCAATTAAGATCCAGGCCTGGAACATCTTCGGTCTACCTAGAGATGCTTTCTCTATAGATAATGGTGTCATTGTGGCTAACTCTAGAAGATGGTAAGATATTATAGATATAAGGTCTTTGTTAACTCTGGTTGTGTCCTTGCCATACCTGTGTAGGTTGTAGCTGACATGGTTTTACCTTGATTATCTTGAAATTATGTTAAGGAATTGTCTTAGTTTATACTACAGTAATTTATTTTAGTTTGATTGTGTTGGAAGCTATAAGCTTTTGAAACATGCTTGAATCCGTTCTTAGAACCAACCAGTACTAAACAATGAGTGTAAAGTTTTTTGCTCATGGAAACAACGGCTTGGCCCAGATGGGTTTTGAACTCATGCAGAAGGACTTGTCTTGATGTAATACATTGTATTGGTATAGGATTTTAACCATTAACTTAAAATTTGCACTGTACTAATTTTTGTCCCTCCAGACATTATTTTATCCATTATCACAATTTTTATCCAAAAACATACTTTTATTTTATCCATGAACTCATCTTTTGAATGTTTGTGTATATACAGGCCATTGATGATAGATCCCCAAGGTCAGGCCAATAAATGGGTAAAGAACATGGAGAAAGAGTTTAAACTTTCAGTTATCAAGCTGACAGATTCTGACTACATGAGGACACTAGAGAACTGTATTACATTTGGTAACCCTCTACTTTTGGAGAATGTTGGCGAGGAGTTAGACCCGTCCCTTGAACCATTGCTTCTCAAACAGACATTCAAACAAGGTGAGAATTTGAACTACTGCATAAAGCATATTTTAAATATAACATCAATGAAATCAGATGAAAAGAATTTTAGTGATTTCCGAAGATTTAGATGGCGTAAGTTAAGAACATGTGTGATTTTTTGTTTTCAAGTTAATTGTTGCTTTGAAATAGAATATAGATAAATTCGAAAATGGAGACTCAGTTTGGCACATGTTGTGAAGTATTAGAGTAGAAATGCACATTGTTAGTGTTTTATGCAGAATATTTTAAATATTGAAACGGGAGATGTTTGACATTGATCATAAGTTTTAAAGCAAAATGTAGTACATTTCTCAATCCAAATCATTATCATATTATTGATTAACCCATTTGCCTGTTTGTTCGGGGGTCACCTTTCAATGTATCCATGTCTGAAGACACCTCAGTGATATAAAGTAATGAGAATAGTTGCAGTAACTGGTTGACTCATTTTTATAAATCTACTCAAAGGAAGTGATCGATGATGCACGTTGTCAATGGTTACATCAAGTACCTAAAAGCATTGCACTGTTTTGGATATTTTAGAAAAAAAAATCATCTTTTTTATGCTAACTTTCTTTGTTCAGTCAAATTTTACCATAACTTGACCAGAGTTCTAATATAATTCCAGTTAATTTGAATAGCTACCAAAAAAAGTCTAACAAATTTACTAATGTGACAACAAGTTAATTAGGCATTATTTATGATTTATTCTCCCTCATAAATATGTATGTGTGATTGATATACCTCTTAATTTGTTCAAAATGTGTGCATTTCTGTGGTATATATAATTTCTCCGTTTTCTAGTGTGATAATTACATATTACATGTATTTTAAATTCTATATAATTTCCATTTTTTTCTGCTGCAAAATTGTATTTACATTGTATAGCTGTGCATTAATGTTTACAAATTTATCAACAAGTAATGAATTTATTGATATTTTTCTTGGTGATGGATATATATTCAAAACAAGGGGAAGTATCTTAATGTTTATTTGTTTTGTACAAGTCTTCTTTATTAATGTATATACAATTTTATAGCAGACATATAGTTCTTGTGAATACCCTGTATTGCATTGATAAACCTTGTATATTTTTGAACAGCTGGAATGGGTAGGTTTAGAAGCAAATGTACTTTCTTCCTTTACGAAACATTATCTTTACTATAGATGTATAAATTTTTCCCTTATAATATATATATATGTATTGCATGATGGGTTTATGGAATTCCTTAACCTTCTTTTCCTATTGCACATTCAGTAGTATGGTGATAATTTTATGAAGGTGAACAGATAATTACTGGTAAATACTTGTAGAAAACAATACAACAGTCAATCAAAGTAGGAACATTTATTTCTAGGTGATAAATTTCATCATATCCTGTTAAATTATTTATACACTTATATGCATTCAAACAAGTGGTTTGATGATGTTGCAAATGGTATGTCAAATGGTTTGATGATGTCATGAATGTGATGTCAAAATGGTTTGATGATGTCATGAATGTTATGTCAAAATGGTCTGATGATGTCATGAATGTGATGTCAAAATGGTTTGATGATGTCATGAATGTTATGTCAAAATGGTCTGATGATGTCATGAATGTGATGTCAAAACAGTTTCATGGTATCACAGAATATGGTCTCAAAAAGGTTTGATGATGTCATAAAATTAGATTTCAAAACAGTTTGATGATATCACAGAATGTTATGTCAAAAATGGTTTGATGATGTCATGAATGTGATGTCTAAATGGTTTTATGATATCACAGAATGTGTTGTCAAAATGATTTGATGATGGCATAGAATGCAATGTCCAAATGGTTTTGTGATATCACAATGGTTTTATCATGTCACAAAAGGTGATTTCAAAAGTTTTTTAGTTACAAAAAAATACTTTAGATATTTGACATGACTGCATTACTGTCTAAAGGAGAAATGTTTATAGATGACAGAGTTAAAATAGTCCTGTAGCAATTCAGTGGATTTAACAGAATAAATTTACAAACATGATGTATACTGTATAGAACTTTATATGAATTTTATATAAATAAAGCACAATATTATACTTCTTTTTTAATTCCTTAGAATATTTTTCCATTATTTAGCTGAATATCATGCACAATTTATATATATTTTACAATAATGCACCTGGGGTAGTAGTAGAAAATATGTGATACTTTAGTAAATACTTTAGGATATAGCTTCAATATCACACTAGATAGACAATTGTATTGGAACAGTAAATTAAAAGGGAGAGAGCCTGCTTATGCCGGAAAAAAGTCCCCATATGAAGACATTAGAGTTTGTGTGACATAAAACCAAACAAAATGAATTTGTTAAGATCAGTAACTGTAGGTAAGCTTCAAAATGAATTTTTAGATTTGGGACAAGTTTTTTTTTGCAATATACAATCTAATAATTATATGAGTTACCATACTAGATATAGATATAATAAAACACTTTAGTGTTGTAATATGAAGGATAATAACAATAATAAGTTGATTTATTTCTGTTAAAAAAGAGGATTTAGAAGATGAGGGTAAGGTACTCACTCTAACTGTTGTTTAAGTCATATACATATATAAATGTTTAGTAAAAATATGTCCTGTAAAAGATGTCACTGAAATTACAAATGATTGTTTATATGTTAAAAGAAATCTCAACATGTATCAAAAGTTAATTGGTTGCTGAGTAATTAAATTCTGATGCAGGGTCATTTTGTTGTTAAATTTTACAAGATTTCTGTAAGAATTTCAGAAAAGATATTCCTTACTGATCAAACTAAGGTAGTCATTATTTATTCAACTTAAAAGATATATTAAAAATCAGTTCAACTTACAAAAATTTATATATTTCTGTTAATAATAAATGTAAAACCTGTTTGTTTCAAGATATTATATTTATTCTGCATTAATGATTATTGATTAGATCTGGAAAAAATTGGTAAGGGTAAACAATATTGTATTGTAATAATTGTGGTTGAGAAATATGGGGATATGGTCCGGAATCTATTTATCATTGAATCAGATATGAAATAATGTTACAACTTAGAAAAATTCTTGATATGATGTTTATTATTTCGTTCACTATACATACGGTATATCATGAACTGGCACAAATTCATTTTTTTTATGTTAATTATTTTTGCAATTTAAAATTCAATATTGAAAACAATGCTTATCAAGTTTGCATGAATAAAGTATTTATATTTATTATTCTTCTTAAAAATATATCTGTTTATTTTCTTTATAAAGCTAGAAAGAAGAAACATATTGTTTTCTTTCTTTCTTATTGAAGGAAATATAATAATTGTGAATTGAAAAATTATCACATATTAGAAAGTAAATTCACCTCAATATAAAATTCACCCTATCACATGATAATTTGTTATATTTTACAGAATTTTTTTTTCGCTCATTATATTTTGCTCAAGCAACAAACATAAATATTTTATTCAATTGATTCGGAAATATTTTAAATACAAAGTAATAAATTGTTTTAATTGGTTGCTTTGCATAAATTTCATATTCAAATTACAATTGTTCAGTATGAAATTTGAATTACAGAATATTTTTGTAACCATGGTTAATTTTTAACTGAATATTTTTTTCTTCTAAAAACTTTAAAGTTATACCCACATCTTTAGATAGTAAGTATAGATATAGTGTTCAGTAAAAATGGTGAAAATAAATGTTAAATATTTACAGTACTGTCAATGTTCATTGTTAGTATAAATAATGATGAATGGTCATTGTGTAAACATGTACATGTATCTAGTTATTAATCGATAAACTTGAAATATTACAGAAATTTAGCCATGGCAAACAGAAATTTAGCCATGGCAAATGACAAACAGAAATTAAGCCATGGCAAAACAGAAATTAAGCCATGGCAAACAGAAATTAGGCAATGGCAAACAGAAATTAAGCCATGGCAAACAGAAATTAGGCCATGGCAAACAGAAATTAAGCCATGGCAAACAGAAATTAAGCCATGGCAAACAGAAATTAGGCCATAGCAAACAGAAATTAGGCCACGGCAAACTGAAATTAAGCAATGGCAAACATAAATTAAGCAATGGCAAACAGAAATTAAGCAATAGCAAACAGAAATAGACCATGGCAAACAGAAATTAAGGCATGGCAAACAGAAATTAGGCTATGGCAAACAGAAATTAGGCCATGGCAAACAGAAATTAAGCAATGGCAAACAGAAATTAAGCAATGGCAAATATATGTATTGTATTAATTGTAAGCCTGGACAATGAATCTATAAAGAATAAATATATGTATGGATATTGAATAATTATGTGTTTCAGTTTCTAAAGTAGAAAGTTTATTTATCTTTTTTTTCATACATTCAGATGGTAAGGTTAAAGGAAATGGCTTAGTTTGGTTTATTTTGTTGAAAATTATTGGGTTTTTATATTTTTGTTCTGTTTATGTTTTGAAAATTAAAGTTTGTTACAGTTACAATTGAGTTTCATTTATTCAAATTATGTTTTACTTAAAATTTGCATGGACTTAAATCAATGGCTTAGCGGCTGAAGGCATTTATATTCGAACAAAATTATACTTCTTTTTAAGTTAATGATGATTTATATTTTTCTAAGTTCACAAGTTTGTTTGAAAATGTTGCATGAAACAAGGCTGTTTGTCAGATGATTTTTTAAATTTTATTTTATTTTATTTTTTTTGGTTGTATTGAATGAAATAATGTATAACCTTGCTTTTCAGACCCTTAACAGCTTTGCAGAAAATGATTCCATTATTTTCCTCTGTCACAATTTTAAGTGTATTTTTAAGGCTTGAAATATTTAGCATGAAAGTAATGCCCAGCAAGTGTAGGGGTATACCAAATTTGCATGAGTTTATGCCATGTAAGCATGGGTTTTATGCCAAGCACTTAAATGCATGAAACTACCTAACTGAATTGCTTTTACTGCTTTTTAGCATATTTCATGCGATATATTGAAATAAAAGAAATCAACATTTGAAATAACATCTCATACATTCCTATATTTAACTTATTTCATATTAACATATAACAGTTTGTTTGTAACACTTTCTTGTAACAACTTTAATATATGGTTTGCTTATTAAAAGGACATAACTTCAATTTTTTTTTCAAAAATAACAAAGAAATGCATCTTTCTCTAACATAATAAAACACTAGGAAACATTCAGATAACTTGAAGTAAGGTTTTTCATCAGGAAATGTTTGAAACATGTACATTTGGATACTTTCAGGCGGTGTTGAAATGATCCGACTAGGTGAAAACACAATTGAATACAGCAAGGATTTCAGATTTTACATCACAACAAAGTTGCGTAACCCACACTACTTGCCCGAAGTAGCCACCAAGGTGTCTCTGCTCAACTTCATGATCACTCCAGAAGGTCTGGAGGACCAGTTGCTTGGAATTGTTGTAGCCAAAGAAAGGTCACTAGTTTTATTACATAATTTTCTTCACAGTTTTTCTTAAAATTTGAGAAAATAATATAATGCCTGTTTAATTATCTATTCTTTATTATTCCAAAAATGTCATCACAATATTACTTCTAATGTTTCTTAAAAAACAATATAAAAAAATGTTTAGGCAAATGGTACATTTCAGCCTGATACATTCTGTGTTAAACTAGTTTTGCTTATTCTACATTAATATTTCATATTTAGAATCATGATTCATTACAGCACATGTAATGAAAATTTAAACTTATAGTTCACAAGCTGTTAAATAGTTAAAACAAAAAATAATTATACATCATTGAATGTGGAATTTACAGTGTATTCAGCTAAAAATATAAACATTGTTAGTTCAGAGAAAAAGTCGAATCGGAAGTTTTCTTCTGTGGATGTATGGAGAGAAATGTTTAAATATATCTTTCAATTGACTACTTAAGTTACTCATATTTTCCCTCTGAAAATGGGGACGCAAATATGTGCATTTTTTACAAGGAAATATATTACATGATATAATGATAATTTTTACAGGCCTGAGCTGGAGGAAGAGAGACAGGCTTTGATTATACAGAGTGCTCAGAACAAGAAACAACTCAAAGAAATTGAGGACAAAATCTTGCACACACTTTCAGCCTCCGAGGGCAATATCCTCGAGGATGAGTCTGCTATCCAGATTCTTGATTCCTCAAAGATTCTCTCAGATGAAATCTCAAAGAAACAAAAGGTATAAATAAAATTAAATGTGTGTTTTTTGGTGTTTTGGGGTTTTTTTTGTATGTGTATATTTTTAAAGAGTACAATAACATTTCCTTCAAAGCAAGAACTAGGCTTCTTTATTAATCATTTATCAATAATAATCTGTAAATTCTTTACATTTTTTTTGTTTTGTTTTGTTTTGGGTTTTACGTCACATCGACACAGTATAGGTCATATCGCGATGTTCCAGCTTTACTGGTGAAGGAAGACCTCAGGTGCCCTTCCGTGCATTATTTCAGGCACGAACGGGCACCTGAGTAGAACCACTGACGTTCCGTAAGCTAGTTCTTTACATTTAAGGATAGGGCATAAGTCTTATTTTATGAGAATAGTTTAGTGATACCATCTTTTTGTATTATAACACCAACTACACCTATCTGATTACTTATGTTACTCTTTGTCATTGAAACGGGGTACCCTATGAAAGTGAGAAATAATGATATTGAATTACGCAAAGTATTATTGTAATAACTGCTTTTTGGTTTGTCTTTACCTGTGGGTTCGAATTCTTTCAGACAGTTTTTCTTAAACATGTGAAACATATCTAGCTTATTAAAAAGATCAGTATTATTACTCTGGTGCCAACTTTTGGGCCTTAAATAATGTATACAGGGGCACCAGACGTCTTCTTATACTAGTAAATTAAGAAAGTTGCCATATTATTTTCTATTAGTATTAAGTAATCAGGACCCTAACCCTTCTTAATGTCTCAAAAAAATGTAGAAAAAAACTACATTAAAAATACATTTTTACTAGATCTAGACCATTGGAACACTCTTATTTTGATTATTTTTTTTTTGTACAGATTGCGGAGGAAACAGAAGAGAAGATTGAGACAAGTCGTATGGGATATCGTCCTATAGCCAAACATTCCTCCATCCTCTTCTTCTCTATTGCTGACCTTCCAAATATTGATCCTATGTACCAGTATTCTCTCACCTGGTTTGTCAACTTATACGTAATGTCTATACATGATAGGTATGTACACTTTGTTCCGATGTTTCTTATTGGTGTCAGTTGATTCAGTTATGTTACTTAAATCGATCCTTTGTTAAAAGACCATATTGAGAACTTGGTGGAAACAGTTGTAACTCTTTCTTTATGATAAATGATTCACAACTGTTTCAAAACCAAACCTTTGGTAAGAATAAAGGCTATATTTAGAAGTGTAGTGCAAAAACTATCTTTTACAAAAGACCAATTTTTATCTGTCCCTTGAGTGGTCTTTGAAGACAGGTTTGACTTATGCTAATGTACCATTTAGGAATATTTAGAGAAAAAAAAAGAAAAAGAAAAAGAAGTTTCTTCAAACTGATACCATGTATTTAGGGATTTGTACAAACTTAAAATCATTTATGTTATATAGGACTGTTATGCACCAAATTTGTCATTTAACAGTACAAAATTTAAGTGATAAGATATTTTTTGTTTTTTACTTTTTGATTAAAGATACTTCTTTCCTGTATAATAAATATTCTATCAAACTAACATGGTACCCTACCCCTCCTATTTAAGATCACGATTAATATTCTGTGGAACAAATATGGCAACCTATATACCCCTCCAATCAGAAATCCCTGTTTAGGTAGCTTACCTAAATATGAACTTGTGTTTTCTGAATTTATTGCAAAGACTTAGTGCGATACAATTTTAATACATATGAAATAAATTAGGTACAACTGTTTTGCACTAAGTCTGTGATTTTTTATTCTTTACTGAATGATATATACAAAGCAAAATTTATTAACACAGCTGCAAGCCCACAATGACAATAAGCTTTGACCCATTAGTTGATAAGAAATTAATAGTTTTATGTTTTATCTGTCAGCACATAGTAACTATAGCAACTTGAAGGAAAAAAAAAAAAAAGAGAACAAAGCACTAATGTCTTATTCAAAGGCTTATAATTGCTAATTGTCATTTGGGTATTTGGATGTGTTGATTTCAAAAGTTTTGAAATCAAACAGATGTTTAATAATTATGTGTTATGTGATCTTTGTCTTTGAGAATATATGAGCCGCGTCATGACAAAACCAACACAGTGCCTTTGCGACCAGTATGGATCCAGACCAGCCTGCACATCTGCGCAGTCTGATCAGGATCCATGCTGTTCGCTATCAGTTTCTTTACTTTCTGAGGATGCGCAGGCTGGTCTGGATCCATGCTGGTCGCAAACGCATAACATTGGTTTTGTCGTGACTGGGCTAATATATATATTTATAATGTTCTCTGAATACTGTTTATCAATGATGTATGTTTTTTGCAGCAATAAGTCGAAGATTTTGGAACGTCGACTCCGTTACCTAACTGATCATTTTAGCTATCTCTTATTCGATAACGTGACAAGATCTTTGTTTGCCAAACATAAAGTGGTGTTTGCATTCCTCCTCTGCACTAATCTGTTATTGTGAGTAATCATGGGACAGACAAAAAACAAACAATATATATATAACCCCACCCCCCCTAGACCCAAGCATGTACTCTTTAGAGCAGATCATTTTATTATATATTTATATATGTGTATGTACCCAGATAGATTAGTTTTCTATATGCATGGAAAAAAACTGCAGATATTTTTTATTTATTATATACTTATAAATGAAATATTGATGAAATAAAAAAACGTATTTTCATTAAATACTGTATGTATAGAAAAACTTTAATATCCTCTATATATTCGATTTTCGTAGTGGTGAATATTTCTGTTTTTTGTGCTCAATAAAGCAACTTCAGTAACAATGAAAATGTCAGAATTAAGGGGGTAATGAATTAAATGTCTGCATTTTTTTTTTATTTTTTTTTTTGGAAGGGATATGTATATGTAACCAGCTCTTTTTTTAAATTTGTTTTTATTTCAGATTATCTAGCATGTACTTTGTGTTTTATTTTAGCTAGTTTCTATTATCTCATGATACCAGATTAAAAAAGATATACAATTTTAAATTAAATTGAAATATTGAGGGTACAAGTTTTTAATATATCTTTTTAATTTATTATTCATAATTATCATATCAGGGATATACATTTATTACTTTGTTAATTAGCCTTACCTATTTGAGGTTGAAGTTTCAAGACAGAAGCTGATCTGCTCTAAATTCTCAATTCAATTTCTATTTTAAATCACATACATCCTTTATAATACTACGGACACCCTGCTATCACAATCTTTATTTCTCTTCTGAAGAGAACTTGAATATTACTCTCTGTTTACAATAACTGATTTTACACTTGGCATCACATAGTCACTTATGTGTGCGACCAGAACTAATAACAGATAAACAACATGATAATTTGACAATTATACTTTTATTAAGGTACTTCATAACCTTGTGGCGGAAATTTTGGCTGCAGACGGGCAAAACCCATAAATTTTATCCAGTCCCGGGGGAGACTACTAACTGCCTTGTTACACTGGCAAGTCAGTGACCCAGGTTTACAACCTGGTGTCAGTCCCAAAAGTTGAACACGCTTAAGTGGACAGGTGTTAGCGGGCTGCCAAGATTACATCTGACTCCTGAGCAACGAGGGTCCCGGACGTAGCCCTGCCCTGGGCCTCCCCTCCATACGTAGAGGTGGAGGGGGGTGCCAACGTAACCCTGGAGTGCACCCCACCATAATACATAAAACTAATACATACAATGAACCTGCATGCTTTCAAGCAAGTCAGGCCAGGAGAAAGAGCCAGACAGTACCCGTAACCCCCTTTTTCGTCTCCCCGGGCCGCTCCCCCAGATCGAAAATTGTACCCTTCTCTGCGCCTGTGATTTAACTGCAAAGCAAACTACAAGAAAATTATTTATAGTAGTCCTAATAAATTCCTATACTGTTAATAACTTTGACATATATCGCTGTCTGTTTTTGTTTTTTTGTTTTTTTTTTTTTTAAAGGCAACATTATGAAACACGTAGATGTAGAGCGTTAATGTAACCACTGTAAAGATGAAGTTCACTTCCTGAGTTCCAAGGAGTAATTTGACTTTTACTCTGAACTTGAATGTTAACTAGCCTTACTAGAACTGGAACTTGTATGACTAAATTGAGTTGAAGAAATCCCTTCCATATGTTTGTAAAAATTATCACTATTGTAAAGTATTAATTATTAGGATGTATTGTTCTCCAGTCTGTACTGAGCACACAGGTATGTTAACAAGATCCTTTGTACAAACAGTTTCAGTGCACACAAAAATCCTGATGGCACAAAACTCCGAAACCGGATTCTAAACCAATATCCAGATGAGGTTGGAGGTTCTCTGGAAGCTGGCTGCTGTAAGACTGTTAAGAAAAAGAGTCCCTGAAAGAGAAAGAAAAGGCGGCAGAAATTGTTCTCATAAAGGGGAGGGCGGGCGGGTGCGTTTTTGAAGGACACTCTGTTTCGGAAAGTTCCCGGATAATGATTCGCCTCCTTTGAAGAGTATCTTAGTATGTCTAAATTCCGTACTTTACTTTACCGGATTAAACTGCACCTACCCACCCGCTAGATGATGTGTTTAAGAAGGATTATCGAATACGAGATTCTGGATAATCCCTATTAAATCACATACATCCTTTATAATACTACAGACACCCTGCTATCACAATCTTTATTTCTCTTCTGAAGAGAACTTGAATATTACTCTCTGTTTACAATAACTGATTTTACACTTGGCATCACATAGTCACTTATGTGTGCGACCAGAACTAATAACAGATAAACAACATGATAATTTGACAATTATACTTTTATTAAGGTACTTCATAACCTTGTGGCGGAAATTTTGGCTGCAGACGGGCAAAACCCATAAATTTTATCCAGTCCCGGGGGAGACTACTAACTGCCTTGTTACACTGGCAAGTCAGTGACCCAGGTTTACAACCTGGTGTCAGTCCCAAAAGTTGAACACGCTTAAGTGGACAGGTGTTAGCGGGCTGCCAAGATTACATCTGACTCCTGAGCAACGAGGGTCCCGGACGTAGCCCTGCCCTGGGCCTCCCCTCCATACGTAGAGGTGGAGGGGGGTGCCAACGTAACCCTGGAGTGCACCCCACCATAATACATAAAACTAATACATACAATGAACCTGCATGCTTTCAAGCAAGTCAGGCCAGGAGAAAGAGCCAGACAGTACCCGTAACCCCCTTTTTCGTCTCCCCGGGCCGCCACAGAAAATAACATTTTTTCTTCCATTATAAAATTTATACATAAACAATATTGTAAACATGTTTTGGAATAAGACTACTTATTTACATTTAAAGATAAATGAACAGTATACATTTTAAGATAAATGAATGTAACAGTTTTTGATATTCATTTCAGTCATAACATGTAATGACATTCACAGCTTTTATGATGTCTATAGGGTGGCTGTTGGTAATGTTAGTAAAGAATTGTCTGGTGTACTGTTAATCAGAGACTGCAAAGCTGTCTTCCAGTTGTTGATAAGAATGGAATTACCCAAGCTTGACAAGTGTGTTCCATCAGTATGGAATAAGTTTACCTCCTTAGCAGAAATATTGTTATTGTCAATGTATTGACCTCCATTTTTAAGAATAAAGGATTTGATTGCAATATTCACTCTTGTTCGTTTTTTTTTCTATTTTCTTTCCAGCACCAAGAGGTGCATAGTGCCAGTACCTCCTTTGAAGGATTGATGACCATATTATTGTAGTTTTACAGAAAAGTGCTTGATATCTCAGGATTGAACACTGAATCTTTTCTATCAACATTTTACCTGTGACTCCCTCTGATGTCAGATCATTGGAGCCGCAATGAATCCATATAAATTGTGGTTTTGGCATTTCCATTAACATCGAGTCCATGAGTTTATCTAAACCATCAAAAACGAGACCTCTGCATCCCTTCCACTTAACTGACATGTTATGCTTTGTAAAACCAAGTTGTGGGTCATCCAGCCTTGCAGTTCTTTCAGCCCAGTGAACAATGGAGGACCCCAAAATCCAGAGACATTTATGACCTGAAATAACTTGGGGACAGTTAGTTTTTGGTTGATGTGTTGTAAAGATAGGAGAAAAAGGAAATTATTTAGGGGTTTAACCTGATATAACGAGTGAAAACCTCAGACTTCCAGCGTCCCATGACCTTAATTCTGTCGTCGGGCACCCCAATACTGTGGAGGTATGTTGCTCCACCAATGCGAAAGCTATGTGATCTGACATGATCGGGAGCATCTATAAATTGTAAAGCTTTCTGTAAAAGTGAACAAAATTGATACTTTGTCAGGGGCTTGGTATTGAAGTGGATAAACAGATTATCCCTGTCGGCTGCATGGGGACGGTTCTTAAGGTACTTTGATAGACTGTTAACTGGACAATGGATCCCACCATTAGCTTTAATTTGTAATGTGACCGATAGACCTAGCTGATCAGTTTTTGACCATCTAATTTTTAAAAAGACTGTGTTATTAGATAGATGAACATCACTAACTAACAACTGTTTATGGTTAGACGATATAGTGCTGGGTACTGTGAACTCACTGACTCTTAGCAAACCAAAGAATGCCAGGGAGAAAGCTGCAGTGAACATGACTTGTTCATATTTGTTGCTACATATATATTTTAGACTGTAAATCATTTTTTCAAGTAAGGTAAGTGTTATAGGAGCCCTTAAATCATTAACATGCCTCCCTTTTAGGCGGCGTAGGCCCTCAATTGCCTTAATCACTAAGAAGGATTTTGTGGGGTCTGTTAGACTACCCACTTTATGGGCATAACCGATTCCCGACATATAAGTAGAAATTGAAGAGGCGGACAGACCTTGCTGGGCGTAATAAGCGATAAAAAGAAGTAAATCTTTAATAGGGACTGGCCAAGTGTCTGGTAATTGATAGTTATTTCTAAAGTTGGATAACTTTTGAATGCTTGTTGCATAGGTTTTACGGGTAGATGCAGCCACTGAATTAGAAATTAATAGCTGTGCAAGACTATCTAGATGTTCCACAGGTGGGATGGAATCTGTGTGGGTTGCCAGTCTGCCTCTGGCGCTGCCTGTCTGAATCTGGCCCACTGTGAACGAGAAAGTGCATCTGCTATGACGTTTTTTCTAGAAGGGATATAAGTGGCTTTAATAGAGATATTGTGAGTTAGCATAACCAAAACTAGATGTCTAACTAGATTCATAATTCTCTCAGATTTACATGTTTGAGATGAAATGATATGTATCACAGCTTGATTATCTATGTGGAATAATATTTTCTTATTACGAAAAGAATTTGACCAAGTAACAATGGCTGCCACAACTGGAAAAAACTCTAACAGAGTCATGTCTCTAGTGAGTCCTCCTATAACCCAATGTGAAGGCCATGAGCCCTGTGACCAATGGCCTGCAAAATAGATACCATACCCTCCTGTAACACCACCTGAACTGTCGGTATATATTTCAAGGGTGTTGTCTGAAAGCCAAATAGGGTCAGATATCAAGGTTATTCCATTGTATGACTGGAGGAAATGTAACCAAAGACCTAGGTCTTTACGCATATTGGCAGAAACCCTTATCTTATGATGAGGTTTTATTACACCTATGGTTGCATCAATTAGCCTTCTGCAGAATGCTCGCCCTGGGGCAATAACTCTGCAAGCAAAATTCAAAGATCCTAGTAGGGACTGCATGTCCTTGAGGGAAATTTTTTTAGCATTTATTGCTATGATAATTTTTTGTCTAAGATCTACGAGCTTATCATTAGGTAACCGCATTGACATCTGTACAGTATCAAATTCAACCCCCAGGTAAACCAAACATGTAGATGGAGCACATGTTTTGTCAAGCGCAATTGGTATACCAAATTTTTTACAAGTATTTTCAAAAGATTGCAATGTATGTCCAGGTTGAATATGATTAGATGACTCACCAAATAGGAAGTCATCTAGATAATGCAAGATGTTTGAGTTATGACTATTGGCAACTACCACCCAATGTAAAAAGGAAGCAAATTTTTCCCAGAGGGCACAGCTAATTGAAGACCCAAAGGGAAGCATTTTGTCATAAAAATAGTAAGTAACTGGTTTACCTTTTTCTCTGACAATTACTTTAAAACCAAGCAGATCAAAGTCTGCTGGGGAAATGGGGAGAAGGCGAAATGCTGACTTTACATCAGATTTGCTAAGTAGGGCACCCTGACCTAATCTGGCAACCATATCTGCCGCTTGATCAATTGTTGAGTACGACACAGAGCAATGATCTTCATCAATATAGTCATTAATAGATCTATTTCTGGGATAAGACAGGTGGTGAATTAGACGGTAGTCACCGCCTTTTTTGGGAACTAAACCAATGGGAGAAATTTGCAATGTTGGAAATGGGATTCTGAGAAATGGGCCTGCTACCCTACCGACTTGTATTTCTTTAATTATTTTTGTATGCAGGACCCCTGGGAGTTCCCTGGCACTGCGTAAATTTGGAGAGTCTCTGTGTACCCGGGGGCCCTCGTATTGTAAGGGAAAACCTTTTGATATGCCTGTGATAAGGTCTTTTGCTGCACTAAATGGGTAAAGTTTCAAAGCTTTTAGTAATTCAGTGATATTTAATGGTGTATTGCCGATCTGATAAAGAGGTGAGGTACTATTGACCAGTGTGGCATACTGTCTGTGCATGTTTTCCTCCGCATAGCCTGCAGACATGACTGTACCTACAAGGAGTAAAAGGACAATGACTACCAGAATTGAAGTAATTACATGAAAATGACTTAGGACTGGAGGTACGTTGTTTATTAAACTTAACTGCAGGGGTGCCCGTAATTTGAGATGTTGTTTTACTATTATAGGCAGTACTCCTGGTTTGACCTGCAAAATCAGGTACTCTAGGTGATTGACCATTTACATAGAGCAACCAAAGTTCTAAATCAATGGTGCCCCAAGACCTAGATGGGTTGTTTGATTGGACCTGGCGGAATTGTTCATCATATTTCCACCAGGAGTCTGATCTTGTTGCTGCTAAGCGTACATCCCGGAGGTATTTTAACAGCTCCTGGGATCTGTTGGGAAACCTTTCCAGGTAAATACTAATAAAAACGATGAATGCCGATGTCCATTGTTCAATAGACATTTTGAAATTTGACCCCCTTGGCTTTGTGACGCATAACCTCCCGTTTCTAAACTGCAGTTCCCCAATTTGACCCTCTTCAGAATACTCTTGAAGCTGGCGGGATGACTTTAGAAGAAGTGCCAGGTCGGTAAATTCTCCAGCCCAAATTTTTTCTTTTATTTTTACAGGAATAGTACTTCCTAAACTATGAAAATTTTCATCAATGTTTACAGGATTTGATAGTTGAGTTGGCGAGTTATGAACCATTACTGAATCAAAGGGTTGATAATCTAATGAGGGTGGCGATGGAAATGAAACATACGGCCGGGTACCTTGTAATGGTGATTCCGGCGCTTCTACATCGCCGCCTCCCTGACTGGCACTGTTAACCGGTGTTTCCACCAAACCGCCTTGGGATTGTCTGCTGCGTTTAGGCCTATTCTCATTCGCATCTGTCCCGCTCCTTTTCTTGGTTTTACTTTTTGGCATTATTTTATTCTTTTTATTTTAACTTTTTCGGTGCGTTTTTGAAGGACACTCTGTTTCGGAAAGTTCCCGGATAATGATTCGCCTCCTTTGAAGAGTATCTTAGTATGTCTAAATTCCGTACTTTACTTTACCGGATTAAACTGCACCTACCCACCCGCTAGATGATGTGTTTAAGAAGGATTATCGAATACGAGATTCTGGATAATCCCTATTATTTATAAAATAAATATTAATCTGGTATCATTTATGTTCTTTTTTTATTATCAATATATTATACCCTTGTATCAATTAGGGTCTAGTCAAATTTAAATATATTAATACCCATCTTCATAGGTATAGTTTCCCATATAGGAGCCCCATATCTCATAGGCATTATAAGTTCCCTACATTTTCCTTTAACTTTTACAACCTATTTTTTCAGCAACCGTTCAAAGATTCTGGATCGCCGCTTACGTTACCTATGTGACCATTTTACTTATAGTCTTTATTGTAACGTGTGTAGATCACTGTTTGAGAAAGACAAAACTCTTTTTGCATTCATCTTATGTGCAAACATACTCCTGTAAGTATGAAAACAACGGCACAGTGTTGTTTCGTTGTGTTCAAATATTTGAAAGTTAAAAATCCCGGATGTTTTGTTTGATTGTTATCTGTTCCATTATTTCAGTAACCGATCCAAGATTCTGGAGAAACGTATACGTTACCTATCCGACCATTTCACTTACAATTTGTATTGTAACGTGTGTCGGTCCCTCTTCGAAAAAGACAAACTTCTTTTCTCCTTCTTGTTATGTACAAATATGCTTTTGTAAGTATGAGAAAATTGTGTTTGGAGTGAGCTCACATCTGGTTTTACTTCCTAATTCATTACTAACACAGGCGCAAGGTTTGGTTTATTTTTTATCAGTTGAATGATCCAAAACTAACCCAAAGTTTTATACCTAACCAAAACATATTTTGTTAAAGGCTTGCTGTGAAATATTGGTGTGTGTGTAACAATTCATTACATCTTTTAACTAGCTTTAAGCTTAAAATTACATCGCTGTGTTTCCTTAAATGATAACATTACATGTTTTTCTTTTTAAAAAATATCACCTGAGGGAGAAAGAGTTCGGTTCATAATGGCATATAATTATATTGAGATAAAATTTCAGCATTTTACAATTGCTTGTTGAGTTAAAAAATTTGCATAAGATTGACAAATCTTCCTAGAAATACTGCTAAACAACATCTTCTGTACTTTATTATACACCAGCTTATACTTAATAGGTTACTTAAAGACTCTTTTCACTCCTCTATCTTTCTGCTATGAAACTTTTTGAGAGCTCTAAAGTGGTTATGAAATAATCAAATTTAACCTGTATCCTGCTGAATTGATGTAATTATCTTGTCCTCTCTTTGAAATTAAAAACTATCCACTATTAGGGATTTAATAATCAAAATGGAACAAAAATAGCTAAAAGTACATTGAAGTTGGTTTATGGATTAGTCTTGTTTTGTTTTTGCATTTGAAGCTTTTTCTGACAGCATTTACAGTCTTCCTAATGTAATATAAGTTTTACATGAAGTTTATATTGATTAAATTGTCAAGCATTCTGTATGAATAAGCTAAATAATACAGTTTCATTTTCCTAAAAATAAAGTAGAAGTCTATCCTTTACAATCATGTACTTCTAGTCTTTTATAACAGGAGGTGTGTGCAGATACATTTTGAAATACATTAGCTCTAAATATGCTGAACAGATAGTCTGAGTTGATTTATCAATTAGAATTTAATATACCAGTATGGTGTGTATCATTTGTTTGTCAAGAAAATAGGGTGGCTTAGACAGCAATGACAAAGAAAAATATTTGCTATACTTAAAAGCTTTAAATACTCATATCATTCTTTATTTTCACATTTAATTTTATGAATATTATTTTACAACTTTGATTATAATTTTCAAATAAAATGCAGGGTTTTAAATTCAGTTAATTTTAAACATATTTTTGGCTGTTCATAATTATGTTCTTGCAATAAGTGCATGTGCACTTAATCATGACATCATTTAATTTAGCTATATAACAATAACAAACTTTGAGAGAGAGAAAAACAAAACGTAGTATCAATGAATTTGTTATATATTTTACCCTTTGTACTTTTTACCTTGTAACAATTTCTGTGTGTTTTTTTATCAGCCGCTTTAGATTTAAATATTTACCTCCCTTGGAGATTGATGGTGATGATTTATTCTTTGTGGAAGGATTTGACTTCACAAAAATGACAGGGTCTGGTGCTGATGTAGTCCGTCAATTGTATAGTTTACATGTTGTCATACTATGATTGTGAATATTTTCTTGTGAGGAAAAATAAAGCTTGCATCTATTCTTTAAATCATACAAATACAAGAAATTTTCATTTAAAAGATCTAGATTTTTATAAACTTTTTAAACCAAAGTAAAGGTACATGTAATTTAAAAATGATGTACGAATTTAATTTAAAAAATCTTGTTATCCTTTTAACTACTTTGTGCCTCTCCGGCAGAGTGGTTAAGGTCGCAGACTTGACAACCACAAGACAAATGTGGGTTTGACTTTGGCCAAAGATTTTGTTTTTTGCCCATTTGAGAAAGCTATATAGGTAGCTTAGGGATGGTCGTTGATTCTACTCGGGTGCTTGTTTGTGCTTGAAATAATGCAGAGAAGTGGCAACCAATAAAGCTGGAAATTCACTTTTAGACCTTTACAAAGTGTCAGTGTGACTTCAATTCCAACAAAAAAGAAAAATTACTTGGATTTATTTATTAAGATTGACATCCTGTTAAAACTTTCATTAAATGTTGAATATCTTTAAGTACATTGTCTGTCACAAAGAATACGCTGCAATTTTCAGTTACATATCTTATTTATTGTAACTTGTTTATTATTGTCATTGTTTATCTGCTTACTGCTTTAAATAAGGTCTAATGTTTCAAAAAAAAAAAGCTATGGGGTTTTTATGATTTCAATATTTAAGACTAAGACTAGTGTTTTTCGTGCTAAATGTTTTATATTGATATGATGTTACCATGGGTTTGAAGCCTAATTTGATAGCCTAAGAGTAGTGACTGTTATTCTTTACCTTTAGAGCAGTAACAAGCTAACTCCTATTAAATTGTATAAGGAGTTAACTCATTACTGCACTAAGGTGACACATATCTTTTGATATTACACTAAGCTCTGAAACAAAATTAAAGTTTTTAATATCAGTTGAAAGAATTTGTTTTACAAGTGAACTTAAATAAATGTGTTTGAATTGAAATATTATGTATGTATTTGCATAGCTATTTCAGATGAATTTGTGTCAGAGATTTGACTTCTTTTTCAGCTTCTCTTTCTATAAAGTTTAGCAATATTTTATTTATAAGTTAAAAATAAGTTTTATCCATATTTCATACATGAGAAATACAGGATTCATACTTTTGAATTAGACTTTAATATCATAATTTATAACGAACATAAAGTTTAATGATATACTTCATTAAAATACTTTTATTTAGTTAAAATTAAAAAAAAATAATAATAATTGAAAAATATTAAGTTCGTTTTTATATGTTTTAAATACAGTTTCAGTCCTTTTATATTCATACAGTTTTATGATCAACAAATATTTAAGTAAATAATAATTACAGTGAAAAGAATCTTTTTGAATTGAACATTAAATATTTACTGCCTCATATTCATGTACTTTAATAATGTTTTAATTTGAGATGATATGTTTATATATCTTGTTCTGATGCACTTTTCATAAGTATGTTCATGTTATTATAAACAGTTGAAATTTTTTATAAATGTACTGTGATATATTTACTTTTCCCTTAAATGAGATTAAAGATAAAAAATCAGATAATATTAACAGTGATGCTTTTTTTATTACATAAATATGAAATTATTAAGGTTTCTTTCTATAATTATACCATGATATTATTATTTTTATTATTTTCGTATACACTTTGTGTTTTGATAAAATGTTATATCCACTATACATTTATAGATCGAAGCATGAATTAGACCGTGAGGAGTTTATGTTCTTCCTGACCGGTGGTGTTGGTCTCGAGAACAAGCTCGTCAACCCGGCACCGACCTGGCTTACGGACAAGAGCTGGGATGAGATTTGCAGAGCCAGTGATCTTAAAGCCATAAAAAAGCTGAGGTATATATTTTAAGAACAATTATATTCATATTATAATCACATCAGAATATTTGTTCCAAGAGTATCCACCATTTGGACTTGGTAGAGAGGCTTTCTGATATTATAAGTAAACGTGGATTTTTCAAAATTTACTTATCAGGAGATATACGTATTTATATAAAGTAAAATAAAGGTTATTTAGTTTATTTATAGTAATTTAATTCAAGCTAACTTGCCCAAGTCCCGGAATGTCTTGTCTTAAAGTTTACATATGTTTAACTTGGTTATGAAATTTATTTTTTTCTTAAATATTTTCCCAGAAGGATTTTTACAGTAAGGTATAACATTATTTTATGATTAAAAAATATTTCAGGGAACATTTTGTGAAGAACATAAACAAGTGGGCAGATTTTTACAATGCTAAGGAGCCTCACAATGAACCACTACCTTCTCCATTTGACACAGACCTAAACGATTTCCAGAAAATGATAGTGCTGCGTGTGATCAGACCAGATAAGGTTTGTTATACAGTCAAACGTGTATTAAGCGACCGGGCAAGGGAAACACCCAAAACGGTCGCTTAATGAAACGGTCTCTTAAGACGGTCAGCATGATATAAAAGTCAAGATTTATAAATGACATCTTTTTTATTCGGTGGGATTGTTTTTCAACTTCATTTTTATATAAATGTTGAAAAAAAAGTACGCTCCGATAATCTAAATGGATGCAAATGTAAAATATAACTTTCTGATATTTATTGAGATCCATTACGTACATGTTTGACATTTTTCCAGAATTTTTTAACTTCTCCGTTGTTTTCCCTTGTCTCCAACACGAAAACACTATTAGTGAAGTTGTTTTCTGTTGTGCATTTTTTTTCATTTAAAATAAACAAACTACATCTATTTGTTACGATTAATTTAATGGCTGATCAAGTTCAAGGTCAATTCAATGCAGTCTAAATGTCAACAAGCGAAGCGTATACATGGTATATCAGTATGGGCGGAGCGTTGCATTGTTTATCCGATATTATTGGATAATACACGTCACGCGTATACTTAACTTCATTTGCATACGCTAAAACGGTATGGGAAATAGAGTTTTTCACACGTTTATTGTTGTGTTTTGATTGTTGACACTTGTGACATAACGAGGTGGCGTTCTCTAAAAACACAATTACTTGACAGGTAAAAGTGGTCGTTTAATGAAAAGATTGATGTCAATTAGGTGACTCATTAGCGGTTGCTGGTTGCGTTGAGCAAAAGTCGCTTAATACATTAAAAATATAGAGAGAAAATGATCGGGGGGAATTTCAAGTGGTCGTTTAAGACAAAAGTCGCTTAATACACGTGGTCGCATGGGCAAGTTAGACTGTATTTAAGTGTTGGAATCAACCAGTCTAATTATGTATATTTTTTTGCTTAAATTGAGGACTACTTATAAACTTTAATATTAATACCATGAAAGTTTTATGGTCATTTGTGGAGATTATAAAATTCTTGTTAGTTATAATCCAGGAACACCTGTTTGGTGAATTGACCGCCAAGATTTGACCAAAGAAAAATGTGTTTAAATCAACACAAATTTTAGAAAAAAAATGACATTTTATCCAATATGTAGTATGTTACACATATCAATCAGTTGTTATTCTGTCATACTTGACTAAAACAGGAATGGTAACAAGTTTTTTTCTCAGATGTATATATTTTTTTAGTTGTGATAACCAAAATTTTTGTATTGTAGGTAAATGCTGCTATCACGTTATTTGTAACAAGCAAACTTGGCAAGAAGTTTATTGAGCCACCTCCATTTGACCTGGCCAAATCTTACAATGACTCCAACTGTACAGCTCCTCTTATCTTTGTGCTGTCACCAGGAGCAGATCCTACCATGGCCCTGTTGAAGTTTGCAGAAGATAAAGGTTTCAGTGGAGATAAATTCCAGTCTATTTCTCTAGGTCAAGGACAAGTAAGTTCAAATTTATATCCTTAGCCTCCAAAAATAGAAATTAATGATATATTCATTCTTTTATTATATTCATACTTTGAAAACTTTGCAAATCAGTGAAATTTGACCAGACTCTACTGTTGCATGCTTAATTTTAACTTTTTCATAATGAAATCCATTCTAAAACAAGCGGGCAAAACTAAATTCAAAACAGGGCAAGTCCATTGTGTAAATATCGTAATGTTTAAAATACAGCATAAGAAAAGATAACTTAACCTGATTAAAAAAAAAACAATTAGGCTTGTTCATTATTTTGAGTAACAATTGATCAAATGTTTTGAAACAATTTTGTTTACATGATAATTGTTATACATTGTATGTGAAAATTGAATATTTCAGGGACCAATCGCATCTCGTATGATTGAGAAAGCTCGTCAAGATGGTACATGGGTAATGTTACAGAACTGTCATCTTGCTGTATCATGGATGACACCCCTGGAGAAAGTTTGTGAAGACTTCAGTACAGAAAACTGTCACTCGGAGTTCCGTCTTTGGCTTACCAGTTATCCCTCTGACAAGGTATTTTTCAAACCTTGCCAAAAATTACAGCACTTCTAAAAATTTATTACATCATTTGGGGATTAATTTCATGTAGACATCAGCTTTTCTTTTCTTCAGCAAAATTTTTAATACAAATTACACTTTTTTCTTCAGCAAAATTTTTAATACAAATTACACTTCAAACTGCTGTTGCTATAAGTTGTTGCTTAGAAACATAAAGTTTTTTAGATGCAACTGTAACTTAAGGTCATGTGAGGAAGCTACTGGGAGGTTAAGGATGGTGGAAGGTTAGTGGTTCTACTTGTGTGTCAGTATGTGTCTGAAATATTGCATGGTTGGCAAATGAAGTTATCCCCCACCTGTAAAGTTGGGAAGTCACTATTTACCTTTACAGTATCATTGTTATTTGGATACAACAAAACAGTACAAAATCGAAACTTTTTGTATTAAAGATACTATTGATTACAAGTAGATTTTTTGTACTATGGTTTACTTCAGTTTCTGTAAATTTGATATACGCAGATGGTGATATTTATCTACATTATAATCGGAACAAATACATTATTTAATTTGAAGGCTATTTTTTTTTTAAACAAATAGATATACATTGTATAATTATATATTATATATGTGTATGTGTATTATTACACTGTGTATTACAGTTCCCAGTAACAGTGCTACAGAATGGAGTTAAGATGACTAATGAACCACCTACAGGATTACGTCAAAATCTGCTACAATCATACCTTAATGATCCTATCTCTGACTCAGAGTTCTTTGCTGGCTGTCCTGGAAAAGAATCTGTAAGTTCAAATTAATTTTGCATTATAATTGCCAGTGCACATGTACTTATGTAAGCTAAAAGTTTGTTTTTGATACTGCTGAAGTCCCTTAAACATTGAATGGACTGTTCCAAATTCAAAGCTGGGCAAGTCCATTACAAAAATTCAGCAGGTTAAAGGTATATTGTTTCATTTGTAAAATGTTTAAAATTTTCAGAAATTTTATTAGAAAGTTATTATATATATAAGAAAATAATTTGATTACTTATTAAAAGTGGTTATCTAATTCTTTCATTTCAGAATTTTGAGAAACTTTTGTTTGGTCTGTGTTTCTTCCACGCCCTGGTACAGGAACGCAGAAAGTTTGGAGCTCTTGGTTGGAATATTGCCTATGGATTTAATGAATCAGATTTGCGTATCTCTGTTAGACAGTTACAGGTAATAAAATTAAAATCTTCTACACATAATACATCAAATTTATCAGTCTTTAACTATATAACATAGCAAATGTAAAGTTGGAATAATGTTAAAGATAGGTGTAAAGTTATTTCAAATATTGTTCAATTCATAAAATAATGATCTACTTTTAAGAACTGAATTTCACTGAATATTACTAGTATTTGTATACTTTTATATATAGGGAATATATGTTTTTTTCCTTTTATAATATACCTTCTTTAAATATGTGAAGTAAATCTGACCATGTCGAAGGAATTATTTATCATTCTGTTCCTGCAGTCAGGCTATTAAAATGATATCAAGAATACTGTACATATGTGATGTATAATACATAGTGTTGAACACAGAAAAATTAATATACATGTATGTATTTCTTCACCTAAAAATAACTTTATTTACATGAGAAAAAGTATTACAAGATGTATTTATATTTACACATTTTAGATGTTTATCAATGAATATGAAGATGTACCTTTCGATGCTATCACATACATGACTGGAGAGTGTAACTATGGAGGTAGAGTAACTGACGACTGGGACCGTCGGTGCTTGAGAACTATGCTCAATGACTTCTATACCCCACACATTTGTAATGACCCGAAATACAAATTCTCTCCAAGTGGAGTCTACTACTGTCCTTCAAAGGGAAAATATGAGGACTACTTAGAATTTATCAGGGTTTGTTACTTCTTTGATTAGTTTTGTCATTGGAGACTTGAGTTTTCAAGCTTTTTTGTGGCTTTAGCTATTGACATGTTTCAAATATTACTAATTTGTTTGTGGTGAAACCATGCACTGTTATCGGATTTTCATGTACAGTCATGACTGCTCTCAAAAGATAATAATGTGAAATACAGTCATGACTGCTCTCAAAAGAATATAATGTGAAATACAGTCATGACTGCTCTCAAAAGATAATAATGTGAAACACAGTCATGACTGCTCTCAAAAGAATATAATGTGGTATACAGTCATGACTGCTCTCAAAAGAATATAATGTGAAACACAGTCATGACTGCTCTCAAAAGAATATAATGTGAAATACAGTCATGACTGCACTCAAAAGATAATAATGTGAAATACAGTCATGACTGCTCTCAAAAGAATATAATGTGAAATACAGTCATGACTGCTCTCAAAAGAATATAATGTGAAATACAGTCATAACTGCACTCAAAAGAATATAATGTGAAGTACAGTCATAACTGCACTCAAAAGAATATAATGTGAAATACAGTCATGGCTGCACTGAAAAGAATATAATGTGAAATACAGTCATAACTGCACTCAAAAGAATATAATGTGAATACAGTCATAACTGCACTGAAAAGAATATAATGTGAAATACAGTCATAACTGCACTCAAAAGTATATAATGTGTAATACAGTCATAACTGCAGTCAAAAGTATATAATGTGTAATACAGTCATAACTGCAGTCAAAAGTATATAATGTGTAATACAGTCATAACTGCAGTCAAAAGTATATAATGTGTAATACAGTCATAACTGCACTCAAAAGAATGTAATGTGAATTACAGTCATAACTGCACTCGAAAGTATGTAATGTGAAATACAGTCATAACTGCACGCAAAAGTATATAATGTGAAATACAATCATAACTGCACTCACAAGTATATAATGTGAAATACAATCAAAACTGCACTCAAAAGAATAAAATGTGAAATACAGTCATAGCTGCACTCAAAAGATAATAATGTGAAATACAGTCATAACTGCACTCAAAAGATAATAATGTGAAATACAGTCATAATTGCACTCAAAAGATAATAATGTGAAATACAGTCATAACTGCACTCAAAAGATAATGTGAAATAAGACCACATAGTTAAATTGTCTTTCTAATTGTTATTATTTATCTAGTTTATTATTTACCTTTGTTGAAACTCCTGCATTTTATTGTCAGTATTATCTTTGTGTTTTTAGGATTTTTTTACATTTGGATATATATCAGTTAAGCTAAATCTGATCAATTCAAGTGAGCAAAATGCAAGAAACATCAAGATGTTAACATATTGTACATACAGGTTTCTTTATTTGTAGAGTCTTCCACAAAATCAATTACCCGAGATATTTGGCATGCACGAGAACACAGACATCTCCAAGGAATTGCAGGAAACCAAGCTGCTGTTTGACTCAGTATTACTTACTCAGGGCCGCTCAGGTGGTGGTGGTGGTGGTGATACAGACGCTCAGCTTAACGCCATTGCGGGTGATATTCTTTCAAAGGTATATTGATATGTATTTTCCTATGTTTCATAATGTGCTAGGTATTTTCATTCATTCCATTTCCTTTTTTTGCAGTCTTTGGTAAGATATATATATATAAATTATTGATTTCTAGGACTTCAGTAATTCTTCAGAACTTATTTGATCAAATAAGTCTTATTATCCCTCATGTACAGGCTCAATCAAACTGAGTCTGCAGTTTATGTAATTTTAATTCTTCGAAGGGATGACTTTTTTTCAGATATTTATTGAACCTAAATTTTTATTTAGTCAAAACTTTATATTTTGATCACCTGTCTGTTTTTTTTTTGCAAAAACTGATATTTGAAGTGTTTGTTTTTAATGACGACGTTTGAATTGTTTGTTTTAGATGCCACCAGACTTTGATATTGAGGAATCTATTAAGAAATATCCAGTAGACTATAACGAGAGCATGAACACTGTGCTTGTACAGGAAATGGAGAGATTTAATAGGTATGTCTGCCATAAAATGTTATCCTTTCTACCTTGTCTGAGAATAATAGAAAGTATTTTTTTATATTATCTTTAAGTTCAGCTGGTGGAACTCTGGCTCCATTGTATTGTCACTAAAGTGAAGATATTAGTTTGTACCTTGTTAAAAAAACTCTTCTGTTGTATAGCTTTGATATCTGTTTGCTCCAATAGTTAATCATTTATATGATACCCTTTGAGCATTGTCTTCAGATTAAAATTTTAACATTTTAAACTGCATTTTTTTTAAATGAGAGAACAATAAAAGATTTTCTTCACAAGTCTAGTCTTCATATTGAATTTTTCTAAAATTGTTTCATTTAGTTTACTTTTAATCATGTATCTATTACTATATTTTAGGTTGACAACGATTGTACGATCTAGTTTAATCAACATACAAAAGGCTATCAAGGGTCTTGTTGTGATGTCATCGGAGCTGGAACAACTTGCCGGAAGTCTTCTCATTGGCAAATTGCCAGCAATGTGGGCAAAGCGTTCCTACCCATCACTCAAACCTCTGGGAAGTTACATCAATGACTTATTGGAAAGATTGAAATTCCTACAGGTTTGTTGTTTATAGATTATCTGTAAAAACTAAACAATATTGTCCAGCGAAAATACATTTTCATGTAATATTATGACTTTGGCCATATTGATCATGTATATGACTAAGTTTTATGAACTCTTTATAAATAGGAGATTTAAGAAGAGTATGAACCTCTTTCTTTCTTTTTTACCCTTTTATGTCCTTTATTGTGGCTAATGTAGTGTAAATTTGTTGACTATTAATTTTTGTTTGTCATTTCGTACTGTCCACAACCATCATTTTTTCGATACTTATTCAATCATAAAAGGCAAAGGCCACCATAATTTGATTTTAGACATGCACACTAAGCCCAGACCTTTCAAGTTCATTCTGCTATATAAATAACGTGTGTTAATTAGAAGTTAGAAAAAGTTAAATGAATGAAGAAGATTGACATATTTTTTTATTATTATTTTCAGACTTGGTATGACACTAACAAACCTCCAGTGTTCTGGATATCTGGATTCTTCTTCACACAGGCTTTCCTGACTGGTGTAATGCAGAACTATGCCAGAAAGTACACTATACCCATTGATACACTTGGATTTGACTACGAGTTACAGTCTCTAGGGTTGGAGATGTTTACGGAGGCCCCTGATGATGGTGCCTATGTGAATGGTCTGTTTTTGGATGGTGCTAGATGGGACAAACACAAGTAAGTTCCGTAAAATTATTCTTAAATTTGATGTAACATGTGAAATCAGAGATTTATTTCAAATGAAATTAAGTTGACTGGAAATAGTAAAAGCATGTTCTTTTTTTTAAGACATCGTTGAAATTGGTATGATGATATTGTTTTCATTCTTTTTTTGTTCAAGTATGAAAATAAAATTTCATTAATTTTACTTTTTATAGGAAATGTTTGAATGAGCAGTTACCCAAGATTCTAAACGATGCCGTTCCTGTAATCTGGTTAAGACCAAACCGTAAGGATCAGATAGACGAGTCCGACAAGCGTTATAGGTGTCCGGTATACAAGACCAGTGAGAGGAAAGGCGTTTTGTCCACAACTGGTCACTCAACCAACTTCGTCGTGGCTATGTTGTTACCAACAGATAAACCAGTGCAGCACTGGATCAAACGTGGATGTGCTATGTTGTGCCAGTTGGATGACTAAGATTTAAATGTGAAATTTAGACAATATGTATGAATGAATGAAGAACATTGGAACTTTTACAAATGAGGAAACAATTAGTTAATATCACGTCCTATTATCAAACACTCTTCGACATTAATGTAACAACAACAAAAAAACTGCATTTGAATATGCTGACTTGACTATTTTGTTTATATTTTCTTCATTTTGATTTTGTTTGTTTAATGGAAGCTTGTATCATAGAAGAAAACATATGATAAATATGTTTAATACAATAAGGTCCAAAGTTGAAGAAGAACAAAGTATAGAAATTCTAGACAGTATTAATATTATTGAACAAAGCTGGAACATACATGTATAATAATAGTGTTATATTTATTGTAAAACATCACGGTGATGCAAGGGCAATTGGATTTATGTCTAATTCACTGATTTATACATCATGCTTGAAAAAGACAGCTGAATTTTTAAGTTTTGCTTTTTGATTTAATGTTTAGGTTTCTCATAGGTTTTTTGTTGTTTTTCCATTAAAGAAATTGACACATTTTTGTGGAATACTTATCATCAAATACTGAAGTAAACAAAATACATGTAGCTTAATTTTCATTTTTTCGAAAAATGATAAATATATATGAAAAGCTAAATAAAACTAGATTTTAAATCATTGACTTCAGATAGACACAATTAAGTAAGTTTCCTTTATATTTACATACATAAATATATGTTATAATATGCAATTTTTTTTATCTATACAATGTTTGAATTACCGTCCAAAATCAGATATTTTTTACATATAAGTATATTTATATTTTGACTGTTATTGTAAATATTTGTTGATTTCTGTGATACATTTGTTCGTAAAGTGCACAGTTTTGTATAAACTAATACAACTATAGTATTTAAACATAATAGTATTTTTGCATTTTTTTGTTTATATTTATGAAATGATAATTTCCGTAATTATTATATTCGTCCAGATACTTTCTTTACATTTAAATGGATTCTTTATTTAACAACATTTTAGAAATATCCGTCCTAATGGTATATGTTGAATTATTATAAAGTTCACTGATTAACATGATAGAATAGACTTGAAAGAAAAACTTTCAAGAGATATTTTTCATGCATTATTATAGTTCTTTTCATTCTATAATGTTTGTGTATTTAAGTACTGTATTAATTGTGCAGTATTTCTGTATACAGCTTAACTGTGATATCAATAAAGTTTTTTTGCTATTGTGATATTTGTGTTGTTCTTATGTCATATTTTCAGGACCTAGGGTGATTAAAGGAACTCCACTGAGGTCAAAAAGCCTGAAACATGAAATTTGAAATAATTCCATAGATCAAATAAAGCAATTTAAAATGGAAAAAAATCAGGAAATTTTTAATAATGACATATGCTCAAAATGAAATTGTACATGTATATTGATTGTTGTGTCATTTTTACTCTGATTTGAGTGAAAAGCATTGCAATGCTTAGAGTCATTTTGCAAAATAAAAATTCCAGAAAATATGGGTGAGAAAATGACATGAAAATTGGTACATTAAAGTCCAAACCTACACCAAACGGTACACAAATCTTTGAGAGAGAAAAACAAATGGTACACAAATCTTTGAGAAAAAAACAAATCCAGTCCTGTTATGTCACAAAACCTTAGTGGAGTCCCTTAAGAGCCAATATGACCTGTTCTTTGTCCATATAAATTCGGTATCATAAGTTTATTTATTGTACATTCATGGTCTGTATGTGAAACAACCTTTATAGCTACCATAATCATTTTTCATTACTTCATGGACTTATTAATACACATAACTTTTAAGCCTTATCAATTTTCCAATTACAGTTAAAGACATGTTCTGCAGATTAAAGGGAACTTAACATTTGACATCAAGTAATTGTAAGTAATAGTAACAACAAGTAAAGGCTGTCCCATAGCATGCCTGAGACATATTCCATTGTCTATAAAAAAAAATGCTGCAGTTTAGCATGTAACACATTGCAATATCATCAGTTTTATAGTTGGAAGGGCACATATGAAGTTAGATTGAGGTGATGGGGTATTTCAGTTACCATCAAGCATGATGTTCCACAAAATATAGGTTTCCAATGCTATATTGAAGCAAGAAACAACGTGAGTTTTATTATAAGGAAGCTGGAATAAACAGTTATTTTGTTCCATATCCATTTTTAGATATTTTTAAAATCATAATGATTAAGATTTCGGCACAAAGCTACAGTGCCTCCTACCAGTCTAATAGAGTAAATTTGACAATGGGGTCAAATGATGAAACTTGCAATTAGGCTAAAACCAAAAATCCCTGGGTTGTCAAAACAGATACCTTAACCACTGTGAAGATTAAAGACCACTTGTCCTCTTACAGTTTGTTAAAATTTTATTTATTTAAATACTTTATAGCATTTCTGTTTAAATTTTAAGCATGTACCTCAAATGTCAAGATCAATGGCCTCCTCCAGTTCAAAATTAAAAATTTGAGAATCAAAAAAGAATTTTGCCTTTATTCAACTTTCGTACTAGGCATTGTTCATATAATAACTGCCTTTGGTAATAAAAAGAGCCACATGTTTTGAATATTAGTGGATAAAGATCACTGTGACAGTCCTCATAAGAAATTTATCTAAAATTAATTAAAAGGAATAAGTATACTATTTAACTACATACACTGGTAAAAACCACTGGATGTTCATCTTTGTTTTATTTACAAAGTGATTAGAGTCCAAGTTGCAGGAAATTGTGTTTTTAAATGATAATGAATTATATTTTGTTATCACAATCATTCGCTTTAATAATGGATGGCAGGACAAATCAGCAGGATAAAAACAGTTTCCTAACAGTGTACTGAGAAACTTCTAGCTTTGCACTAAAAATTATAATTTCTAATTTTCAGACTAAGCTATAAATATTATGTTTAGCAAATAAGAAAGGGTAAAAGTAAGCCATGGCTGATCATTATATTGCTAAAATGTGGAAGAACAAGCACAATTTTCCTGTTATTCACAATGGTGACTAAATCTTCATACACTGTGAAACAATACAATTGTCTCCTAAAAAAGATGGATTTTCAATAAGAACCATCTTTAACTGGCAGCAACTCATTCTGCACATAAGAAATAATTTATTTTGTTTGGCAATAAAATGTTTTGGGTGGATGAAAGACTGAAGACAGGCAATATTTTATTTAAGGCTTGACTAGTATAAGGAAAATACATTTTTCAAGAAAATATTCAGCAAATTGATTCAGATAATTAATATAGTGTGTGAAAAACAAGGTTTGCTTTAAAGTCCAGTGTAAATGCATGTAATTAAATTAATTAAAACTTTTCAGTTTCTCTATTGCCCTTATATATAGAGGGACACTCTTTTGCCCTTAGATAGAGAAATACTCTTTTACACTTATAGATAGAGAGTTATTCTTTTGCCCTTTGGTAGAGAGATATTCTTTTTGCCCTTTGATAGAGAAATAGGCTTTTGTCCTATGATAGAGATATACTCTTTTGCCCTTTGATAGAGAGATATTATTTTGCCCTTTGATAGAGAAATACACTTTTACCCTTTGATAGAGAGATATTCTTTTGCCCTTTGATAGAGAAATACTCTTTTGCCCTTTGATAGAGAAATACTCTTTTGCCCTTATAGATAGAGAGTTTTTCTTTTGCCCTTTGATTAAGAGATATTCTTTTTGCCCTTTGACAGAGAGTTACTCTTTTGCCCTTTGATAGAGAAATACTCTTTTGCCCTTTGATAGAGAAATACTTATTTGCCCTTATAGATAGAGAGTTATTCTTTTGCCCTTTCATAAAGAGATATTATTTTTGCCCTTTGATAGAGAAATACACTTTTGTCCTATGATAGCGATATACTCTTTTGCCCTTTGATAGAGAGATATTCTTTTGCCCTTAGATAGAGATATACTCTATTGCCCTTTGATAGAGAGATACTCTATTGCCCTTTGATAGAGAGATATTCTATTGCCCTTAGATAGAGAGATACTCTTTTGCCCTTTGATAGAGAGATATTCTTTGCCCTTTGATAGAGATATACTCTATTGCCCTTAGATAGAGAGATACTCTTTTGCCCTTTGATAGAGAGATACTCTATTGCCCTTAGATAGAGAGATACTCTTTTGCCCTTTGATAGAGAGATACTCTATTGCCCTTTGATAGAGAGATACTCTTTTGCCCTTTGATAGAGAGATATTCTTTTGCCCTTTGATAGAGAGATATTCTTTTGCCCTTTGATAGAGAAATACTCTTTTGCCCTTTGATAGAGAGATATTCTTTTGCCCTTTGATAGAGAAATACTCTATTGCCCTTTGATAGAGAGATACATGTGCTCTATTGCTCTTAGATAGGGAGATACAAACAGTGAAGAAAAGCACTTTAAAAAACTAGCCATAACACAATACTTTAATTGGTTTTGCCTTTGGATAGTTTAAACTCACTAGTCTTTTGGCATGTACTGAGTAGTAATATTAGAACAATAAAAATGCATGTCATTTTTGTAGTCACATGAATGATGTGATTCTGCATCAAATTAATTAACTGCCAGAAAAATACAAAAATAGTAAATGAAAATAACATTGGGAATATAAATACAATAGTATAGTTTTCTGAAATAAGAACATTATAGAAAAGCAATGTCAGTATTAAACCCATTTAATATAGAATGAGCATTGTAGGATGAGAAATATTAGCCGTAAAGATTCAGCAATTGGAGCAAAATAGGCAAGAAGAGCATTATAGAATAGACCACTAAAGAATGAACATTTGATCAAGAGGGAATTATCTAATGAGCAGTAATGAGAGTATATCCGGCTATACCAGCATTAAAAAATGAGCAAGAAGAGCATTATAGAATGGGCAATGTGAGATGTATATATTCAGCAATAAAACCACTAAAGGATGAACATTTGAGTAAGAGGAATTTTTCAGTGAGCAGTGTGAGTAGTATAGATTCAGCAATAGAACCACTATAGAGTTACTTATATTAACATTATAACTGCACATGTAGAGTAAGTAATTAGAGCATTAAAAGTTGTATCTAAAGTTGGTAGAATTAAAAATAAAAGCATTATATGGAGTAAGCTGTAAGAGCTCAGGTGTTGACGCGTTGATTGGTCACTTTGCAAATAAAAAAGAAAAGGAAAAAAAAGAATGATAGCTATATATTTACTAAATACATGTATAAATGTATCTTTTTTTTCAGTGAAGTGACCAATCAACTTATGTGCCAAACACCTGTATGTGAAGAGTAATCAAAAAAAAGTGACGGCGTGGCCGAGTGGTTAACGCGTCGGACTAGTTATCTCAGGATTGCTGACTGCGTGGGTTCAAACCCTGTCAGGGGCAAGCCGTTGTTTCCTTGAGCAAGAAACTTTACATTCATTGCTTAGTACTGGTTGGTTCCAGGAACGGATTCGAGAGTGTTTCAATAAGCATATAGCTTCCAACACAATCGAACTAAAATAAATTTGTATAAACTAATCAAAAATATTTATGAAAGGTTCAAGACCAATTCCAGTTTTTATCTTTTTAAGAATTGGAAAGAAGATTCAATGTTATAGATTTACTATGGTGTTGACTTATTGGACGATTCAATTATATTATTTTATAGAAGCTAGGGACATGCGCTGTATTTAGTACCTTGTAGCCTTAGGTAACGGTTTTACACGATATGATACGGAAATTTACGGAGGTTATTTAGGCATAGTGATTTGCGCATGCGTAGCGCTCTTCGTCCTTCGCATTTTCACAAAACATCCGAAACATGGCCACAAAAATGTTAAAAGTGGCAAACTCCGCTGCCCGACTGTTGCCAGCGACAAAAAATGTAAATATACGATAGATAGTCACCGCAGTACCCCCCGCGTACTGTAATTATCAAGCGTCCAGTAAATGTAATATGCCTCGAATCAGACTCTGAAATGAAAAGATATTTACCCCACCCACCGATTTTTAAACAATCGGTGACAGTTAAATGTCATTTTATATAATTAGGTTATGCTCACATCCTGGAAAAAATGTATAATTATTAAATATGATCAATATTTTTAATTTACCTTATTATATATAATGAGTTTTAGGATGTGAGTAATTGAAACCTAGGTCTACTCCACATGCAGACTTCTATAAATTATCTGTTAATAGCTGTAATCCCTGTAATGTAACTTTTAAAGTAAAAACTGATATAATATAATATAGTCAGAGTAAGTTTTTAGTAATTTTTTGATGATTTGACTAAACATTATCTTATAATTTGATTTTTGAATAGTGATGTGCTATAGATGCCATATCACGGTCGGGACGGTAGATAATTCAACCGAGACAGCATTTTTCGTAAAATTGGTCTGTCTCCAGACCATTCTATTTGAAAGACCCTGATAAAAGATAGACTTTAATAACATTAATAAACATTGTGCAATATGTATCATCATAGTTTGCGCCACCAAATTCGCCAATCAGAAAAAGTTGGAGCCAGTATGGAACCAGTAATTCTGCAAGGGAAACATGCCTATCTTTGTTAAGATATGCTAGTAGTATTATATATCATTATGATTACAAACACACATTTATAATGTTTCTTTATTACAGCTGCACATGTTTATTATCTAAAATATAGGCAAAGTATTATGTGGTTTTCAAATTCCATTTAAACAAATACACATGACAACATAAATGTAATCAAAAACATTTTAAGTTAGCAATGAGTTTTGGAGATCCTGTTTCCACCATTTTGCCTATATATAGATAGCAGTTCTTATCACTTATTCATTCTCACTGACTGGATTGAGCCAAGATCTTTCCAGCTTCTACCCAACATTCTGGTGATCTACAGATACAAAATAAAAAAAAACCATTACTGTATATTGACTTCATCTAAAATCAATGAGAACAAAGAATGAAACAGATACTAAGTACTTTTTAACATAAATAACAATGAAGAAAATAGGTTTTACATGTAATTAGACACTTCAGCACTTTACATTCAGATATGAAAATATTAACACTGCAGTAAACAGTGGCTTTATATTAATCATTAGTGAAATTATTCTTTTTATTGTCATCCGATTTTATATTTCAAACTGTAATTATCTTTAATCAGTTGACGAGTCAACTTACCTAAATTTCAATGTTTGTCAACATCACGGACGATCTTTCATTTCTCTTTTTCGCTACTAAAACCAGTTGACCACATGTGTAATTATCAGTGCTCCAAGTCAGAGGATTAAAGATGTAAATTGTTTCAATTAACACATTGACACTTTTATCTTGACATGTGCCCGAAGTGTCACACAATTTATGACATAATTGATGATACAATTTGGATAAACAAACTAATCGCGCGTGACCTTTCACATTTGGGCCGCTTATGTAATTGATGCGGCCGCTTATGATATTTAAGTGTACTAGTGGTCGGATGCTTTTATCTTGTGTTGGTGCCAGTAAAATTCGCCAATTAAAGATTTTATGCGCCAGAATTAATATTTTGTTGCATTTAGCGCCATTGACGAGCGACAGTGGGAACGCTGCCTCATAATCCTATCAAATCTTTAACATGATAAATCTTTTTCAGTAAGTGTCATTGTTGACAGGTTTTGTTTTCATGCCAGTACAAGATTTTAGAGTCAGACGCACCCTTTGCTGCCAACTTTTCTGCGTCATTTTCATTTAGTAATGCCTCCTTTGCAGATCTCTGTTCTACATATTTTTTAATATTAATTACATTCATTTTTATAACATGTTAATGTTTATAGGATACTTATGAATATTTAAAATGATTTATTGATGAATGTATGTGAGTTTGTAGAGAAAGGGAGAAAGTACAATTTATATGTACGTTTTGCTTACTTTGGATATTTTTTGTAGAAAATATTGTCCAAACCGCATTGTGTGTGGTAAAGACAGAGCTCCAGATAGCGTGCGTATAAGCCTAAAATACGCATAGAAAATCTAAAATACGCATCACTTTCAAAATTCGTGCGTCAAAGTTTCGCACAACAAAATGAAAATACGTTTGTATGTCAAAATTTAAGCGTAAAAGAATAGAAGTGTAAACATTTGATATTCAGATAGAGGATATTTTGAGCATAAAAATACAATATACATGTATTTCCATTTTATTGCATTGAAAACTTAAAGTTCTGTTGTCAACAACGCATGTTAAAAACGAAAGTAGCAGGAAGTACAGAAGGGAGGTAACTCCCGTAGATCAACCTGTGAAATTATTGATATAAATTTTTGCCAGATATTTTTCACCTGCAGTTTTGTACTCAATATTTCGTACCCAGTCTACAGTTACGGACAATTCTCTCAGACCAATACCTTTTTTAAGGAAAGATAAAAAACCTTGTTTATTTTTCTTTAATTCTAATTTCAACTATAATTGTTCAAACTGGAGCACATGATAGGCTACATGCCAACAGAAATAAAGAAAGAAAAATATTGACTCCTAGAAAATATATTAATTTCAGGGTTTCCACTAGTGGAAGTTTGGGAGTCATTTCCTCCTTCATTTTGGCATGTGACTTCCGAAAATCTAATACTTTTCCTTCTTTACCAATATAATGTGACTTCCAATATCAGAGATATTTTTGACTTCCAAATTTTGAAAATGGAAGCCCTGATAATTTTGCTGTGTATCCTAAACTTGAGTTCCAGTATACTCTGGAAGTCTGACTTTACAGGACACGTTTTGTATTGCTTCACATTGAATCAGTATTTTATTTTTAAAGGTTTTTTTAAAAAAAGAAAATAAACAAACAAAAACAATAAGTTTAATTTGTTTATAAAAAATGCAAAATGCTTTTTTGACAGATTTTACCCCTTAAGTTTTTCAGATTTTACATTTTACCCCTCACTCTAAATTTTGAGGGGTAAAAACCCCTTGGCCAAAAAAATTATCTGGAGCTCTGAAAGAACAGTGTTTAACCTTTTACCCCATGAGCATATTGTGAAAAATGGCCGTTTTCATTGAAAAGCCTCCTGTTACAAGTTCCAACTGCTATAAAACTATGAAAAATGCTTCAAAACTGATGAAACTTAGCACATATGTTGACTGAACCATCACCTCTGTAACAACATGCTCAATCTTTAATTTCCTGTTACCATGGCAATGGGGGGGGGGTCTCAAAATTGCGCAAAATCACTATTTTGCATGTTTTTTTTCCATCAAAACTGATTTCAAAGTGCTGCAACTTGTCAATGCAATGAGATAGAGTAAAAGGCTTTTCAGCCTTGGTTAAACGTCACTTTAAGATCTACCTGAGGCCATTTTTAGCCTGTCACATGTCCAAATTTTTCTTGCTGATGATGGGGACTGTCGTCCCCCTTCAAACCCCCCAAACAGAAGGGGGCACATCCCCCTGATGTATCATTTTGATGGGGGCTGTGTCACTTTTTTTAACAACATTTCTCAAACGAAAAACAGTATTTGGGGCCTAAATAGGGCATTTTTTTCACTGTTTTAGGCCTGAAAAGGGGGGACAAAAAGCCGTCAAAACACGTCTATATATGAGGAAAAGGTTAATATAATTACATTTATTGTCTCAAAGTTCAGTCTAAAAACTTCCAGTGATTTTCCTACTTGTACAACAGACTCCGAAAAAAGGCCTCTTACCAATTGAAATTTTCTTTAAAATCATGCAGTTTTCCCAAAAAACTGAACTTAAACCTGCTTTTACTTCCCAAATCAGCATTTTAAGCGTAAATTTTTCCCAAAATGAAGAGGCTAAGGCCTCTTCCCAATTAAGAGAGAAAAATCACTGACTTCATTTATTGATCAATCATAAAACATCTTGTCATTATAAGTCTTCTAAACAAAGATAATTTCAACCAATATGCTGCCTACTTTTTCGAATTCTGTTTGATGGCGATCATAAATCTCAATAATTTTACAGTGATTTGCACCTTAAAAGTTTATAAACTAAACAATGTGTATCCAAGTAGGTTTTTATTAGATTGCCAAGTTGACCTTTTACCTTAAATACCATTAGAATATACAGAAAGTTGACACTAAATACTGTTTTCAGAGGATTTTCTTCATTGACAGTCATAGACAACTGATAATTGAATGTTGTTTATTGACTGTCACTGTCTACAGATTATATAGAGGATATTTGTTTAGTTCAGTGTAAGATCGGAATATATTTCACCGAGTGAGCACCAAAAGGTATATTTCACGAGTGGCGCAGCCACGAGTGAAATATGAACTTTTGGTGTTCACTAGGTGAAATATATTTCGATCTTACATTAAATTAAACAAATTTTCTTTTTATTATATGCAAAGAAACGTTTAAAAGGACATTTTAACTTAGTACTAAATGAAAAGGGCGCCAAATAATAATATAACGTGACGTCATTTACGACGTCAGGTCATTAAGTTGGTTTCCAGTACTGTGAACGCTTGTATTTCACTGAAACAACGTACTGGGCTCAAATATTCAAAACAGTGAAATTATCAAATCGATAATTTCACTGTTTCAAACAGTGAAATTACCAGTTTTTAACTCACTGATATATTTCTATAAACCACCGAAAAGCATGTAATAAAACATATTCAGAAGTTCAGTACTTGATAAGAGTAATTTACTTCAAATAACTACAATAATTTAAACACAGTTTGATTTGCCTTGCTTAAATTTGAAATACTGGTTATCATTGATTTTGCCTTACAGGATTCTTGACAATGATCCTTGAACTGATCACATTCAAGCAAGATAATATTTTTCTATTTCAGGCTCCAATTACATCAGCACTTCTCAATAAAAGATGGCAATCAGTCGACTTCAAACAAGCGTTGTTAAATAATCCGGAAACTAAAGTATCAACGCTGAATAACAAATTTAGGGTGGCTTCTGAAGACTCTGGTTTACCAACGTGCACAGTAAGTTGAATAAGTCTAAAGATATCAATATTTTGATATGAGATCTTAACTCTTATAAAAATATGAAATTTATAGCCGGAAAGATTGTATAAATAAAAGGGATATTCTACCATGATTAGTTTTTGCCATGATTATTTTTTGCCTATTTTTGCCTATTTCACAACAATTTTAATGTGGCGAAAATATAACAACAGAAAATATACCTATGACAAAAATTATCCAAAATTTAACTTTGAAGTGTTAATTTTCAGGTTGGCCTGTGGATAAATGCAGGAAGTAGATACGAGTCAGATGAAAAGAATGGAGTTGCTCATTTCCTGGAACATATGATCTTTAAGGTGAGATAATATGTTTATACATACATATACATAATAAGTTTCCACTTACTTCAAATTAAAAAGGTTTCTGTGGCCGAGTAGTTAAGGTTTTTGACTTTAAACAACTTGGCCTTCATTGCTGTGTATTCAAATCTCGCCAGGGGCTTTAGATTCTGCCATGTGACAGTTTGTTTTTTTTCTACTTTGGGAATGGTGCCGGTACCAGATTGATTGGGGAAAAATGTGTTATTTTGACTTACATTGGGAATTATTTTAATGCATTTTTTCAGCTACAAATAAGATTAGTCATCATGAATAAAGATAGCTAACAGCTTCCACTGTCAAGGTAGAACTATTAAGTGGTGATTTATATGTATATGTTGGATTTAAATGATTTCAGAGAAATCACTTGGCCTTGTGGGAATTTTGAACAGCCATTTTGGGAATTTAAACATTGGAAATTGGGAATTTTAATGTCTATTTTCTATTGGGAACAGTACCGTTTTAGGGTAGTAGTTATAGAAAGAAAAAAAACACTGTGTGAGGAAGCTAGCTTATATAATGTTGATGGTTCTAGTCAAGTGACTGTTCCTTTATGAAGTAATGCACTGAGAAGCACCTAAGGTCTTTCTCTTCCAGAAAAGCTGGAAAGTCCCCATGACTTTTATAGTGTTGGTGTGACGTAAAACCCTACCAAAAAAGAAAAAGAAATTTTTTTACAAGAATGACTTATTTTTATTTGGCTATAAATGGTTGGTTTGTTGATAAACCTTTTCACACAAGTATATAACAAAATATTGTTAAATATGTTTCTCAGGGTACATCCAAAAGATCACAAACTGACCTTGAAGTTGAGGTAGAGAATATGGGAGCCCATCTAAACGCTTACACATCTAGAGAACAAACTGTCTACTATGCCAAATGTTTCACAAAAGATCTAGAAAAAGGTAGGTTAAGTTTGATTCTGATTTCCACAAAGATAATATACAGGCATTAAACAGGCTTTATTTTCAAGAATGAAAGGAAACAGTTTGCTGGACAAAAATTATTAAACTTTAAGACCTGCGAGTAGTAAACAATTTTCAGTCAAGTTTTACTATAAAATCACATCACCTACAAAGTGGTGCCTTATCCAAGAATAGCAAATTTTCGTATTTTTTTATTTCAGATCTTTTAAAGTTTAAACTTCTAATGGACATTTCCAAATTGTTGAAATGACAAGGCTATTATATAAAAATAGCAAGAAAGGGGTTATGATATTACTTGTTATTTTACTTTTTATCTTATTTATTTCAGCTGTTGAAATTCTAGCTGATATTACACAGAACAGCACTTTAGGTAAAAATGAAATTGAAAGAGAACGAGGGGTCATCCTCAGAGAAATGCAGGTAATTTGTACTTCTATGTTGTTGCATATTTTACACGTTTAGCTCACCTGAGCATATGCTCAGGATGAGCTATTAGGATCACTCTTCGTCCGTCGTCTGTCGTACGTTGTCCGTTCACACTTTTTAAACGACATCTCCTCTGAAACCATAAGGCAGATCATAATGAAACTTCACAGGGATGTTCCTTGTGTGAAGCCTTAACAAAGTTGTTCAAAGAATTCCATTCCATGCAGAACTCTGGTTGCTATGGCAACCAAAAGAAAAAACTTTAAACATCTTCTTCTAAAAGACCCAAAGAGCTAGAGCTTAGATATTTGGCATGAAACATCTTCTAGTGTGTGTCTACCAAGATTGTTCAAATAAAAGCCCTGGGGTCAAAATTGGCCCCGCCCCAGGGGGTCATTGATTTTCCCTATATGCATATAGTAAAAACATAAAAAAATCTTCTTTTAAAGAACCCAAAGAGCTAGACCTAAGATATTAAGCATGAAACATCTTCTAATGAGTGTCTACCATGATTGTTCAATTCAAAGCCCTGGGATCAAAATTGGCCCCGCCCCAGGGGGTCATTGATTTTCCCTATATGCATATAGTAAAAACTTAAAAAAACTTTAAAAAATCTTCTTCTAAAAAACCCAAAGAGCTAGAGCTTAGATATTTGGCATGAAACATGTTCTAATAGATGTCTACCAAGTTTGTCCAAATAAAAGCCCTGGGGTCAAAATTGGCCCCGCCCAAGGGGGTCATTGATTTTCCCTATATGCATATAGTAAAAACTTAAAAAATTGTCTCTTAAAGAACCCAAAGAGCTAGAGCTAAGATATTTGGCATGAAACATCTTCTTATCAGTGTCTACCAAGTTTGTTCAAATATAAGCCCTGGGGTCAAAATTGGCCCCGCCCCTGGGGGTCATTGATTTTCCCTATATGCATATAGTAAAAACTTAAAAATCTTCTATTAAAGAACCCAAAGAGCTAGAGCTAAGATATTTAGCATGAAACATGTTCTAATGAATGTTTACCAAGTTTGTTCAAATAAAAGCCCTTGGGTCAAAATTGGCCCCGTCCTAGGGGGTCATTGATTTTCCCTATATTGCATATAGTAATTAAAAACTTAAAAATCTTCTTTTAAAGAACACAAAGAGCTAGAGCTAAGATATTTAGCATGAAACATGTTCTAATGGGTGTCTACCAAGTTTGTTCAAATAAAAGCCCTTGGGTTAAAATTGGCCCTGCCAGGGGGAGGGGGGCAAAAGTCATTGTTTTTCATTATTTGTGTATAGTAAAAACTTAACATCATGAAACATCTTCTAATGGGTGTCTTCCAAGTTTGTTCAAATAAAAGCCCTTTGGTTTAAACTGGCCCCGCCCTGGGGGCCTATGTACAGGTGAGCGACCCCAGGGCCATCATGGCCCTCTTGTTCTAGTGATGATATAGAAATAGCAAACTCCTTGATTGTAAAAAAAACATGACATATTAGATTTGAATGATTCATGTAGGATAGAAATTGAAAAATGCCTGCTTTACTCTTACCTACTTACAATCCAAATAATAATTTGGACAAAAAATGGAAAAAAAGAAAAATCTTTGAAAAGAGATTTACAAATTAAAGGGACGCCACTAAGGATTTTTGACATAATGGGGCAGGAAATGTGTTTCTGTGATTTGTGTATCAGTTGATGAATGCCTGAATCAATATCTTGTGTGCAAATTTTCAGACCATTTTCTCACCGCATTTTTCCAGAACTATCATTCTTATTGTGCAAAATAACCTAAAAATGAAAAGCTTTTCCTGCTCAAATATGGCTTAGAATTGCAGAAAAATGGATTTTCAATTTAATTCTTAGTATATTATCATTTGCAGATTTTCTATTTTAAGTACTCCATTTGATCGTAATTGTAAGATTTTCAAGTGTTATGTTTTTAGCCTTTGGATCTCAGTAGAGTTCCTTTAAACAGTTTCACTTAGGAACTATATTGTGTTATTTTATATCTGTATTACTAAATGTATTCGAACTTTTATTATTACAGGAAGTAGAATCTAACCTACAGGAAGTTGTATTTGATTATCTGCATTCATCAGCCTACCAGGGCACACAACTAGGCAACACCATTCTTGGACCTACAAAAAATATTAGGTAAGCACACTTGCAAAATGATGAGAAAAGAAAGGTCACTTCAAGTGAACTTCATACAGTACAGTTACTGTCATTGTCGGATAGGGTACTATACTATGATATTAATGTACAACACGTTGTGTCTGGTTTATACGTCTATTCAAACTACTAACGTTTATATTACAAAACATAGGAAGTGACGAACTCTAACGTCACGCATACGTTGGCGTCATTTAACGGCACATGCATATGAGCGCAATTCCCGACATTCTGGGGGCCGCAAAATGATAAATTATTAAAATTAATATCAGTTAATTTCAACAAATCTTAGATATAGATTCTAACTCCTTTCTAAAATACATTTAAATAAAAAGTCATTTTTTAAATAACACAAATGTCTCTCAATTTCTTATAAATGTTTATAGTCTGTGACTTTAATAATAACTGTACTCCTTCTCATTTCTCTGTAACGCTTCTCTATGTGTCGTAATCTATGAACGCTTCATATGCGGCACTTGACTGTAAAGTTGCAGTTTGTGCTTGATTTGTGGGTTGATATTCGGTTGAAGATTGGGTTGACTCGCTAGCACCGATATTTAGATTTGAATCTGGACTACTTTCACATATACTATGGTGATGTTTTCTTCTACATTTGAAGCACTTGTAGTTTGATGGACAGTTAATGACTTGGTGGTGAATATTCAAGCAATTAAAACATAAATGTATATTTCTTATAATGTCTTTTCTAGCCCTCACATCAGTTACTTTTGTACAGTCTTTGGCATTGTGATATTCGTTGCAAAACATGCACTGTTCCTGGTCATCAAACGTTTCGCGTGCGGAATTCTGTGTCACGTGACTTCCGGTTCCTGTTTTCTGTCTCGCGCCCGTGAAAAACGACGCTGTAGTTCTATAACCTGTTAAATCATCTGTAGTCTGCCCGGCCTCCATGATATTCAGTTCACGGTATAACGCTTTTCGTAAAGTTTCTAATAACCACTCATCGCTGCCATTTTCTCGTGCTAAACTCTTTCGAATTTCTGCCGGAAGTTTGTCTATAATGACTGGTACTAAAAGCGTTCCATATGTATTTTGATTTTGGCCTAGGGACTCCAATCCACGGATATAAGCTTCTAATTTGTCGTTATAATTTCTCATACTGTGTAGAGTATTGCTCGGGGCTGGCAGGTTTAGTAACGCCTGTATATACGCATGAATGATTTTATGAGTCTGTCCGAACCTCTCCTTCAGTAAATCGACTGCTTGTATGTAATTTGCATGCGTAAGTGCAAATCCTTGAATAACTTGAGCCGCACTGCCTTCTAGTTGCGTCTTCAAATAATTAAATTTTTGAACTTCTGTAAGATTCGGGTTTTGATGAACAGATGAATCAAAAGCATCCCAAAAACTTTGCCATTCGAGAATGTCACCACTAAAGACAGGTAGCGATAATTTCGGCAGTCTCTGATAAAGCAACGTATTTGATTGAAATATTCTCACATTTTGCAAAGAACTGTTACCATTATTCAAGTTATTATTTTCGATTAGGAAACCACTTCCGTCTTTGTTCTGGTTTTGCGGGTTAGTTGGTTCGCTATAAGCATTATGTTGTTCTTCAGTGTTTCTTTTTCTGTTTTCGTTATAAGCTCGAAGTTCTCTCACCTTTATCTCCAACGTTAATCCATATTCATCACTGCTTACTATTTCCTCCTCGATGTCGCTTACTTCCGTTAGTTCTAAAATCTTTTCGTTTAAGGATTTGATCGTCTCTGCTTTTCTGACAATGGCTTCGAGAATTGCGTTAAATTCTATCATCGATGAATTCTCTTTCCCCCGTTCAATTCGTTCAAGCTGAATTTCTACACATCTTCGTTGACCCTCTCTCACTGATCGCAATTTATCTATCTTCATAATGTTTTTGTCACGACACCAATGTCGGATAGGGTACTATACTATGATATTAATGTACAACACGTTGTGTCTGGTTTATACGTCTATTCAAACTACTAACGTTTATATTACAAAACATAGGAAGTGACGTACTCTAACGTCACGCATACGTTGGCGTCATTTAACGGCACATGCATATGAGCGCAATTCCCGACATTCATACAGTTCAGATTTCGTTCTAACTCACTTAATATGAAACTGATCGAGATACTGCTTTGACCCTTACAACTCGGTTATCAATTTTGTCATATCCATGTCCCCTTTTAAACTAAGACCTGCTCGTATGCCACTGTCAAGTACTGAGTCAAGAATGCTGTCTTATGGACAGTTGTTTGTTTAAAAAATTGAAGATTGGTTTGTAGTTTGTCCTGTCATATTTTAAAATTGCAGATGCAGTTTCCAAGTGAATAAAGACTTTAGGCTTAATTTTAATCCTTACCACTTTTTTTTTTGCAACACTAAAGTTAATATCAGAATTTCAATCACATTATATGTATGTAATGAGACTTAAATGAAGATGAAGCATATAATAACACTTAACATTTCATACATTGTTATGCTCAATGTGTTTCTAGAATGAGTGAGACTAAATAAAGGATTGGAGTACCACACTAAATACCGAATTCCGGTATATACAGATTAGGCGCTTGAATGATTAAATGCTAAAATCCAACCTGTCTAATTCATCTCTACACACCAATTTTTATATGGCAATGAATGAAAACTGTTACAATCAGAGGAAAAAACGATATTTGTCTATTTTGTGATAATGACATCTGCAAGCATCTAGAGGTACTGCTCCAATCCGGTATTGAGTTAAATCCTTCTAGTATATGGTAAAAGATTTCATATTTTATTCAGGTCATTACAGAGAGAAGATTTGGTGGAGTATATAGATGATCACTACACTGGCGGCAGAATGGTGCTTGCTTGTGCTGGAGGTTTGTATTCTTTAAGTCTGAACTTTTGTGTAGACTTTTAACAACTGAAGATTTTATTTTTTTACACACGATAGGGCAAATAGTGCTCAAGATGAGCTATAGTCATATTGCATCGTCCTTCAGCACTTAACTTTAATTTACATCTACTCCTTAACAATTTGGTCAGTGACATTCAAACTTCACAGAAATGTTTTTTGAGTTATCCTATTTCAAAGTTATTGACAAAAAAAACTCTTTTGAGGAGAACTTAAAAAAGGAAAAACTTTAGTTATACCCCCGCACAACAAAGTTGTAAGGGGGGTATACTGGAATCAGCTTGTCCGGCCGTCCGTCCGGCCGTCCGGCCGTCCGTCGGTTTTTTCTTGTCCGCCCAATAACTTAATATTCCTTTGACCCTTAGTCTTCATATTTGGCATGGAGGTTAGTCATGATTAGTAGATGACCCCTATTGATTTTGAGGTCACTAGGTAAAAGGTCAAGGTCACAGGGGCCTTGACTTCAAAAAGCTTGTCCGCCCAATAACTTAAGATTCCTTTGACCTACAGTCTTCATATTTGGCATGGAGGTTAGTCATTTTTAGTAGATGACCCCTATTGATTTTGAGGTCACCAGGTCAAAGGTCACAGGGGCCTTGACTTCAAAAAGCTTGTCCGCCCAATAACTTAAGATTCCTTTGACCTACAGTCTTCATATTTGGCATGGAGGTTAGTCATGATTAGTAGATGACCCCTATTGATTTTGAGGTCACCAGGTCAAAGGTCAAGGTCACAGGGGCCTTGACTTCAAAAAGCTTTTCCGCCCTATTACTTAAGACCCACAGTCTTCATATTTGGCATGGAGGTTAGTCATGATTAGTAGATGACCCCTATTGATTTTGAGGTCACCAGGTCAAAGGTCAAGGTCACAGGGGCCTTGACTTCAAAAAGCTTGTCCGCCCAATAACTTAAGATTCCTTTGACCCACAGTCTTCATATTTGGAATGGAGGTTAGTCATGATTAGTAGATGACCCCTATTGATTTTGAGGTCACCAGGTCAAAGGTCACAGGGACTTTGACTTCAAAAAGTTTGTCTGCCCAATAACTTTAGATTCTTTTGACCCACAGTCTTCATATTTGGCATGGATGTTGATCATGATTAGTATATGACCCCTTTTGATTTTGAGGTCACCAGGTCAAAGGTCAAGGTCATAGGGACTTTGACTTCAAAAAGTTTGTCCACCCATTAACTTAAGATTCCTTTGACCCACAGTCTTCATATTTGGCATGGATGTTGATCATGACTATAAGGTGACCCCTATTGATTTTGAGGTCACTGGGTCAAAGGTCAAGGTCACAAGGACCTTGACAAAAAAAAAGCTTTTCTTCTCAATTGCTAAAGAATGTCCTGTCCGCAATGTATTGATTTTGACATTTTCACATTTGAAGCATGTAGAATGCATAACTTAGCAATGCACTGGCTTAGTAACCTCAGATTTGGCAGGGAGGTTGTCCTTGAGCTCTAAATGGCCACTGTTGATTCTGACAAAGTGTTATGCGGGGGTATTCACGCCATGATAGTGGCAGTTCTAGTTTATCTAGAAAATATTTTTAGTTTTATTTATGTTAGAAGCAATAAGCTTATTGAAACACTTGAATCAATTCCTGGAAACAAAGAGTATTAAGCAATGAGTATTAATTTTCTTGCTCAAGGAAACAACAGATTAAATTTTGAACCCACATGAGTAGCAATTGTAAGATTATTAGTGAGAGAGTGAATTATGCATGAATGATTATGTTTTTAGTACTTTAGGAATTGCCAATAACTGACAAAAACCTAAGTTTATGTATAACTGTTCATTTCCGTTTTAGTGAAATAAAGTTATAGTAATATATTGCAGTTGAATAAACAGATATATGTTTATACTTACATTAAATATATCTATATACATTTACATTAAAGGTGTTGATCATCAGAAACTGACAGACTTAGCGGAGAAATATTTCGGTAAAGTACCTGCTGGAAGTGATGCTTCTTTATTACTAGAAAAGTACCCTGCCCGCTTCACCGGAAGTGATGTAAGTTACCTATGTCCAGCTTAAAATGTTACCCTTGCACCGAAATTGATAAGCCTTTTTCACGAGTACAGAGCCAGGTCAGCAAGCACTTAAATGCAGTTTGATCAGGCTCTATACTGTTGGCTGACTTGACTTTAAATTTTGAATTTGATATCCCTAAAATTGAAAATGACCAATTCCAGAAATGGAAACATTGTGCAATTTTGAATATACTGTTATTTGCATTTTCCTGAGTTTTATCAAACCTTTGACTACAAATTAATGACCTTGCTCAAAAAATGTCACAAGTCAACTAAAAATCAGTAAATGAAGTTCAAACTCAGTTTGTGTTCATGCTCACATAAGTTCACAGTGCTTTTGCAAAACAAAGATTTAAAATGTTTGAAGAGTTGTCTGGTAGATATCTATAAAATATGTAAATATAACATGGAAAGTGGCCCGGCCATGTGAGCCACTTGTTACTAAATCATGTCTTGTAAAACCTGCATCAAAATTGTTCTTGATTGAAACTTGAATAACTAGACCTCAGAAAATAGGTTTAAAGCATTTCTTTGGAATTTTCAAAATAAAACATATTCCTGGGCAGTGGGGTCTTAAATGGCCCAGCCCTTCATTTTTGGAGAAAAAAAGCTCTTAAATATAAGATTTTAAGATAATTTTAGTAAATAGCATTTTACATAAGCCTTTAAAAGTTACATATTTATCATGCATCTTTGGGAAAAAGAGCAACCATGGTGGATTTGCATGTCTTAAATTTGGTTAATTAGAAATCTATTTCTTCAGCAACAAGACCCATAGGTCAGATTTAATTAATTGCAATGTGTGATAGACATGAAAAAATGCCTCTTTTATAAAAGATGTCTCTGCTCTTGAAAATTTGTATAAAATTTGTATGAGCATTATAGTTCCAACTTAGCTTTGTGTGAAGAAATTGATATACAATATACTGAGACTGCAGTATTCCAGTCTTTAAAAATTTTACCGGAATAGAATCACTCTCTTTAATTGGCAGGGAGATGATTTATTATTCTACACTATTAAATAACAATCTTATTTTTTCTTGCAGTTACGTGATCGTGAAGATAACATGCCACTAGCCCATGTAGCTATGGCAGTAGAGGGTTCTAACTGGGTCAATGGAGAAAACATTGGTCTCTTGGTGGCAAGCACAGCTATTGGCAGCTGGGACAGATCTTTTGGTGGCCCTTCTAATCTAATGAATCAGCTAGCACACAGATGTTCTATATCAAATATGTGTCACAGTTACCAGGCATTCAACACATGTTACACAGATACAGGTCTTTGGTATGTTCAATATTTCAAGCCTTATTTACCCTGTCCTGAGGCATTTTCAAAGGCAAAATAAGTGCTGATTACTTTCCTAATTGTTAAGTTAGAAATTCTTAATCGGTGCCTTTACTATAATATTTATTTTTGTATAAACTTACTGAAAGTGCAAAGAAAAAGATAGATTTTTATATAAACTTTCTGAAAGTGCAAAAGAAAAAGATAGTTTTAAGGTCATTCTGCACAATTTTTGTATAATTTTTATATTGTAAGTTCAAAGACTTTTATCTTTTCATTTCATGAAGGTCAGTAATTCTCATTTAGAAATGTGACTTGTGTTCAAATTCTTTATAGATTAACAAGGTTGTTTTATTTATTGCTGACATGTCTTAAAGTGTAATTGGATATTTCAGGGGAGTATATTTTGTATGTGAAAGAATGGATGTGGAAGAAATGGTATGGAATGTACAGGAAGAATGGTAATATGTATTTTCACTATTACTTAACAAATGTAACCCTTTCACCCCTCATTATATATAATTGGCGTTTCCTTTTTAGCTTGACTATTTAAAGACTAAGGAGAGCTATTGTACTCACCCAGACGTCTGTGTCACACTTCAGTGTTTTTTCCTTTCCATTATTGATATCAGCTCAGTTTGCATATATACAAATACAAGAGCAAAAACATTTTATAAATAAAACATACAAAGTCACAATGATGAACTGCATGCTATATCTCGGAGGACAACTTAAATCATGAGATTACATATGGTAAACATTATATAACATAGTTAGCAATCCATTACATATTCTAACACGACCCTCACTTTTCCCTGTTGAACATAGAAGAACCGAAAGTGTGTGTTATTATGCAACAAAGTCACTGTTGACGTTCTATATTTAGATATATGACGTAATCATTATACATGTGACGTAACCACTAAAAAGTGCGAGGCATTGAAAATAAGTACGGAAACAAATCAGGAACAATTTAGCTTAATATCAGTTACGGCAGCATTTATTTGTTGATGTCGTGTTAGAATCGAAATAATTTATCCAAATCAGTGATTTTATCGCTTGATAACATCACTGTTTGTTGTTCGGATGCGCATCATTATATCACTCGACTACGCCCTCGTGATATAATTCCCCGCATCCGAACTCCAAACAGTGATGTTATTTAGCGATAAAATCACTGTTTGGTATATATTATTTCTTAATTAAAAAATGCGTAAAATAAACAGTACAGGAGAGAGAGTAATAATAAGAATGACTTGATCTAAATATACGAAAATCAGTGTCAAAGGTAGTAATTTATCGAGAATTATACTACTTAGTAAATTCTGAAAAAAAGAAAAAGAAAAGTTTGCCCAGAGCGGAATCGGACCACAGACAGAGAATGGAGACTTTATTGGTCTTCCATAGTTTACCTGTGTTACTGATTGTACCTTTGTGCCTTGATGTCAATATTCAAAGTTATTAACATAACTTGCCCCTTGAGGGTGTAGATTTAATGTGCAATTTTAAGATGTGAGAAATCTTATTTATGTAACAGGCCATTTGTTTTATCTAGGTGAGCACTCAAGCCTATATACTGCATAAAGGAGCCTTTGATATCTTCCTGAACCAGGAAAGATTGAATGTTGTCTCAGTGACCTGATAAAAGTGTCTCAGTCCCATCCTTAGCCACAGAAATGTACGATATTATGTAAAAGTAATTCAGCATTTCGCCTACCATATGTAGTATTGGCAACAAATTTTTAGGAAGAAAATGAAAAAAACTCTATCTATTCTGACCAGTTTGATATTGAAATATTCTATGTGTATATATACAGGATGAGGGTGTGTGCTAACATAACAGATTTTGAGGTAGAGAGAGCTAAGAGACTGTTGAAGACAAATCTATTGTTACAGTTAGATGGAACTACAGCTATCTGTGAGGATATTGGAAGGTATGTTACACTCTGAATGCTAGCTGCAAATTATGACAGGTGCTTGTTACCAGTGCAGAAAAAGTGTAGACTAGGCCCAGGATGTTGTTGTAGATACGGCCCAAGTTGTCGGTGAACATTTTGCCCAAATCATCAGTGCACACATGATCTAGGTTATCAATGTAGACAAAGTTGCCAGTGTAGATTAGAATTAGGTCATCATTTTAGACCCAGTAAAGGTTGCTATTGTAGACCCCGTATAGGACACATCAGTATTAATCAGTGTTAGTGCCCGCTATGTTTAGGTCACCAGTATGGTTTTTGTTTGATTGGGTTTTACGTCACACCGACACAGTATAGGTCATATGGCGACGTTCCAGCTTTACTGGTGGAGGAAGACCTCAGGTGCCCTTCCGTGCATTATTTCAGGCACAAAAGGGCACCGGAGTAGAACCACCGACGTTCTGTAAGCTAGCTGGATAGCTTCCTCACATGAAAGAATCCAAAGTCCCTGTCGGGATTCAAACTCGCAGCGGTGAGGGGCAAGTGGTTTGAAGTCAAAGACCTTAACCACTCGGCCATGGACGCCTCTCACCAGTATGTCACCAGTGTAGACCCAGTTACAGTCACTGGTGTATATCAGGTCATGAAAACCAGTATATACCAGGTTAGATGGTCGATGTAAAGGTCAATGTAGAGAAGGCTTAATTAGTTAAGACAAGGTCTATGGTTGCCAGTAAAGACTAGGCCTAGATCGTTAGATTAAACCAGGACAAGGTGGTCAGTGTGAACCAGGCCTAATTTGCCACTGAAATTTGATTTGCTTTGGTCAATATTAATACATACTTTTTCTTACAGGATTATTAGTTATATTGATTTGAGAAAAGAATGTTCATAAAAGATAAGATTTATAAACTTTCTGTATGGAACAGTGTCAGTTGTTCCCTAAGAGGAGTGGTGAACAAGTGGTTATGGTGCCTCTCAACCCATGGATCATATGTTGAAGCCCTCATCTTGTTACAATGATGTTTCCTTACAGGATACGATACTGGTTAGTTCCAGGAAACAATCTTAAATGTGATTAAGTTGCAAGAACTTTTTTCACAATCAGGGGCGTAATTAACACATGTACCACTTTTGACTTGCATTTTTAAGAAAATATTAAGTGTTAATCATGTAAGAATAAAACACATCATTTCTTCTTTTTTCCAGACAAATGTTATGTTATGATAGGAGAGTCCCATTAGATGAAATGTGTAGCAGAATTCAAGTAAGTTATCTCTCAAGCTGTATGGTATTCTGTTGTTGTTATTTTTAACATAATTGTGATTATCTGTGTGAAACGCTCTATTTTAGACAATTTTTTATACTTTAGACATTTGTCTTTATGATATCAATTATTGGTTAATAAACATTATAATAAATGATCATTTGAAATATACAGTTTATTCTTCACAGCAGAAAATGAGCATAATATCACTTTATAATGTACATACTTAAAAAAGTAGCTACAGATGTATCAATTGTACCGTATTGACTTTTATAAAGAAAATAATTTGCCATCATCATTGTTAATTGCAAGAGGCAATTGCTATGATTTGTGACTTGGCAAAATAATTTTTGTATTTTGTGTTATGTGAACTTTATTTAAGAAGATGACAAAAAGATGACATATGACATAAACAGTGTGACTTGAAAACATGTTAGAAAATAATCGTTAGAGAATTAAATGTTTATTTAATTTTAAATTTCAGTCCCTTACTGGTGATGATGTGAGACAGATTTGTTACAAATATATCTATGATAAATGTCCAGTAGTTGCAGCTATAGGTCAGTATGAAATCTTGTTTATAATTAACCCTTTACTGGCTGAATAATTGAGACCTGTCCAGCTTCCTTTACCTTTGAGGAACTGTCCATTATCAATTTAGGGGACATCAACATGAAAATTCAACCATATAGATCCTGGTCAGACTGCACTAAACTGCAAGCTGGCCTGGCTTCATACTGCCATTCTCGGGTCTAGCTGGTTAAGGGTTCAAATATTTGTAATTTGACGTTTAGTTTTAATAAATTTGTTGTTCCTTAACATTTAACTTTAAGAAAAATACAAACATTTTATGTTAGGGGTGAGAGTTATTGTATTTACTGTAATTATTATGTAGAAAAAATTCGCCAGCTAAATAAGATCAAAAATTTAAAAAAAAAAAAACTCTATTCACAAAAATATGAGATACAAATGTTCATGTCCTCAAACTATTCATTTAGACAAAATAGAAATCAAGAGTGATTGAATACAAATTATGTATTACTTCAAAAAAAAAGTGATCGCTTTTCGTCCGGCGTCCCGCCGTTCATAAACTTTTACTTTTAATGACATCTCATCATAAACCGCTAAGTCAATTTCATCAAAACTTCACAGGAATGTTCCTTTGGTAGTCAACTTCAAAAATTGTTCAAAGAATTTAATTCCAAGCAAAACTCTGGTTGCCATGGCAACCGAAAGAAAAAACTTATAATATCTTCTTTTAGAAAGCAGAAAGAGCTAGAGCTTAAATATGTGGCATAAAACATCATCTAGTCCGTGTCTACCAAGTTTGTTAAAATAAATGCCCTGGGGTCACAAATTGGCCTTGGCCCAGGGGCCTATATACAGGTGATTTCAAGGCCATCATGTCCCTCTTATTCAAAATCTTACATAAATAATAAAAATGCTTTATGCTTGTTTTTTCCAGGACCAATTGGTGGATTGATGGATTACAACAGGTTACGAGCATCTATGTACTGGTTAAGAAAATAAACAATTATTTATTACAATTAAGACTGTTACTGTAGGTGTAAAACCTATGACTTTATATACATGATCACACCATGCCAGATATGATGACAGCCTAGGAAATGTTACGCTCTTATATCAAGATTGGACACCACAAATTGGAATTATTTAATTGTGATAGATTGAGTATTTTTTATGTGTATTTGTTTTTCGTTTTTGCGTTGGCATGGTAGATTTTTAAATATTAAAAATTGCCAGAAAACTGAAATGGAGTTGTTTAATTTGTCAACATCAGTTATTTCACATGGTATAAATGATGTATTTCCTATACTGGTGTTTACCATAATAGTTATGCCCTGAAGGGTCTGCCGGTTTAACCCCACTTACACAACATTCATGTCCGGAATGTAACTTTGTCATGCAATGAAGGATTTTTAAATAACAGCATATATGTCTACCACATTAAGACTATGTGTTGCATCCAAGACTCCTGTCCCTACAGCCTTGGTCACGGTTGCACTCCTAGTTTGAAGGTTCTTATTGTCACAAAAAGAGTTTGAATGTGATCATTCCTTTCTGGACTGGAACTTTTGTCATGCATTGAAGGATTTAAAAAAACTTGGCACAAATGTCTACCACATCATGATGATGTGTTTAATCTAAGACATATCTCTACCTCAAAGGTCAAGGTCACACAGTTTGAAGGTTCACAATTACAGTTTAAAAGGTATACACACACATTCATGTTTGGACTGTATCTTTGTCATGCATGGAAGGATTTTTTAAATAATCTGAAATATATGGCAACATGACGATATCCATGTCCCTACCTTTAAGGTCAAGGTCACACTTGGAGATTGAAGGAACAAATTTGTGTCCAGACTGTAACTTTGTCATGCATTGAAGGATTTTCTAATTACTTTGCATAAAGATCTAACACATCAAGATGATGTGTCATGTTCAAGACCCATGTCCCTACCTCCGAGATCAAGGTTGTAAATTTAGCACTTCATTTCACAACAATATTAAGCAATTAGTTAGTTTTTATTATCTTTTCCTTTCATAATACCTTTTGCAATACTTATAAAACCTTTTCTGGGGCATTTTTTTTTTTTTGGGGGGGGGGGGGGGCTTTGTAGTTACATAACAGGCTTATATTCTGTGGAAAGTGGTGAAATATTCCAAAATATTTTAAGAACACACATGACTATCTATCCTTTTCCACTTTTCCATTATCAGTATGTCAAGTGAGCTTTACTTGGTTATGCATTATGTCTTTATTTGTGGCTTCATATTACAAATGAGATCTTAAGTTTCTTATGCAAACAAGAGCTATGCTGAAATATATATCCTCAGTTACAAATTTACAAGGTATTGCAGAGAAAATTATGCCTTCAAGATAGACAGCAAATTTATTGTTGAAAAAAGCACACATGATTTTTCGTGGAATGTGAAGACAAAAGAAAATCGGTGTAAATTTTTTTGAGGTACTAGTATCATATTAGCACCATAGGATAATTGAACTTTCTTGTTTGCATATAGAGGGGCATAAGTTTGTGAATAATAAATTGATTGCAGAGAAAATCAGACTCATTGAAATCCTTTGTAAGATATCCTGCAGAAACAAATTGTCTAAGGACAGATGGACAACGCCATACACCGATGTTTCTTTAGGCATATAACAAAAGCTGTAACTGAAGAGTGACCTATGCCCCCGAAAGGAAACTTTGATATAATATCCCCAATATATGCCAAAAATCTAGTAATATATGCACGACCGCTCTTGATTATATCATTCCTAAAATTTCATTTATTCCATTAGAAGTATTGGACAAATAGGCCTAGTCTTTTTAAAAAAAAAGAAAAAAAAAGATGTTACTATTTATAGCTCTGGCCGCCATTTTGTGCAGCGGAGTGGAACGTGCCAGCAATATGCACAACTAAGAATGGCACTGATCATTCTTGTGAAGTTTCACTGAATTTCCCCCAGCGGCATTGGAGATGAAGCGTGGACAAGATTACCAGATGGAAGGACGGACAGTGTTTCCTTACAGGATACGATACTGGTTAGTTCCAGGAAACAATCTTAAATGTGATTAAGTTGCAAGAACTTTTTTCACAATCAGGGGCGTAATTAACACATGTACCACTTTTGACTTGCATTTTTAAGAAAATATTAAGTGTTAATCATGTAAGAATAAAACACATCATTTCTTCTTTTTTCCAGACAAATGTTATGTTATGATAGGAGAGTCCCATTAGATGAAATGTGTAGCAGAATTCAAGTAAGTTATCTCTCAAGCTGTATGGTATTCTGTTGTTGTTATTTTTAACATAATTGTGATTATCTGTGTGAAACGCTCTATTTTAGACAATTTTTTATACTTTAGACATTTGTCTTTATGATATCAATTATTGGTTAATAAACATTATAATAAATGATCATTTGAAATATACAGTTTATTCTTCACAGCAGAAAATGAGCATAATATCACTTTATAATGTACATACTTAAAAAAGTAGCTACAGATGTATCAATTGTACCGTATTGACTTTTATAAAGAAAATAATTTGCCATCATCATTGTTAATTGCAAGAGGCAATTGCTATGATTTGTGACTTGGCAAAATAATTTTTGTATTTTGTGTTATGTGAACTTTATTTAAGAAGATGACAAAAAGATGACATATGACATAAACAGTGTGACTTGAAAACATGTTAGAAAATAATCGTTAGAGAATTAAATGTTTATTTAATTTTAAATTTCAGTCCCTTACTGGTGATGATGTGAGACAGATTTGTTACAAATATATCTATGATAAATGTCCAGTAGTTGCAGCTATAGGTCAGTATGAAATCTTGTTTATAATTAACCCTTTACTGGCTGAATAATTGAGACCTGTCCAGCTTCCTTTACCTTTGAGGAACTGTCCATTATCAATTTAGGGGACATCAACATGAAAATTCAACCATATAGATCCTGGTCAGACTGCACTAAACTGCAAGCTGGCCTGGCTTCATACTGCCATTCTCGGGTCTAGCTGGTTAAGGGTTCAAAATATTTGTAATTTGACGTTTAGTTTTAATAAATTTGTTGTTCCTTAACATTTAACTTTTAAGAAAAATACAAACATTTTATGTTAGGGTGAGAGTTATTGTATTTACTGTAATTATTATGTAGAAAAATTCGCCAGCTAAATAAGATCAAAAATTTAAAAAAAAAAAAACTCTATTCACAAAAATATGAGATACAAATGTTCATGTCCTCAAACTATTCATTTAGACAAAATAGAAATCAAGAGTGATTGAATACAAATTATGTATTACTTCAAAAAAAAAGTGATCGCTTTTCGTCCGGCGTCCCGCCGTTCATAAACTTTTACTTTTAATGACATCTCATCATAAACCGCTAAGTCAATTTCATCAAAACTTCACAGGAATGTTCCTTTGGTAGTCAACTTCAAAAATTGTTCAAAGAATTTAATTCCAAGCAAAACTCTGGTTGCCATGGCAACCGAAAGAAAAAACTTATAATATCTTCTTTTAGAAAGCAGAAAGAGCTAGAGCTTAAATATGTGGCATAAAACATCATCTAGTCCGTGTCTACCAAGTTTGTTAAAATAAATGCCCTGGGGTCACAAATTGGCCTTGGCCCAGGGGCCTATATACAGGTGAATTTCAAGGCCATCATGTCCCTCTTATTCAAAATCTTACATAAATAATAAAAATGCTTTATGCTTGTTTTTTCCAGGACCAATTGGTGGATTGATGGATTACAACAGGTTACGAGCATCTATGTACTGGTTAAGAAAATAAACAATTATTTATTACAATTAAGACTGTTACTGTAGGTGTAAAACCTATGACTTTATATACATGATCACACCATGCCAGATATGATGACAGCCTAGGAAATGTTACGCTCTTATATCAAGATTGGACACCACAAATTGGAATTATTTAATTGTGATAGATTGAGTATTTTTTATGTGTATTTGTTTTTCGTTTTTGCGTTGGCATGGTAGATTTTTAAATATTAAAAATTGCCAGAAAACTGAAATGGAGTTGTTTAATTTGTCAACATCAGTTATTTCACATGGTATAAATGATGTATTTCCTATACTGGTGTTTACCATAATAGTTATGCCCTGAAGGGTCTGCCGGTTTAACCCCACTTACACAACATTCATGTCCGGAATGTAACTTTGTCATGCAATGAAGGATTTTTAAATAACAGCATATATGTCTACCACATTAAGACTATGTGTTGCATCCAAGACTCCTGTCCCTACAGCCTTGGTCACGGTTGCACTCCTAGTTTGAAGGTTCTTATTGTCACAAAAAGAGTTTGAATGTGATCATTCCTTTCTGGACTGGAACTTTTGTCATGCATTGAAGGATTTAAAAAAAACTTGGCACAAATGTCTACCACATCATGATGATGTGTTTAATCTAAGACATATCTCTACCTCAAAGGTCAAGGTCACACAGTTTGAAGGTTCACAATTACAGTTTAAAGGTATACACACACATTCATGTTTGGACTGTATCTTTGTCATGCATGGAAGGATTTTTAAATAATCTGAAATATATGGCAACATGACGATATCCATGTCCCTACCTTTAAGGTCAAGGTCACACTTGGAGATTGAAGGAACAAATTTGTGTCCAGACTGTAACTTTGTCATGCATTGAAGGATTTTCTAATTACTTTGCATAAAGATCTAACACATCAAGATGATGTGTCATGTTCAAGACCCATGTCCCTACCTCCGAGATCAAGGTTGTAAATTTAGCACTTCATTTCACAACAATATTAAGCAATTAGTTAGTTTTATTATCTTTTCCTTTCATAATACCTTTTGCAATACTTATAAAACCTTTTCTGGGGCATTTTTTTTTTTTTGGGGGGGGGGTGGGCTTTGTAGTTACATAACAGGCTTATATTCTGTGGAAAGTGGTGAAATATTCCAAAATATTTTAAGAACACACATGACTATCTATCCTTTTCCACTTTTCCATTATCAGTATGTCAAGTGAGCTTTACTTGGTTATGCATTATGTCTTTATTTGTGGCTTCATATTACAAATGAGATCTTAAGTTTCTTATGCAAACAAGAGCTATGCTGAAATATATATCCTCAGTTACAAATTTACAAGGTATTGCAGAGAAAATTATGCCTTCAAGATAGACAGCAAATTTATTGTTGAAAAAAGCACACATGATTTTTCGTGGAATGTGAAGACAAAAGAAAATCGGTGTAATTTTTTTTGAGGTACTAGTATCATATTAGCACCATAGGATAATTGAACTTTCTTGTTTGCATATAGAGGGGCATAAGTTTGTGAATAATAAATTGATTGCAGAGAAAATCAGACTCATTGAAATCCTTTGTAAGATATCCTGCAGAAACAAATTGTCTAAGGACAGATGGACAACGCCATACACCGATGTTTCTTTAGGCATATAACAAAAGCTGTAACTGAAGAGTGACCTATGCCCCCGAAAGGAAACTTTGATATAATATCCCCAATATATGCCAAAAATCTAGTAATATATGCACGACCGCTCTTGATTATATCATTCCTAAAATTTCATTTATTCCATTAGAAGTATTGGACAAATAGGCCTAGTCTTTTTAAAAAAAAAGAAAAAAAAAGATGTTACTATTTATAGCTCTGGCCGCCATTTTGTGCAGCGGAGTGGAACGTGCCAGCAATATGCACAACTAAGAATGGCACTGATCATTCTTGTGAAGTTTCACTGAATTTCCCCCAGCGGCATTGGAGATGAAGCGTGGACAAGATTACCAGATGGAAGGACGGACAGTGTTTCCTTACAGGATACGATACTGGTTAGTTCCAGGAAACAATCTTAAATGTGATTAAGTTGCAAGAACTTTTTTCACAATCAGGGGCGTAATTAACACATGTACCACTTTTGACTTGCATTTTTAAGAAAATATTAAGTGTTAATCATGTAAGAATAAAACACATCATTTCTTCTTTTTTCCAGACAAATGTTATGTTATGATAGGAGAGTCCCATTAGATGAAATGTGTAGCAGAATTCAAGTAAGTTATCTCTCAAGCTGTATGGTATTCTGTTGTTGTTATTTTTAACATAATTGTGATTATCTGTGTGAAACGCTCTATTTTTAGACAATTTTTTATACTTTAGACATTTGTCTTTATGATATCAATTATTGGTTAATAAACATTATAATAAATGATCATTTGAAATATACAGTTTATTTCTTCACAGCAGAAAATGAGCATAATATCACTTTATAATGTACATACTTAAAAAAGTAGCTACAGATGTATCAATTGTACCGTATTGACTTTTATAAAGAAAATAATTTGCCATCATCATTGTTAATTGCAAGAGGCAATTGCTATGATTTGTGACTTGGCAAAATAATTTTTGTATTTTGTGTTATGTGAACTTTATTTAAGAAGATGACAAAAAGATGACATATGACATAAACAGTGTGACTTGAAAACATGTTAGAAAATAATCGTTAGAGAATTAAATGTTTATTTAATTTTAAATTTCAGTCCCTTACTGGTGATGATGTGAGACAGATTTGTTACAAATATATCTATGATAAATGTCCAGTAGTTGCAGCTATAGGTCAGTATGAAATCTTGTTTATAATTAACCCTTTACTGGCTGAATAATTGAGACCTGTCCAGCTTCCTTTACCTTTGAGGAACTGTCCATTATCAATTTAGGGGACATCAACATGAAAATTCAACCATATAGATCCTGGTCAGACTGCACTAAACTGCAAGCTGGCCTGGCTTCATACTGCCATTCTCGGGTCTAGCTGGTTAAGGGTTCAAATATTTGTAATTTGACGTTTAGTTTTAATAAATTTGTTGTTCCTTAACATTTAACTTTAAGAAAAATACAAACATTTTATGTTAGGGGTGAGAGTTATTGTATTTACTGTAATTATTATGTAGAAAAAATTCGCCAGCTAAATAAGATCAAAAATTTAAAAAAAAAAAACTCTATTCACAAAAATATGAGATACAAATGTTCATGTCCTCAAACTATTCATTTAGACAAAATAGAAATCAAGAGTGATTGAATACAAATTATGTATTACTTCAAAAAAAAAGTGATCGCTTTTCGTCCGGCGTCCCGCCGTTCATAAACTTTTACTTTTAATGACATCTCATCATAAACCGCTAAGTCAATTTCATCAAAAACTTCACAGGAATGTTCCTTTGTAGTCAACTTCAAAAATTGTTCAAAGAATTTAATTCCAAGCAAAAACTCTGGTTGCCATGGCAACCGAAAAAAAAAAACTTATAATATCTTTTTTTAGAAAGCAGAAAGAGCTAGAGCTTAAATATGTGGCATAAAACATCATCTAGTCCCGTGTCTACCAAGTTTGTTAAAATAAAATGCCCTGGGGTCACAAATTGGCCTTGGCCCAGGGGCCTATATACAGGTGATTTCAAGGCCATCATGTCCCTCTTATTCAAAATCTTACATAAATAATAAAAATGCTTTATGCTTGTTTTTTTCCAGGACCAATTGGTGGATTGATGGATTACAACAGGTTACGAGCATCTATGTACTGGTTAAGAAAATAAACAATTATTTATTACAATTAAGACTGTTTACTGTAGGTGTAAAACCTATGACTTTATATACATGATCACCACACATGCCAGATATGATGACAGCCTAGGAAATGTTACGCTCTTATATCAAGATTGGACACCACAAATTGGAATTATTTAAATTGTGATAGATTGAGTATTTTTTTATGTGTATTTGTTTTTCGTTTTTGCGTTTGGCATGGTAGATTTTTAAATATTAAAAAATTGCCAGAAAACTGAAATGGAGTTGTTTTAATTTGTCAACATCAGTTATTTCACATGGTATAAATGATGTATTTCCTATACTGGTGTTTACCATAATAGTTATGCCCTGAAGGGTCTGCCGGTTTAACCCCCACTTACACAACATTCATGTCCGGAATGTAACTTTGTCATGCAATGAAGGATTTTTAAATAACAGCATATATGTCTACCACAATTAAGACTATGTTTGCATCCAAGACTCCTGTCCCTACAGCCTTGGTCACGGTTGCACTCCTAGTTTGAAGGTTTCTTATTGTCACAAAAAGAGTTTGAATGTGATCATTCCTTTCTGGACTGGAACTTTTGTCATGCATTGAAGGATTTAAAAAAAAAACTTGGCACAAAATGTCTACCACATCATGATGATGTGTTTAATCTAAGACATATCTCTACCTCAAAAGGTCAAGGTCACACAGTTTGAAGGTTCACAATTACAGTTTAAAAAAGGTATACACACACATTCATGTTTGGACTGTATCTTTGTCATGCATGGAAGGATTTTTAAAATAATCTGAAATATATGGCAACATGACGATATCCATGTCCCTACCTTTAAGGTCAAGGTCACACTTGGAGATTGAAGGAACAAATTTGTGATCCAGACTGTAACTTTGTTTTCATGCATTGAAGGATTTTCTAATTACTTTGCAATAAAGATCTAACACATCAAGAGATGTGTGTCATGTTCAAAGACCATGTCCCTACCTCCGAGATCAAGGTTTGAAATTTAGCACTTCATTTTCACAACAAATATTAAGCAATTAGTTAGTTTTATTTATCTTTCCTTTCATAATCCATTCTC